AATCAAGTACACAACGCCGCAAGCCGGAGTTCCACCGCTTTGTACTCTCTCGGCCGGGACCATCTCTGATTAGCCCACAAGAGTGAGCGTAGAACTAACACTAGACTACTCCGCCATTAACATCGTGCTTTCCGTCTTCCGTAGTTACACACGGGTGAGTAATGGCAATGCATGGCATCGTCGATTGGAAACACTCACTGCCAGGTATCGATGTCCGGTTCTTAGAAGGAGAGGTATGGAACCGGGCTCTATCCAGATCAATTTCATACACGCCTGCCATCTGAATTCGTCAACCGCCAGGCAGACTCAATTGATGGCGCGTAATCTCCCTCTTTACAACCCAGTCGGGAAGTTCGAGGCGGAGGCCCCTACCGGAAATTGTTTGCACCGCAGACGGGACAACAGGGCAACAGAGAGAATTACAGATTCGACCTTGTCGTGCCATAGGGTTAGGGGTGAAGTCAAAGCCGCTGGCTCGCCCCAGTTATGGGACGGGGCAAGTCTGAGGCAGTTTATCACCGCCTCACCCACCTGTTGAAACTTAGGCAGTGCTTTTATTACTGGGATCTGGGGGCCATGCCGTTTTTCACACCAGGTATTAGGATGAACAGAATAGACGAGTCAACATGTCAAATATGTAACTAGAAGTTGCGAAGGAACATGCAGGTAGTCCACACAGAAGGGACGACAGCTTATTCTTGGAAATCCTCATTCGCGCCCAATAGGAAAGCACCACTGCTCCAAAATAAGACATCTGAGACGAAACTCCAGTCCTGGTCCCCGTCTGAGGATGATCCTCACCCACTCAATCAACCCGCGGGATCAAATAACAAAAATACTCCTTGGGTCGTACCTTTGGTTGCTTTTGAAGCATATAATTGAGCGTTCATCTCGATACATGGTATGTTGCGCGGAAAGCTTCGTGACATGACCGCCGTTTCTCCCCATATTCCAACTGGCCGTATATGCCCCTTGTACGGTATGAGACCATTCATTCGCTCACGAATCTATAGACTCAAAGTTGTCACCAGTAGCTAAAAGAGGCTTACGCTCAACACACTCCGACGTGCATCATTCATATACGCGAGACAGAGTCTGGCCAGGGGAATTGGAAAGTTTACAAATTAATCATTCACCGAGATACACTCTTCCCGAAACGCTAACGGGCTGAACGACCTCGTGGCAGGATAAGGCGGTTCAAGGAACTGATGGGTTTGTTAACGAAATGATTCGGTTTTACATGACTAAGTCGTCCCCTTATCCCTGCTCCCTTACAAACTTTTGACAAGGCAAGTGTATGACATGCACTCACGTGAGGTCGAAAGGACTGATAGCAGGAAAAAAACATGACCCGAATAGTAGCAAACCCCAACCGGGTTGCGAGTATCCAGCACAGTTGCAACTCTCTTTCGCAACCTGACCCAGTGCTAATGCACTCACCTTACTCATTTACCCTAACATCTACTCCTCCCTGACCTCTTCGGCCAATGCCGAACGAATAGTTCAAGATCAATCAACCGCCTGATCTTCTTCCCCCCTTCTTTCTCTCCGGAGAGGGGACGGTTTCCCCTTTTGAACAGCGGCTCGCATGGTTTCCCGAGCCGATCGCAATGACGATCGCTGTCTCTCGGCGCGAACCCACAGTTCTTTCACCAGGCAAGAAAAAAGACGCAAAAGGGGGCGAGAGGCTCCAGTTTAGACCCCGTTCAGAGCAAATGAGGCTCTCTCCTTTTGACGGAACTCAGTCCGATATGGGTCCTTCACAACCAAATGGGGCTGAATTGCCCGATGAAGCATCCGGCCCGAGCAGGCGTCGCTCGGGGTACCGAACAGAATCCAGCCTTACTAACCAGGAAAGCAGGCAACGAGAAGGTCTGGGGATATATAGCTTCCTTTGCCGGGGGAGGCGTAAGCTCATACAGATGGAAGGCGAGCGCCGGCGTACGGTTGAAGCGGGTACCTGACTGGGGGTCCCGGCTCGCCATGTCGGACATGAATGTGAACGGATCAACGTTGCTTGACCTCGTGTCTGGGCCGTGGACGAGGCAGTTAAATGCACCCCCGGCAACTCCAGTCCTGCGCACACGGCACTTCAGTCCGCCGGTGCGAATTCCTATTTAGAACGAGGGACAAGCGAGGGGTGAGAATATAGGTGATACAAATGCCGAGGCCGAGTACCTCTGATTGCTATCGGTTACTGCGGCATTCACGATAAAACCGTGGCTGTTGTCTTAAAGGATAGCTAGCCGGTTACGAGCTGTACGGAGAGCGCAAAATAGCGCAGCATCAACCGCCAGCGAAGAGCGATGCTTTGTACTATAACCATGATTCGCTAGCCAGTTTCGGGCTAAACTAATAGTCGTGGGGGCCATCGAGAAGGATAGAGCGTCCGCGTTGTGAGGGTTCGATTCGTCTCATAACTTACTGCGTTCCGTCTGTAACCCTGTCCCCAAGCTAACCAGGCCGCTGGCCACCCCCTTGCAAAGGGCCACCGGTTGCCACCATGTCCCCTCATCTGCCGTTGGACCACGCGATATGTGATCGTGAGGGCCACGCAGGGCTGGTTAGCGCCTTTCCTTTCCGCAATACTCACCGCACTTTCCTGACTCTGGCAATCTGGCAGCCCTTCTGACGGCAGCCCAACCAAGGAAACCCCCTCCCCAATAAGCAGGGAAAGGATACCCCATGACGACGGGGCTGAAAGCCACACCGTAGGGCATCCAGATCAGGTGATACCAACACGTCGCCGCACACCGAGGCTCAACTCGATGGTTCGTTGTGGGTTTGGCCGACACCCCTTGTCTCTCGGCCCTGCAAGTTCGTGGAGAAGAAAGGTCGGGTCTAGGGTGGTGTACGGAGTACTGCGTATTCGTACACTACGAATACGTACTGAAGAATGTGGAGATTGTCCGACATCCTCCACAGTCAACTCTGTAAACGGGCCGAGCTTTGCCTTCATCTCGAAGCTGGACTCGGAACGAGGGCGAGCTACTGCACAGTAGGCCTGGCCGGGGCCGCTGATTGCGTGTGAGATAAAATCACGCTGGACGTTGATGAAACGCCTTTTACGGCAAGCTGCCTCCATTCTTTTTACCCTGCTGTGGAGAGAGCCCGGGTGGTAGGGCGATTTATGGTGTATGTGCTCGTGTGGTCCAGGTCTTGACTCCCCGCGCAACCTTCTGCTCTGCCAACGCCCTCGTCGGACAAACTCAAAAAAACAGTGCGAGCAAGAACCCTCGATGATCCATTCCTTTGTCCGACAGAAAGGGAACAGCTTTCATTACACCACATACAGTACCTGGTGTAGAAAAAGAAGCCAAAACGGGACAGGGTGGCCAACCAAAAAAGAATCACAATGACGCGGCATCTCTCCCCTTTGCGAACCAGTCGAGATGCCGCTGGCTGGCTGGCTGCTTCTTGAGTCTTGACCACCCATCCCATGGCAGGCATTCCCATCCAACTCTCTTATGTTAACCCCCTCCTCGTTCCGGCAAACCCCCAGTAGACGTGACATATTGCTGGGTTGACATCCCCGGCTCGACTTGCTGGCTGACGGCCTGACATCAACGTGACGTTCCGGGAGTGAGCATATTTGACAGTGGGCGATGCTGCACATTTCAGGCATGGTTCTGCGACGGAGTTTGTCTTACGAAGCTTCGAGCCCGCATTGCAGGTAACTTGATGTCGGGACCTTTCTCCCACATAATCCGCTACCCAGAAGGACGGCACTACCAGACAATGAAACCAGTAGCCAAAAGTAGTCCACCGGAGTCAACTTCTCGGTTGTGGTTAGCCCTCCGGGGCTAACTAGGCTAGTGGTTGGCGGACCATTCCACTGCCTCCCATTCTCAAACACGGCCTCCCAAAAACGAAGTTAGATTCGCCGTGATACGAGTCCTCATTGTCATTCCAGAATACCTCTAGTTTCTGCCTAGTATAGCGTGGTCAGCAACAGACGGAATGGTGACTGCGGAGGTACTTCCGCCCACCCAAGCAGACCGAACGCGGGTCTGACCATTTCCCAATCTGTGTCCTCGGGCCGCGCCATGTTAAACAGCAGTGGTTTTTGGTCTGCGCGCTCAGCTAGGCTGCTCACCGTGCTGGCCTATGGTACAACGCGTCAAGTTCCCAAGTGTGTGGTTTAGTGCACTAGTCTAGTGGCAACCTGAACCTTGGAGGCGCACTCACAAGTATCCAGTGTGGCTGGTAGGGCGGAAAGTGCGGGATCATGATCAGGTCGACGGCTCCCTCGTCCATTGGCCGCTCCCGAAAGAGAGCCTTTGACCTGACCTCGGCGCGTCGGGGGAAGGGGGGTAGCAAACGCCGGGGACAAGACTTGAAAAGAGCCCTGCCATGTAAACTAGCGTAGTAGGGCGTGTGCAGCAGTCGCCTTGGGGGCCGTTGATATCGTCGTAGGCCAAATGTGGAGCTGGGAACAGAGTCGGGGAAAGGGAAATGAAGTGCTATCATGGACGTCAACCTGTTTTCCCTTTCTGGGTCGTCCCGTCCGTGTCCCGGATGGGGGGGAATCCGGCCGAAATCGAGCCCAGCAAGCACAGGAATCCGTCAACCATTCGCCTTATAAAGTGGCAGACAGCAGAGAGTAGAATATTCACAAAGCTGGGTTTTCTGGCAGTTTTTTTTTTCTTTTCTTTTTTTCCCCCGCTTTTTCGGGGGATTTTTTTTTTCATTTCCAGGACACGCCACAGACATTGAGGATGACTCGTCGATGGGCTTCTTCTTCGCAACCTCCTGGAACCTTGGCCTTCTATCTGCACTGCCGCATTCGTAGCCGGCGATTCAGTATGAAATTCAGAGGGAGAGGAAATGCCCACAAACAGCCGTTCGACGGGGGAAATCATCAAACGCGAAGTAAGGAGGAAGGGAAGGGGTGCCTACGGCCCTCTATACTAAAACCCCACTAGCGCAAAATGGGGGCGTCGCAGAATTCGGATAGCTCAACACAATGCCAGCACCAGGTCGGGAAGAGATGGTAGGGGTGAAAGGGGGATGATGAATGGGGATGAATGGGTAAAAGGGGAAGTCAATTAGGGCTCCCGGCAGTCGAGAGAAGCGCCCGGGGACGGAACTCCAAGAGAGCAATTGCTCCGGCCGGGGCATTACCGGCTATTGGCCTGTCATACACGGAGCCAGGGAGGGGGGGGATGGACTACTGTGAGGCGTTCTGCGTGTGGTTGGTGCAGGGCCATGCCGTATCTGATGTCGTGAGAAGAGGAGACGGCGCCGCTTTTACTAGTACAGTAAGGCCAAACTCTCCTGAGGACCTGTCCTTGTTTTCTAACCCTCGGAATCTCGCTGCTACTGGATAGAAGATGAGGTCGCTTGATCGTGGCCTTTTGGACTCCAGTCTCGAGTGCGCCATGGTCCCCGGCCGCCATTCCACCTACGCCTTTCCGAGGGACCGCGTAAGCACCGAGCTGGCAAGCCACGTCTGACTGCTTATATAAACTTTGGTTGATGAATGGGCATTGCTGGTCGGTCGGGGATTGGTGCCAGTCGGACTCCAAGGAAACCACGCGTGCCGCACGTTGGACCCCCCCCCCCCCCCTCGTTGCCCTGCGTGGCGTGGTAGCCATCTGCGCCGGTAAAAGGGGTTTTCCATTCCCGGTTGTCGCGGCTTCGCCATGGCTGATCGCTGGGCGCAGCTCGCCCAGGACGGCAGATCTCCCGGGGTACGGCCACGGAGCGATGGTCATTCGCCGTCGCCGTTTTCTTACAGGCCTCGTCGACCGACAATCACTTGAACTAGCGCAGGGTAGAAAACAAGACAGCAGCAGGCTTTTGGTGACCTCGGTTAGTCGGATACATCCCCGAAGGGTTCGCGACTGTAGCACCGGCGGCACCCATCTATCCTGAACCGACCTCTAGTGTGTGTGTGTGTGTGTGACCGACCCCAGGCGGCTGGATGGTCTTTCTAAACCTCCGCTCTCCCCCCCACGTCTTCCTCGGCGCAATTACACACTTGAGCGGCGAGGGGCAGGTTCCCATATGGGGGGGGGGGGGGGGGGGCCTGCTTGCCTTGCGAAGCGAGAGACACGCTCTATGAATACGCTCCTCCTCCAGTGCCACCGCATAGGTTACTTCTCCTCTGGGAGAGGGGGGTGGCAGATCATGGCCGCCGTCGATCTTACCGGAAAGTATTGTGCTGCTGGGAGGGGTTCCGTCGCATGCGCAGCGAATACGCACCCAGAAACCTGTGTCATGCAACGTCGCAGGCACCACCTGTCGCTGGTCATCAAGTCCCGTTGATGTGTGGTCTGGTTTTCTGTTGTCGACGCAACCATGGTGTGGCTCCAGGCGCATGCAGGTATTTTCCCGGAAAACTTGAAAGAAAGGAGCAGTAGAAACCTGACAAACATACATTCGGCGCCAGGGAAACACCGGCGTGAGCTGATATCGACAGGGTTGCAAAAAAGCTACTGAATACCCAGGACTTTCCAGAAGCCTTCTAGGTTGCTTCTACGGCCTTGCCAAATGGGGTAGTTCCTCCGTCTTAATCCCCCCAGCTTCCAGAGCCTGTAAACGGGCCTTTTTTCTTTTTATCTTTCTCTTTTTTTTATCTCCTTTTTTTATCTCTTTTTTTTTTCTCTTGACAAAACGCACGTCGCAGGTTTGTTAAAGGGACAGATGTGAACGACCGGATGTGATTATAGAGTCAAGCAAAGACACGACAGAAAAATATACAACTCGGAGTGGTTTTTGCCCGGCATGGCAACCAGCAATTCGCTCCTAGCTGGCGCGCTCTGGTGGCTCGCGATACCTTTTAACACTGACGCTTCAGGGACCAAAAGCCATAAGCAGTAGCCTTTGCCCGCTCATACGCATATGAGAGGTGGGGTGTCGAGCCTAAGGAGACTCACGCAAAGAATCCCGGGCCCGCGCGATTCCAAACCATGTGCTATCGTCGGTGGGATTTCCGCCAGCCATTGAGCCCATCGGGAGTCCAATCCCAGACGCTATGCCTTCCGCGCGCACGCTAGACTAGCAAGGGAGCAACAGTCGCACGGCCCGTCGGACTTCATTGTGGTCAGCTTACGGGAGTGGAGATGCTGACACGGGCTGCGTCCTTTGGCAGACCTAGCCTTGTCCAATATAGCTGGATTTGTTTCGCGCGCGCAAACACGGAAACGCAAACACACAAATCTCCGTGCCGAAGAACCCAGACCTTGGTCCCGGCTCCACATCGCCCGGACGGACGCACCGACAGATTCGGAATCCAGGTCCGGCACGAGACGGACACGAACACCGGGAAAGCTTCTAAGGGGCGGTGGCCTCATGTCCTCAGGGAGAGACAGGCAATGCCATGACCAGGGGGGGTGGGAGGGGGCGTCATTTGGGGGCGCAATGGCCCAGTTCCTCCTGGGTGGCCCTCAATCATACGTGTGTCGGTTCTGCCCCTGAGGGCGTTCGTCCACGGGCCCGGCCCGATGGATTCACCACTCGCACATGGTTGCGACGTAGCAGTTGTGCGCAGAGCCGTAATCAAGCATCGTTCGTCTGCCAGGTCAGCACACAGCATACAGCACAATATGGTAGGCGCTGCAGGCGCGCGGCGCGTTCAGACGCGGGCGCATATACGCCGGCTGCAGGGGACAAGGACGAGGGCGAAGGGCCTTCGGCCGTTATTGAATCACCGCCCGCCTCTCTGCTGCCTGCTTGGTCGAATCCGCACGCTTGCAGCCTGTCGACGGAACGAACACCGTGCCGCCAAGTCGCTGAAGTCGCAGCAGCCCGTATCCTTTGGGGCTTGTGGCTGTGGCTACCTATGCCTCTTCTCAGCATTCGTACGCACGGCAGGCGAGGGGCGGAGAGATGGAGAACTCTGTCTATTCTTACCAACCATTTTGTTGGACCACTTACGCACCGTGAGAAAAGCCGGCAGGGCCGGTCGTGTATGTTTGCACGTGTGTTGTGAGCGGGCCGCGGTTGACGATGCAGGTGAGAGGCAAGGGAGGTAGGTAGGTGTTCGCTGACACCTGCGAATACAGTGGGGACCTACCGTCACATCGTTGCGTCCGAATATGGCAGACTGGGCAATATATTCGATGACGCGAGTGCTCTTTTCGGCTCGTTATCGCTTTTCAAAGTCGCATCGTAGTTGGGGGCTGGGACGTCAGCGTTGTGCGAGCAGGCATGCGCCACAACGTCGACCGGGGCCGAGACTGAGTAAGCGGCAAACGGCAAATGCCGCCATCGGCGTACGTGAGGTGAGGTAAGACGGGATGGTCGTTGTGTCGGGGAACATGAACGGAGACGAGGAGGAGGAGGAGGAGGAGGAAGAAAGCCTCGTGATCCATAGGCGCATCGCGAGAGGCCGAGGGCTTCCAACTCACCACGAATGTTGGGGCGCAACTCTGGAACCAACTCGCATCACCTGCCATTCCCTCATCCTCATCCGATCCCTCTCAGCCCTAAACGACCGCTCAGTATTGGTCCCTTGCGGAGGCCCACAAGCCCGGGTTGAGTTGCCCTGCTTGCTACCAAAGGGGAGGGCAAGGGAAGGATGGGCTTCCGGCCGGCCATCATTGAGTCAGACACTGACCGGGGCTGAGGTTGTGACCATACCCCCGGGACGCTGCTTCTCAGACACGGCGTATTTTGCCGACGTTGCGGGCGTTCTGCTCTGCTCAGTCTCCCCAGTGAAGTCTCTCCTCTCCCTTTCTCTCTCGCGCGCGCGCTTTTGGACAGGCAAACGAGGTTGGCTTGTCATGCCACGTAGAACATGCTGGGCTCCGAAAAAAAGGCCGCCGGGGATGAAGCGACTTGCGAGAGATGTCTAGGACATGGGTTATCAACGGGCCTCGTCGCCGTCGTCGCCCGCTTCGTTGCGACATGAACGGACGGCCGGCGCGCGGGGCTTCGAGATGGAGACATTGGCAACATGGAAAATAAAATGAGAAATAAAACAAAAATGCTCCTGCGGTGCCGGGGGCAACCCAACTCTCTCCCCCTCCCCCCTCCCCCCCCCCCCCCCCCCCCCCCCCCGGGCAAATATTCATAGGTAATCCTTCCCGAGGTCCGCGCTCGCCCGAGTTGTGTCTTCTTTCCCACCGGCTGGCATCAGCGCTGCCGCGACGGTTGTCTCGTATCAGCCCCGTGCGATGCGAGTCGCCCAAAAGGGCAGGATAAACAGCCCTTGGAAATAGACAGCCATGCTTGCTCACTTCGCTGTTGGTTCAGCCCTGCGGATGCGGGTACTGACTTGCATTACTCGGACCCGGCACAGAAGCAACACACGTACGCACGTCAGGCATTGTAAGTCATATGTCGTAGGGCGGCGACAGGCTGGATGAGGCAGGTCGTTGCCCCCAAAGGGAGAGGGAGGAGGGCGCCGACCTGGGATCCCGTCAGTTGGTTGATTCCATCTAATTTGTCCCCCTCTAGTTCTCCTCCCAACACAGCCGGCTCATGTAGGGCCGCAACAGAGAGTGTGCGTGTCCGTCCTGCTGCCACTCTGCAACAAAGCAAGGTGAGCCGAGGCATGCAGTGCAGTGCATCGTCGAATAAAAGCGCCCCTCCCTCCCTTTGGCCATTCACCAAGTGTGGATGGTTGGCTTTTCAGCTGAAGACACCAGACGGGCCCTAGCTTCCCTTCCTCGTGAGGGTTTTACGAACCGTCCAATGATGTGCGGAAGGGAGGTCCGCGCTGAACTTGAGCTAACGGCACTTGTCTTTGGTGATTGAACAGTTGACAGGACAAGACTCAACGAAGCCGAGATTCCCATGCTGTAACAAGTCGGAGAATCGAGAATTGGGTCCTTTCCACCTATTGCACTCGGGCCGCACATCAGCTACTATTATTGTTGAGGCGCCCAAAGAGGACTGACACGTCGACTCAACCCATCTCGAGTCTCAGCCCCGAGGAGGGGGAGGGGGCCTTGCGTCTGCTGACGGGCGCAGCTCAGCAAGATTGATTGACCGGCCGCTCTCGCTGCTCACTGCGGCGGCGGCCGAGATTCCCATGCCGAACCAGCGGCGATCCTTCGCGATGAGGGAATAGGGAATACTGCCACGCGGGTTCCAAGAAAAACGTTGCCGGCTTCTCATAGGCACTTCACCCAAGCTTGTAGTATTGACCGGCGGTGTATTTCGGAAACCCGCGTGACTGCCTCATTCCTAGATGAGTGAGAGGGTCGGTTTGTGAGCCTCCTCCTCTGACGAAGCCGAATCTCTCGTACCAGAGCAGCCAGCCAGAGTCCTCATGAGGGGCCCAGGGGGGCTCGTGCGGCGCTTCCCCAGGAACTACCAGCCTTGCCAGTCCTAGCTCGTGGACCGAGGGTTACACCTCCGGCCGGAAGCTCGATCGTGGGCTTCCGGGCCAAGGAATCTGGTGCGCCCAATGACGATGGAGCTGTATGAAAAGCCCAGCTAGTGGCGGAATCCCAGCGCACTCCAGGTCGCCTTTGTCTCAGCTGATGCCGAGCATAGCAGCCCTCGTAGGGCTTGGTTTGACGTGCGGTGGCTTGCCTCCGGATGCTTCGGCGGCACAGGCCCTGAGCGTTTTCGCACCAGTTCGGCCACGCAAGGGTTCGGTTACCACACTACACAGGAGCTTGTGTGCCGACCCGTTCGTTGGCTGGCTAGGGAGAGAGGCTTCCGGTGCTGATGCGGCCGGGGACGGATCTCGGGTCTCTAGTGTAAGGGTTGCGCCCTCTATTGTACGGTATTGTCTTGGGGGCTGATGACAACGCTGCTTGGAGAAGAAGTCATATGATGACTAGGCGCAGTGCGTTTCGACGACCCTGGCACGCCCGACCACACTACGCCAATACCAGGCGTTCTCCGTAACTAGAAAATGAAAATGAAATCGTCATCATGGTGTCACGAACATATGATACCGTCGGCATGCAAAAGATTATCAATCTCATTGCTGCAAGATGGGCAAAGGGCTTTTGTCTCGTTTGGTATAACCTTCCCGGCGAGGATCGGCCGTGGACCAATCACTCTCAATGTTTGACATCGAGTGGTCGACGGGCTTGGGCAAGCGTGTCCTTGGCTCAACCAAACACACACACGCGCGCTCGCGCGCTAGAGTCTCGCCAAGGGCCCGAGGCAGGATAAGCAAAGACTAAAGCAAGCATCCCTCTGAATACACTCACTCCCACCATCGAGGTGTCTTAGATGGCAATCTTCGGACGGGAATTCGTTCGATATGACGGTCTTGGCAAAAAGGTTGTCGATACGAAGGGGAGGGGATGGGTGAGGAGGGGCCCGTGGATGCCAATAGCCGGCTCTCTAGCATCCTTCTCCCGTGAGCCCAACGAACCGATGCCGACCTCCTCCGAAAAGGCCGCGCGCCACAGTGGTTGGTTGCGTATCGTGCGACGTAATCCCGAGCCGGCCTCGTCATCTGCGACGTTGCAACAAGCTCGTCTGCTGAGTTCAATCCGGGAATCCCATCTGGGGCTGAAGATGGTTGTCGGGACCCCGACAATTCTGTTTCCATTTTTACTCGCCCCCCAACACACCGATATCGCCCACAGTAAATAGGGACTGGGGGCGGTAAAAAAGGGGGGGGGGGGGGGGGGGGGTAAAGGGCGGGAATATCGAAGCCCAATCCTTTTGTTGATCGGGTACATTGGCAACCGGTGACGCCCTGGAAGACAACATGCAGTGGTACACACCCAAGGCAATGCCCTGGAAACTCACCCACGCGGTTACAGCAAAAGAGACCAGAGAGAGGGAGGGGGCTCTGTTTCGTTTGCTGCAACGCGCAAAAGTGCCACCAAACAAGTCAAAACATGACATGATCATCAGGATCTTCTGCGCCTTGCCCAGTAACCCCCGCCCCCCTTCGCCTGGACGATCCCTCCCCTCCCCGTTGGACGTTCCCTTCCCGCGAATGCCCTGGAGCAGTTGTCCAGTCTCCGCCAGTCGTGGAACCAGCCCGTCCGTCAAGTAAAGCGAGCCAAGACTTAAGCTCGGTTGGCGTACATCGAGGCGTGCCAGGGGGCGGTAGCGTCCTGCAGCCTGCTTACTTGCCGGACTTGGGCGGCGACGGTGGCGCTAGGGATCGTTTATACCCCGATGGACTTGGTACCTACACTGCAGTACTGCCACTTGGGAGGAGACAGTGACATATCGCAGAAAAAAAAACTCTTCCCTTTGTTCCTGTTCCGATGCTGCGGGTGTGTCCTGCCACGCCGCCGCAGTTTTGCGCCCCATGTTCTCATACGTCCAGCATCCTTTGGGACACAATATGTCATGCCCCTGGCAAGCCCGGTTTTGATAGCCAGCCGAGTTCCACATTCACCCGGCATGCTGCGTCAGGAGGAGCAATAATAGCATGGTTTCCGACTCCTGAGCGGTCTTGCTGCTGCTGCTGCTGCTGCTGCTGCTGCTGCCGCCGCTGCTTGGTTCGAACGGCTCGGCCAAACAAGCAGGCCCCGAGGCGAATCCTGCCAAGTGTGGGGGCTTGTTACAACATTCGCGACAGGACGCCGTGATTGTGCATGTTCCGGAATGCTGCTAAAAACATCGCCGGCGCGGCTCTGCCGTTGGCCAGTGGCAGCTTTTCCCAAGTCGGGCTTTTCAGTCATTGGGTCGCTTGTCGGCGAGACGGAACAGAATAATCACCCGCTTGCATTCATTCATACTGTACTCCGTACGGTATTACTACTTGAGCGTAGTGTATTCACCCGACAGGGGATCCGACAATGAAGGAAGAATACGCGACGCACGTACTGGGACAGGGCCTCTGCGTCGCATCCAAGAGTGGAAGATCTCGTCGGGCGGAAGGCTAAGATCGGCGGGGAGGAGGGCCTGGTCGAATTTGGGGGCATTGCGTTCTTCGGCTCTTGAAATGTACCCATCGCCCTACGAGCGGAATGTTGCATGCAACAGTCGGTTGGAAAGAAGCCGACGGCACTCCCATTTCACGCATTGTCAGCGGACCATCGAATTCCGTACCTGACGCCGGGGGACACTCCAGCCCTCGACTAGCGCGGTGAGGAATGAAAAAGGCCGTCCTCACGGTTCCAGAACTGCCGACCTATCTATAAAACTGTCATGTACGGGAGATGAGGCGAGCAGCTAGTAAAGCAATAGCGATTACTCGTCCGCGCCTATTCGTACGTACACAGTATGTAGACACGCACCCAGGAAGCGAAGCTGTGGAGTAAGCTCTGGCCGAAAAGAGTGGTAGTACCGGTAGCTTGAGATACGGGAAGCGGCCTGACCGTTGCCATTCGTCAGGCTGGCCCGATATGTGAGACTAAGGAGCTGATGGCAGCCACACTGAGATCTGCCGTGTACCGGTATGTACGCCTCACATGGTGGTAGTCCGACATCGTCATCTCCTTTCCTTCTCGCTTGTTGCTTTTTGGGTCAAGTCGACCATCAGGTCGCTTCGGCAGTTGCAAAGCGACAACTAGGGGCGGGTGGCAGACCGGCCGCTGAAGTCGCGGTGACCAAATGAAGAGGGTGTGTCCTGTATTGGCCCCCCTCTGCGAGGTCCTGGGGTCATGATTCAAGCAGGTGCCATGATAGGATAGGGGACGAATGGAGCCTGCATCGTTTGAACCGTGCGCTACCGGTGCATGGCAGCAGAGGGAAAGTTGATGATGTTTCATGCCGTCGTGACCTGGACGCCCTATTGGACATGGGGACTCGGAGGGCATTCCATTCCGGAAGGCGTGGCCATCTTGCCCATCCCGAGCGACTCCAGTGTGCCCCATCGCGCTCCGTTGCACAGCCTTCTTCGGGTCTCCAGTGCATGGTCTAGGTAGGGCCAGCAAACCCGCCGAGCCTTCAAGGATCCGATTACAGCTATGTATTCCTGGTGTGCCGGGCTTGTATCCGTACCATACGGTGTACATGGCGTTCAGGGGGACAACGCAGCAGCTCGCCCTACGAGCACGAACGCGGTAGTAGTAGTCAAGGCCTGCGTGTCATTGTTATTTCCCGTAGAACATTCCATTTCACACATCTCTTGTGCGGTAACCCTGATCAACATGGGGCACTGGACCATCGGACTAGTGCACAGCATACATAGGAGCTGGCCCTCGAAGAAAGAAGATGCTGCGTGTTTGGTAAATCGCCTAGCACCGGAGCTCTCGGCGGAAATGTGGAGACGTGGACATGTCCATGGAGACGAGTCGTGGGTATGTATTGGTGACGTGCAGCCCGTGAGGCGTGGTGAAGCATGGCGGCGTCTGGTAGCGGAGGTTTGAGAGTCGGTGGCGACGCTCTGACGCCCATAGGTACTACTTACATACTACTCCGTACGCAGGGTAAGACCGTTAGTCCGGCGTGCTGCTCCTCGCCAAGGGTGTCCGTCGCGGCCCCGGGCTGCACGTACAGGTAGTATGCACGCTTTGCTCTTCCGCGGAGGTATTCGAGGCCGCGCAGATCGTTGTCTCTTTCGTCCATCCCAGGTTACGTAGTAGTTCACCTGTAACGTCCAGATCCAATCCCCTGCCAGGTTGTATTGTTCCATACCTGATGGCACATTGACGATTGACGTGCTCAGAGGTTCCACGTCGTGCCTATACTAGAAGCAGTCGGGGTGTGCAGTGAACTATCTATTTACTACTTACTGACAAAGCCTGTCCTGGACAAAGAGTGAATCAGCCAGCGCGGAAACACCCTCGGGCCTCCCAATATTCGTTCTCCTGTGCCCCGAAGCGATGGAGCAGCTCCGCGACACTGAATGTCCAGACCAATACGACATGGGGACAGGCGTGGTGGGGTGGCTGCTTGTCAGGACGTCCACGACGATTTGCCGGCCCGCTGGGTCCCGATTTGGCATGCTTGCAAATCATCAGTCATTAGCGCGTCCGTGATAATTCGGCGATGCGAGCTAGAAAGATGGCGGGCGAGCCATCTGCTGTCTCCTAACCGTGATGGCGGGTTTCCGTTCCGCCCTACGACTAATGTTCGCAAATTCGCATCGGATTCGATCTAGCCTCTGCACTGGAGATGGGCCGCTTGGAGGTTGGCTGGTAAAACACCGGCTTCCGGTTGGCCGTAAGCTGGCATCATGATGACTTGTCAAGTTGTTGCTGAACTGGGGAAACCCATCAGAGGATCGCCATCATCGGCTGGGCGTATTTCCGACGACACTATTACCGACCACCAGCCCAACCTGTCATGTAAGTAAGCCAAATAGGCTGCAATACATACCGGGAGGGCTCTGTTCAGGTGCTGCCCTCCGCACCACGACGTCTGGTTGCGGACCACACGCAAGAGGCACGTGCGGGCAGGATCTTAGACTATCCCCGCGCAGGCAGACAAGGTAGAACCCCTGTCGGAAGATAGACGCCAAGTTGGAGGCACCAAGCTACGGTACTTAGCGAGGGCCCGAACTGTGTACTGTAGGGCTGAGAAGGGGTCGAGCTGGCCTGCCGCCTGGAGTGCTGTGTCCGTCGTCCATGCCGGCACATTTCCAGTGATTGTGAATGCTTGTTGTTGAAGCTGTGGGACGTTGAGGAAAGGCATCGTCTCTCCCATCTCCACGAGCCCATTGATGTAAGACTACTACTTATCACTACCTGGTACGTAAGCATAATAGACTTCTGGCCGTCAGTGCATGAGCAGGGAACAGCGCTGCAACGAGGACCGGAACACAGGGCAACCCATCGGGTCCGATTCAATCCTTAGTCTCCACATTGTCGGACTGGAGGCCCATCCTCGTAGGTATCTCACGTCGCCAGCAAGGGGAGGGACGCAGCCAGCTCAGATCAGGTGCAGAGAAACGCGCCTCTACCGCAGCACAATGTAATCTGTTGACAGGTGCGGCGTAGCGGGTGGTCCCCCCCCCCCGACACAGCAGGATCCAGGACAGAAGCCATTTTTTCACTAGAGCGCTTTGTCATGCTTACGACAGGGCGTGGCAGCAACAGATTTCCCGCTAGGCGGTGCTAAGGGTAGTGCCTGAAACTCAAATATCCGGGGATTATTGCCAGACGGAGAAGACTCCGTGGCTGGCTAGGCAGGTACGTGCCCTTTTTGGCTCAAGGTTGATCAAATGGTCGGATGGATGGGTGGCTGGCTTTACGCAAGTCGATGACTAGTACCTCCTCTGGATGCAGAGTTGCGACCTGAACGGGCCGGACTCGTGACAATGAGTGATTAGGATGTGTGCCAGACCGCGTCGTCGGCTATTCCGCTGGGCGACTCCGTCGACTTTCATCGACTTGTGAGCTGGCATGACTGCAATGCAGGGGCGACCGAGGGGAATGAGGTCAGCGATGATTCCGGCAAAGACACGACGGTCGAGTGCATGGAATTGCAATGCCTGCCTCGGAGAGGCGACTTCTGGGCTGGGATAAACTGGGAGTCTCGGCCGTCCGTGGGGCGGTCGATGAAGAGAAAAAGAAATGAGGATGCACGTGGCCAAAAAAGGCTCAAGTCAGTGCTAGGTATCCCCTCGCTTCCTAGATCGAATCATTGTGTAGTGGTGCCGCCCTGAAATACATGCGCATCCTCGGGCACTGGTGGCCAATACGCGGGGAGCGGGGAGGTTCCAGCCTCATAGGGCGAAAAGCGGCTGATGGCCAACCTTGCATAACGTAGTCAGTTACTCAAGATCAGCCGACAGAGGTATCGGTTGTTGCTGGTATTGCATAGTGATTAGCGCTCGCTTCCTCCGGTGGTGGCATTCCCGTGGAGCACAATATCACGCAACAGTCTCGCGTTAGGTTCAGAGCGTTGACTTTACACAACGCGGGGAGGTAGTTGGTTCGTGGGTAGTCGAGTTCATGAACATGACGTGCTACCTAGATCTCCTCGAATGGCAACGTTATGACGTGAATGATTTAGTCATTGAGTCGGCGACAGATGTTTGGCCCTGGTTGAAGTGAGGTGCCTCATCAGGAATGCACACCACCAGTCGGAGATTGCTGAGCAAAGAGACATAACGCGTTGGTGCTGTGCTGGTTGCGCGCGCCACACTAGTAGCGGATATAGACAGGTGACGGTGCTCACCCTCAGGGGGTTGTACGGCATCGGAGGGTTCTAGACGTGGTCGATATGCCCCTGGTACCGCTTCCCCCACTGCATTGTAATTCGCTTCGAGTGCGTTTATGTATCATGTCTTTCACCTGATAGTCTTTTTCGGGTGGTGCGCAGACCTGGCGAGTCTGGGCGACTGGATGGTATGTATGCAAGCGATGGGCAAGCCACCAAAGGCGGGTCGACAGGACGGATGTTAGGACGGCAAAATCTCCGTGACCGTTAGCTTCTGTGATTGGACATCAGGTCAGGGTGCCTGCGCCCTACGCACGCAGCCTAGTGAGGACTGGACGGCCTAGTACCGGTAGGCGGATCTCACGACGCCAAAAAGCAAGCAAGCACAAATGTTGAATGAGCTCGTTCCGTGGAGGCAAATGGCGTTGTGACGGATATCGACATGCCCGGAGGACCACGTCTCGGATTCCAGAGTAGGCAATCCAGTTGATGGCGCGGGTTGTTCCCAAGACAAGCCGAGCAGTCTCCTGAGCGCTATCTGTTCTGAAGAAAGGCATGTATGGATCATGTGGGCTCCTAGCAGGTGGTAGGCGCGTTGTCGACAACGGGGAGGTCTTGTACAACCGCAGAGGTTGGCTCTGCCTTGACTGGCAAATATCGTGATCCGCCAAGGTTATCATTGTCGACAGGGGAATTGGCGAAACAGAGCCCTACACTGCGTCAATCGTGTGTCGTGTCTGCATTGGGCTAAGCGCGGCAGGCATGCGTGCCATCTGTTGAGTATGGTAGGTGCATCGTGGCCCTGGCTGGGAATAAGCAAGCTGCGGACTTGGGCGAGATGTCGGGTCTCTTACATGTGTAGCCTGTGGTGTATTTACCGACATCCGCAGGTAAGTAATATGAACCTTACTAAGGAGGGAGGGAGAGAGAGCGAGAGCGAGAGCGGAAGAGGTGAATGCCAAGCTAACCGGAAGAGAAACATGGTATGGCAAGTGAGGTATCCGTGGTGCAGTGCACATTGTAGGTCGATAGCCGTGGGCGCCATTGTGGAGTCCTGGAGGAATGGCACCAGCACTTGGGCAAACTGCAAGTGCAACGGCAACGAACTGGGCAACTGCGACTCTCGCACGTCTTTGGACGTTGTGGAAGACGCGGTGGAAGGTTCGGCTTCGGCTAGGTACGTACTCTGTCGTCCTCGAGCACGCTGCAGGGCCATAATACCCGCAAGACCTCTCCGCAAGACCTACTGTAGGTAGTGTACGGAACCTGCGAGCACAAACCTGTTGGTCTTGCTAAATCTGGCAAAATGTTATCGAGTGTCTGAGCGCATGTGTCGCCTTGTCTCTGCAGGCAGTGTGCAGTGTGCGGACAGTGTGTGCCGTTCTATTGGTCATCGGCAGCCAGAGAGGGTTGAGTTTTTTTAGTTTTTTTTTTTTTCAATAATCCTCTTAGGGGAGGCGGGTTGGCTCTCCCTACGATAAGCAGGGAATCGGTACGTACCCGACATACAGGTACGTCAATCCCACCATTGTTCTTGCCTTTCCCGTCAATGGGAATGGGAAGGGGGAAGAAGGGGAGAGGGTGGGGGGGGAGAGAGAGGGGGGGGGGGGGGGGGGAAGGTGCAGCAGGGCAGGCAAGGCCAGCAGGGCTAGATGACACCCCACCTCAACGCTCTTCCCACCCCTTGTCGGATAGGGACGGGGGTGTCGGTAACGATTAATTGAATACCCGCGTTGCACACGACCCTTGCTCTAAATGCTGGACGGCAGACAAGATGTGGGTCGTTGTTGCCCTTCCACACCCTTCTCGATCGTGGCTCTTGCCTACGCCCTCTTTCTCACACCTCATGCTCTCTCTCTTCCTCTTCTTGGTGAGTGATCGATCATGTGTGAGTAAGACCATGCCGAACAGCTGCCTGGCCGAGACAAGAAGCTGTGCGATGTGATTAATATTTCTTCTTGTACGCGTTTCTCGTGGACTTAGATCGTACTATCAAGTGCATAATGTGCTTATATCCACTCCATGGCGGACGCAGTCAGATGAATGGGATATGGAGCCATCTGAGCGCGAGAATCCCACTAAGTATAGTACTGTAAAGGGAACCTAACCTCATGCCTTCAAGGGCCAACGAATGGTATTGATTGCCCTGGTCAACCATTTGTTTCTTGAACCCTTTACGTGCACACACACACACACACACACACACACACACACACACACACACACACACACACACATGGTTCTTGTGTATCAGTCACTCATCAAGTACGCCGCCTCTCAGCCCTGCTCCGGCCTTTCGTCCCGCTCGCAGCGTCTCCGCGGATTATACACGCTAAGCCTGATAGGGCCCACCCTTGGCCCAATACCACAGCTCCCGACGCTTGCTACAAGGGGGAGAATCGTCACGCCGCTGTGTCACCCTCAACTCGCCTACCGGTACAAGAGTCAGGATCAAGTGTGACGATAGCAGACATGGCGAGTGCGGTGAGACGAAAATGAGGTACCTCATCAGATGGGAGATAGGTAATTAATCAATGGTGACATGTCTGTGCCCGTGCCCGGGCGAGACGAGTGAGGAACAAAAGTCCTTGCCTCTTGGTAGCGGTGGCCAAAGCACCTATCCCTATTAATCCATACCCATCCGTATTCCTTGTACTATCCGTACGTGGGTACCTATGCTTACCTTTGCTGAGCTGAGCTGCCTATCTACCTAGTGAAGAGGTACTTGGGCGTAAGGCTGGTGTTTAAGATGTTACCGCGATGATGGACGTATGAATTAATGAACGAATAAGGCAGGCCCGTCCAAAGTTTCCTTTTTCGTCCCTTCTGCCCCTCTCACCCCTTCTCTGACCCGCCTTCCGGGCAACAAACAACTCGTACGAGTGAGTGGTCGTATTGCACCGTGCCTGCCTTGCGATTGCGTGATCTTTTCTTTCTCTCTCTCTCTCTCTCTCTCTCTCTCTCCCTGTCTCTCCCTCTCTCTCCCTCCACTTCCCCGCCAACCTGCTTGTCCATTTGTCAACAGGAAAGGGACCGAAGAGGCAGCAACACTTCTGCCTGCGCTGCGCTTGATCAGGTAGCAACTTTTGGAGCACTTTGACTCGAACGGGTTGGATTCAGTCGGCCTTTCTACGTGCAACGACCTGCCGACGTTCATTCAAATCCACTACATCTCCCCGCGCCTCGTCTGTCGAACCATGTCGGAGTCCGGTTAAAAGCAGCTTGACCAGATAGACAGACAGGCAGACAGACACCTGCGCACAGCTCACAGCACACGGACCGCGCGCTCTGTGGACACGACACAATCAATCCTAGTCTCGACTTGGCTTGTCCATCATCTTTCGGCGCTGTGTTCCACTTGTGTCTCCTAAGCCAGCACCAAGGCCTCTTTGTCAAGGCATCCGAGTCTCACCTCGAACGGTCCTCGCCTGTCGACACGCCCAGCAAAAGCAACAACACGGACGCCGCCTGCCACGCCCGTCACCGCCGTCTTATTACCCACATTACTCCGACTATCGTCCGGGAAAGGCGCCTTACGAGCCCGGATCCGCCTCACTCGGGTACTCCCTTTACATACGGGCACGCCTTGTACGCATTACGTAGTAGATTCCCGACAATACCGGCGGCCCATACTTTGCATGACGGGTCCGAGAAAAGCACACTCTTCTCCTCTCTCTCTCTCTCTCTCTCTCTCTCTCTGTTTCTCTCTCTAACGCGCGCACACACACGTACACACACGCGCGCGCTCCTACACAGCGCATCCGCAACCTACGCCTCAACAGGCTTGTGTGCGACTGGCTTCTCACAACTTGGTGCTCTCTGTTGCATCACCTTGGCTGCTGTCAGCATCTCCCCTCCTCGATCCCAAGCAACTGCATTCCTACGGGTCACCACACACACACACACATATACACACATACACACACATACACTACATGCAGCTTAGCACTCACACCCCCCCCCCCCCCCCCCCCCCCCCCTTGGCTCAAGAAAAAATAGCAAAGAAACAGACAGACAGGGCTGCATCGCTGGTACTGTGCTTGCATCTCACTAATCAAAAAACAAGAGGAGGAAGAGAGAGTGCCATAAGGGACAGCTACACGCCCGCCAACCGTCATTGTGCGCCCTGGTGTGTGCTGCTGGGGCTGCTAGTCAGTTCTTCCACATCCTATTCCTTTTAGGGCTGCTCGCCGATAGAGCGTCCCGCTCCTCTACCTCTACGAACACCCTCTCTCTCTATTGAGGTCTGTTTCTATCTCTGTCCCTTGTCCGAGATTCACCCCCTTTTCCCCCACCCCCACCCCTTCTCCTCCCCGTCTCTGTCCCCGTTATCCACATTGTATATCCCTGTCACTGGGCTGTCTACCCCCTCCCTGTCTGACCCCATTCCGCTTCGTCCCCATCCATCTTCCTTTCTGCCCTGCCCTGCCGTGCCGGCTTGCCTGCCCTGTTGACTTGCCTGCCCTGTCTGCCCTGTCCCTCAAGCCAGTCCTGGGCCATGCTTGGGTTTTGACTTGACTGGCCTAAGGGGGGAAGACACTCTAGAGGAAACCCATTCATCCATCTGCGTTGCACCAAGCCGGCGCTGCGTGTGGTTTATAAAAAAAAAAAAAAAAAAGTGAGTGTACCTTTTCGCATCCTGGCTCGCCTTTCTACATAGTAGAGAACCCTACCGCTCCGCTACCGCTCCCTACTGCTGCCGCCGGGCTGGCCTTTTTGCTTCGCTTGCCGCTGCCGACAGCTTTCTACACGCCCCCCCCCCCCCGCCCCGCCCATACCCTCCGTCTTCTTTCACCCCCCCCCCCCCCCCCCCCCCTTCTAGGTACTGTACTCCCCTCCCCTTCTGTTCTCGTTCTCCTCCTCAGGTTCCAGTTGCCCGTCGGCCCTCTCCTCCTCCACCTGCTCTCCATCCTCATAAAGATACCTTGTCGCCTCCTTCGCCCTCAAAGTCTAGTTCTTTTGGGGTTGCTCAGCGAACGTCACACCTCGCCTCTTATTTCAGCTGTCGTCTTCTTCCCTACGACGCAACAAGACTGAGATAGAAATCCGCTTCGACCCGTTGAACAAGCAGCCAACCAACCACTCCCAACCGCGACCACTCACTCGTCTACTTCCGACGACCTCTGTCTGCATTGCGCATTCCTCGACCCCGTTCGGACCTGGATTGTTTCTGCTGCCCCCCTCCACCCCCCGCGAATAGACCGCCGGACACTCTCACTGGGCTGTACAATTAGTCTACTGTCGCGCATTGCTGCATCTCTGCACATTGCGAATCGCTCCGCACTCGTCTTTTTCGTCCAGTCTTGTCTTTTCACTTCCACTCCCTCTTCTCGCTCCAGCTCTTACGTCGTCTAGGGAGCGAAGGAAATATTGAATAAGAAAAATAGAGTGAAGAGAAGAGAGAGAGACAGGCATATTTGACCTGTGTTGCTCGCTCGCCCCGTCACCGCTCAACAGCGAAACCCGACTCTCTCATCGCCACCATCGGCCTGACAGCAGGAAGTCCGTCTTGGCCTCGGACGCACTTCTTATTCCACCGCGATTCGAAAGAGAATAACTCCGGCCCATCACTCATGACGCCCGTGCTCACATCGCTATAAACCTTTGGTGGCGCTCCGCTTCAGCTGCAATTGTTCCGATTATCAGCTAGCTCTGCACAGATACTCTCCGCCAGCATGGAGGCAACCTCGAGATACCGGGAACCTGCTGGTCTCCCGAGCATCCTTATAGATTCCTCCAACCCCAGATCCTCCGACCGAACAGATCCTTTCAGCATGTATTCTTCCTCCGTCGCTGTCTCCATTCCCGGCTCCGACAGGATCAGCAACGCGGCTCCCCCGCCCTTACCTCCTCCTCGATTCCCTCTGGAACAAGCCCACATGCATCCTCATGAGCCTAGGCAGTACTACCGCGACCCCTCTTCCTACAGCCCGAGGGAACACAGCTATCACGACAGCATTGGAAGCTTCGATGACAGGCCGAATTACAAGAGAGCTGGTTATAGGCACGAGAGAGATGAAGGCTATGCAAGCATGGGTTCGGCTTCGGCCTCAACGAGGTAGGTGACTTTGTGTGTGTCGAGGTCTCTTGGTGGTGGCGTTTAGATCGGTCCCATGCATGTGTAGACCCTCTGCGAATCCTCACTAATTGCATCTAGGTCCGAATGCTCTCTGCCGAGCATCTCAGCCGGGTTTGGTTTGCACCACAACAAGTTCCAGTTCCAGTCGAGCGCCGATGCCTTTACCGATATGAAGAAGAAACTAGACCCGTTGAAGACGTTCGATAACAAACCTTCTGTATCTCTCCTCAGTGCCTCGAGCGCATCCGCCACTGAACCTTTCTCAAGGAGACTGTCTGGCGACCAACGTATCCCTCCGCTCTCCATGCCCACGTCTTTACCCTTTCACCCAAAGACATCAAACTTGCTGGACTCGCCCGACAGATACGCCCAGTCTCCCCATTCTGCCTTGTCGCCATCCCCAGGGAGTATTTACATCGGCCATGATTACAGATCACCCCGCTCAGTCTTGGATCTTGACCGGTCACCGCCCATGCGGTCGAGGAGGAACAACAGTGACGATGCGTCTTCGCACGGGTATGAGGTAGAGGACATGGAAATCGAAGAGACAAATTCCATGAAGAGGTTACGTATCGAGGACCCTTTGCGGGCCCACTACGACGGCGCTGGAACGAAGCGACGCGCCTCCGCCGACCCGGATGACAATGTCCCGCTCGGATTTACAACTCAAGGGGATTTGTTACGCCGCCGTGAAGGTAACCAGAGGGGTTCGCCAACACCTCGTCTCAGCGTAATCCCCCAGGGGTCTGTTTCCTCCATCTCGTCGGGAGGCCGCGCAGGATCGTACAGTTCCAACCTATCTCTGTTAACTGGTAGCATTGCCAGCATAAGCTCCTCCTATGGTCGAATTTCTCCTGGTGGCCTGTCGCCAGGAGGCATCTCACCCGGCGGCACAGACCCTGGCTGCAGCTCACCTTACAGCGCAACAACGTCCTTGAACCCTTCGCCGCGGGGTTCTCTCTCGCGCGCGCCGCACCAGCGGACGATAAGCGAAAGCCGGCCTCTTGCCTCTCCCCGCAAGTTGAACGAGGTAAACAAGCCTAGCGGCACCAAGATTTCGGGTTTCTTCATGTGCGACTGCTGTCCCAAGAAGCCAAAGAAGTTTGAAACCGCGGAAGAGTTGGCGTAAGTTGAAATTGTGTTTTACAATCTTCCATTGACTAACGCAACCAATATAGGGCCCACGAAGCAGAGAAGCAATACGAATGTTCCTTCTGCGGCAACCGGTTCAAGAACAAGAACGAGGCAGAACGTCACCAGAACAGCCTTCACGTCCGCAGACATAGCTGGAGCTGTTCAGCGCTCAGTCATTATGATCGAGCATTTCACGACAGCACTAACCGGCCTGGTGAAGCAGACACCTGTGGCTACTGCGGCGAGGAGTTCCCCCGTAACGGTCGTGGTCCTGGCGCCTCGGCACCGCGGCATGCCACCGACCAAGACTGGGAAGAGCGCATTCGCCACCTTCAGGAGGTGCATAAGTTCCGGGAGTGCAACAGCAGCAAGAAGTTTTTCCGTGCGGACCACTTCCGGCAGCACCTCAAACACAGCCATGCGGGGACTAGTGGCAAGTGGACAAACATGCTGGAGAATGCATGCATGCTCGATGAGGACCCGACCCCGCGGTAAATGGGTCGAAATACGATAAGCCAAGTTTACAAGGTCGGGTCATAATCAGACTCATTGATACAAGACTCATGTTTCCTGTACATGAGATACAAGGCAGCGACATGGGCAGACCCCGGTGGACACCGAAAGACGCGGGCTCGATGTCAACGAGAGCCCGTGGCGGCTTCTTTTTTGAAGGAACGATTCAAGATGGGAGATAGTTGGTGGAAGACTCTCTACCCCCCCTGCGATGTCTGCCTCATTTTATTTCGATTCTTCTGGTGAGAAAGGGAAAGGAAATACCCGCCCATCGATCTGGTTGGGGAAGGGTCCTCGCCGTCGATGTGGGCAGACTCAAAATGCAAAAGAAAAGTTTCCTTGGAAGTATGAGACAGCGACTACGGGCCAACAGGAGGCTATTTGAACAGCGCCCATGTTTTTTTTTTTTAGGGGGGGGCTCTTGGAGTACGTGTGGTTGCATGTTTGAGGCTTTAAGGCTTCTGTTACACAGTCACGCATGTTGTCAGTTGCGCGCATTTCTTTTGGAGGGTATACCAGGTATCGTCATGCTAGAGAAGGAGCAAGCGACACGATAACACGAAAGCGTTAGAGGAGGAGAAACAGCAGGATTTGTGGCAAGCTAGCCGGCTGGCTGGCTGGTGTTGTATTTTTTGTAAACGGAAGGGTACGGAACAAACAGGTTGGACGGAAGCGAGCAAAAGAAAATACGTTATTGTAAACAAGTCACATATCAAAACTAAGAAAGATAATTGGAATCATCTATTGAATAATTCGGACGAGAACCCGTGCTTTACTTCGATCCGTATTTGCAAAACTGGACAGGCGATGCCTGTGTGAAGCATTCGCGCCGGTGATTTGATAGAGGGAGGCAGCCTGGTATCACATGATATCAGCCCTATAAGCCACGCGTACCACCAAGCAGTGTGGCGAAGGGGGAGTGACCAGGAAGGAAAAGATTGCCGTCCTCTCTTCGTATGCTATCTTGTGAGTAGAAAAAGTTCCAGTTCCTCTCTAGATATGTAATGGGTATTTACACCCTATTACATACCTATTTATCTAACTGCCTACCTACCTGACTAGGTTTAAGGTCTTGAGGTCCCTGGAATTGAGAAGGGTACGTACCGTGTAAGACAGCGCGCCAGTCTTTTTTTTTTTTTTTTTCCAAAAAAAAAAAAAAAAAGGAAAAGTGGGACCCGTGACTCTCTCCGACGAAGGAAACAACATTTCGGGAACAACCCAAATCAATACAAGTTCCCTCGACCTGCTCCAACTGCGTCATCACCCTCCGCTACCAAGCCAAGCCACCACCCTCGGATCCGGGGTGCTTTGACAAATGAGGAGCTAAGAGAGAGAGACACGCACGCACACACATACACAGAGAGAGAGAGAGAGAGAGAGAGAGAGAGAGAGAGAGGAATTGGACCCTACGTCACTACGCCTCTTTAATTTCACGTTATCAGAGTCACTCGGCCGAATATTGCCTGGCAGAAACAGACAAAGAAACAAGAAGAGAAAATAGCATCCGATAGCCATTAAGTATCTTGAGAATCCCCCGCAAACTCATCGCCCCTCGCTGTTTCGTATGGTTCGTGGCGAGCTGCTGACGGGGGACGTCACGAAGCGATTGAAAGACATTGAGTCGAAGCTCGTGCCGACGGCAGGGCAGCAGCACAAACCACAACAGACGGGAAGCAACGTGCTGGAGGTTTACGAGGGCAATTCGGAGGAGACGGAGCAGGCTAAGGAAGTGCACCGACTGTTACGGGAGAGTTGCGTCGACATGGCAATGAACCGCGTGGACGGGAAGGACGAGTTGTTCGTCGGCGGGTTAGTTTCTTTTTTCTTTCTTTCTTTTTTTTCTTTTTTTTTTTTTGTCACCTTCGTCAACACTTTAGCATCTAACGACACCTCTCTAGCATCTGGGCCCTTCGTCGTCCGTCGGCCCTTAGGGAGCGCAACATCACACACATTCTCTCGGTCGTACGCTTCGACCCAGCCGGTCTCAAAAGTGAGACGGACACGTGGGAGAACTACGGCAAGACCTTCAAGCATATGGTCATCGACATTGACGACGTCGAGGACGCCGACATCCTCGTCCACCTGCCCAAGGCCGTGCGCTTTATCGACCAGGCGCTGTATCCGCAGGACTACCGTCACGACGCCGGTGGCGCCAAGGACGAGACGCAGCAGGCGCAGAGCTTCAAGGACAAGGCCAAGCGTCTGAGGGCGGCCGTGGAAAAGGACGAGGAGGCTGCCTCGTCCGGGTTAGAATCCGAGGTCGGGGCGGCCGCGACGGCGACGGCGACGACAACGACGACGGAGGATCCGGACGCCATCAAGCCCGCTCCGTTGTTCGCTAAGCTGAATCTCCATTCCGACGATGCCGAGAAGCCCGACCCTGATGCCCCTGGCGGCGTCTACGTCCACTGCGCCATGGGCAAGTCCCGCTCCGTCACCGTCGTCGTCGCCTACCTGCTCTGGAAACACCCCGAGCGCTTCGGCCGCGCCCCCGCCTCCGCCGCCGCCGCTCAGCAGAGCGCCTCCGAGTCCGACGACGCCGCGGCGGACCGTGCTTCGGCCGCCGTCGCCGCCGCCGTCAAGTGGGTCCGCAATACGCGCGAGATCGCCGAACCGAACCCGGGCTTCATCAAGCAGCTCGAGATGTGGTGGGCGATGGGCTGCCCGGACGACGTGGAGTCACACCCGATCTACCGGCGCTGGGACTTCCGGCGCGAGATTGACGAGAGCCTAGCAGCGGGGCAGGCGCCGAGCCGGCTGCGCTTCGAGGACGAGGAGATGAGCAAGGAAGATACGGCGGCGCAGGCCGTCGGCGGCAAGGAGACGCGGTGCAAGAAGTGCCGCAAGACGCTGGCGACATCGCGTTTCGTGCTGCCGCACGAGCAGGACGAACAGGGCAAGGAGCGGGGCCAGGCGTGCGGGCACATGTTTGTGGAACCGCTGAGCTGGATGCGCGAGGAACTGGAGAAGGGCGCACTGGAGGGGCGACTGAACTGCCCGAACGGCAACTGCGGCGCCGCCGTCGGTCGGTACAGTTGGAGGGGGTTCCGGTGCAGCTGCGGTGCGTGGGTGACACCGGGATTCAGCCTGCAGAAGGGGCGGGTCGACGAGGTCACCGTGAGGGTGCCGGGGGCCGCCGCGGCCGCGGCTGGGATGGCGTCGCTGGGAATCCGGATGCCGCCCGGGACGGGTAGGCTGTGACAGGCGGGCCGGATTCATTGTACGCGGCGCCGGAGGGTGTGGTCGGGGTGGGGTTCATGGAGGGAGGGGGCTGGAGTTTGTGACGGGATCTGGTGGTACTTTCATTCTTTTCACCGACGACATACACGGGGTTTGCACAGCGACGGAAGAATCGGGAAAGTAAGTGTTTTCTTGGTCAAGTAGAGAATTCTATACACTCAAGGATCGAGTATGCAAATCTGCCTCGACAGTCCATCTTCCTGACATCCGGACGCTGAAAGCGGCAAATTCTCACTTCCGGTCCAGGATCTACCCGAGAAACATGAGAATAGTCTCAGGGGCAACAGGTATGGACAACGGTCGGCTTGACGGGAATCCGGTCGGTCCCAGTTGTTACAACCTAGTCGAGTGAAGTTGCCCAATATCTTTGCCATCTCGTCAGTTGGGGTGTGCGTCTATCCGGAGTCGAGCAGGTCTGGTCGGGTTTTAGGGCATGCCTGGGCTTTGACATCTCGATGTTGCAATCCAATGCCTAGACGGAAGGAAGACGCTAGGGATCAAGACGAAGCTGATTCTCATGTGCTCATGATCCCTGCTTCCGGGGGCAAACTTACTGGCTTTGATCACACCATGTACTACGACGTAGTGTGCCTGTCTCACTGCTTTGGGGAGGGGGATGGCAGTGGAGTTCGAGAACACATGGCGGCGAATATAATCATCTGTCATACTAAAAACGACGCCGTTAGTGGCAGAGCAGCAACTAACGCCTTATATAGGACCTATATAGGTCACAACATCATCGCAGAGACATCTCACCCTTGCAAGTTACACGTGTATGTACGGCCTAACAATCCGGATGGAGGGACGGCCCAAGCGAACCCCTGGGCCCTTCCCTCCGTCCCCAAGACCACCCCTCAACACATGCAGTTCGAATCCCTCACTGCGACTTCCCACGGCGGGGGTTTCCAATGTTGGCTAGAGAGGCACGGCACGTCAGGCACGCCTGATGCCTACTTGCACACCGATGCCGGGCCGCAACGACAGGGCGACATACAGCCGCCGGCACGTAGAGAGTCGACCGGGCCAGCCACGCTGGGGGGGGGAGGGGCAGAAGCAAGGGGACTGACTCTTTACTGGCATCCACCCTACTGTCCTGTGTTCTGCTGCCTTATCATGAATCCTTCGATGGACTTGGGGCCCGCGATGGATTATATAAAGTCTTGGCGGAGGGCATCCACTCATTTCTTTCTCCGAGGCTATAGCGTGAGCCTTGATGCTCCATGGCAGTGATAGCGGTACCCCCTTGAGCCGTATCTCTTTGCCAATTCCGCACGGGACCTATTCCTCCATCCTTCGGTCCTGCTGTGGGGATGCATAATATGTAGACAGGGATCCGGGGCATCATTGGCCAGGTTTCTGTCAACTGGTGTCGGACACCATCATCGCCTTCATCATTATCATCTGCCCCTTGAAACTTCTGCTATCACGTTCACCTGAAGTGCGCCGAGGAGGAAGTCAAACCAGCGGGTTGCCTTCCAAAGGAAGACCAGCTAGCAAAAAGAATAACAGTATCTCGAACAGGCAGCTTATAACCCCTTGAGGGCCAAGTTTTCTGTTCCAATACCTACTTTGCCCGTCTAAGCCTGGAGGATCAGTATCCCGGTATGAATGGAACCACTAAAGGAAGCGGCCAGTAACCGTGTGAGCCCCGCCTCCTATTGATTACGATAGTTGGGATGACCTTTGAAATTGTTCCTGGCTCCACCCATTTTCGCCGATTGAGATGCAATACGGCAATGGTGATATGCCGGTTGTTGAGAGACCGTAGGGCTGGAGGAGATGTGCGGCGTGAGGCTGTGGGCGACCCTCGTAGGGTTGCACAGGTACACAATAATGGCCATCCATACACGGTCGTAAGAGCACATTAAAAGTGTCGTGCTCGATATTCAACACTATACAAGATCTTTGAAGAAATACAATGGGGGAATCCGGGTATTTAACTACTCTATTGACTGAGTTCGCAGGTGACAGTCGGAGTTTGTAGATGAATGGCGACACGCTCGATAAAAAAGCCTCCGTCTAGAACAATACGGGGCTACATCTTTATCTATCATCAACACTCGGGGCCGGGGAACCAAAGTTTGATTCAATGTGGTTGTTGCTGGGCCGGTACGCAACACCGATTGGTCAGCATACGAAGGTAAGTTTTGGAAACAACTTTCCTTAGTATTGGGTATATGGAATCGCCATGTTCGAGGTTCAGCTCCGCATCACTCATGCCCCCGAGGCGGGAGCCTATTTTATGCTTACCTGATATTCCGAAACAAGCGCGGAAGCGCTTGGAAGTAAAAGAATCAGAGGGGATCGAATCGCTGCAATCATTGAATCCATAAAAAAAAACTGTTATGGTGATTACTCGCGTCACCGCTGACAAACACTTGCGTCATGATAGGATGAATTACAGAAAGGACAGTCACCCAACCCTGAGTTTGCTTGTTTTCTTGTGTTGCTATTCGTGAATGGGCCTAGACAATGACTGGCAATCTCGGTGGCTGCAACATATCCCGGTTCGGCATTATGATCAACCAATGAATAATTGTGCCTCCAGAGCCCCCCCGACCCTCAGCTGCCTCTCTGTCGTGTCTATGAAACGGGTCATGACAACATTCTCATTCGTTGGGGTGCGAGTGGCTAGCTGGTGTGTTCACGCCTTGATATACCTGAGACTATTACGGACATATCACGGATGAAATCTGACTCATAGTCATTGGACGAGAAAGTGGGCGTTGAAGGTTATGTAAGAACAGCTCCAAGATAGTGTGCTGGCTGACATTGAATTTTAGCCTACCAATAGTTCTATGACATTGAAATGCGATCATAATGACTTGGTCAAAGTTGAATTCCATCGTGGATAACAACTTGGCAATGCTTGATCCAATAGTACAAAGGTCCCGGCACGCAAACCGAAGCGTTCATGCGATAATTTAGGTTCATGAGTAAGCGGGATCTCATCATCACCCGTTGAGCAAGGAGTTTCCCTTCAACTGGGACGGCCAAATGACACGGTTTCTCGCATATCGCGGCACGACTGCGATGACATACAGGCGTACCCCTGATGTAGCGAAATAGGGGCCGTCGGCTGAGACGAAGACATTTTCCTCGCTGACTCTCAGCGGAGATGATGCAATATCCCCGGATAAGTGACGTTCATGTTCATGCACTTGTTCCCCTTGGTGACCTCCTCTCTCTCCACCACACACTCGTTACGCCTCGTATTCAAGAGTTGCAACATGAGAAATAGGGCACCACAGGAGAACAATTCATTCTTTCTATTTTTCTGATTTTTGGAAACTCGGATTTTGCGGTTCCGGTTCATAATGATGGCCCTCTCACGTAAGTCCAATCCTGTCCCCGGGACTGTGTTAGCCTTACGGGAAACTGTCGGATCGTAGAACTTGAGCTGACCTCTAGACCAGATTTTCCCGCCACGAGCAACACAAAAGTGCCAGCGTTGTTTGGCTGCCCTTGTGTATGGAGCCATGTGCCACTCTACGGCGCCGCCCAGAAACGCCGTCGCTATCACCATGCATTGGCAAAGTTCAACTCACCTGGACTTGTAGAGCGTCTGCCACCCGAGATCGTCCTCTGCATTGTCGACGCCCTTTTCGACTTGTGCGCCAAGGAGGTGTCTCTAGGTTACGAAAAGTACTGGGAGTCATCATGCCTCCCTTACGAAACCGAAGCCATGTGCCCGTTCTGCATGCTCCCCCGCTTCGAGGTGTGGAGGGACGTGGCGAACCTGGCGGCAACGTGCCGCTCGTTGTATGATCTCATCACGCCCGTGATCTACCGACGCGACGCGCAGCAGAACCACTCGTCCGCGCTGCTGATCTCGGCGAAGAGGGGCAACATCCGTGCTTTGAAGCTAGCGCTGGAGAATGGCGCGAACGCGAACGAAGACGACCACACGATGCCCTTGCAGTGGACGAATGAGTGCTTCCGGCACTGCGAGCACTGCGAGTACCAGGTGTGGTGGAGAGAACCGCGGAGGCTCGATATGGGCGCGCTGCACTGGGCGGCGTTGCGTGGGCAGCCCGACGTTCTCGAGATCCTCCTGCGCCGCGGAAGGGCCTCTCCGAACAAGAGGGCGTCGGTGCAGCCGGGCCTGAACGCCGGAAACTACGGGTCGCTCCAGTACGTGGAGGACTTCTGCAATGAGTATAACGCCAGCTTCCCGTGCGTGGCGTTGCAGACGACCATAGGGTATAACTCTGTGAGCACCCACGGAGCAAACCCGCTCTACTTCCTGCTGGGGACGAGCAGGCTGAGGGATTCCGGCAAGACGCTGGAGTTGGTGCGGCTTCTCGTGGAGTTCGGCTCCTCGCTATTGACACATGAAGCTGCCGGGCTCCATGCGCTTCATCAGGCATCTGCATACGACAACATCGAGGTGACGGAATTCCTGCTGAGAGAGATGAAGGTCGATCCGAACGTCGAGGATGCTGCCGGAAACACACCGCTTCATCACCATATCGACTCCAGATTCAGGGTCGAGGGGGGCGTGCGAGACACGAGGATGCTGTCGCTCCTGCTAAAGTACGGGGCAGACCCGAACGCGCGGAATATAGACAGCCTCTCGCCGTTAGACCTGTGCCTCATCACAACGCTGCTGGGTGACGAAAGGATGAAGCTGTCGGTCATGCTGGCAGAAAACGGGGCCACATTGAGGGATCAGGACTTGGGCCTTCATAGTGCAAGGTTGACTGACGAGCAACGTCAGGAGTTAAATGCAGCTTTCCAGAAAGCGAGAATATCGGGGAAAACTCAATGGGATGGGAGGGTGTAGGATGCATCATAGAATCATAGAGAGTCATGTTACTTACGGTTGAATAGCGGACTTCCCTTACTCATTAGTGAGAAATGCATGGCAGTTGGTTTTTTAGTATGAAAGACTGCACTACAACAGACCTGCTGATCCCTTCTCCTCCCAAATCGGCGTCGTAAATGCATTCAAGCCCGCGTCAGCACCTGGGCTTCAACCTAGTTCTATTCATCTTAGAGATTCAAAGCTCGGAGAAGGTGATTAGTCAATCTGCATTGGGCAAACAAAACAGATCACTCTTGAGAGGTTCTCGATCTGGTCTAATCAAGCGTTCGGCTCCGGATTGCACATTGCAACTCTTGTCAGTAAACTTAGACTTCGACTATATGTCATGAGCATATATATATCTGCTTTGGCTCTTGCACCTGCTCATCCCTACCACGGCACAACCTTCCATTCGTTTGCTCTGGCATGGGAGGTTCTGGGTTTGAATGCAGAAAAACGGGGCACACTGAGTCCCACAAATGGCAACCCCCCTTTCCCCCGCCAGATGCCGGCATCGGGTTCACAACTTCACTCACAACTCTCACAACCTGCAAGTTGTAAACACAGTCCATGATCAAGTGCGGACAGGACGAATCAAGCGCTGAGGCCCGAGCTTCATAGCCCCGGCTTTATTTCTGCACCGTGACTAGAATGTTATGGGATCGGCGCCGCGAGGCCAGGAGATAGGCCCACTGCTGGACGAGAGAATCTTTAGAACACCGGGCAGGGGTGGAATGCCGAGAGAGTACAAGCTGTACGTTGGTTCCAGTATCGGACACTGCAGGACACAAACAGCGTTGACGGTCTCTTGATAAGTCCAAATCGGCTTCTTCCCGTACACATTTCTATGATTACCCTAGTAGACACTTATTGTTTTGAGTTGACTCTTCAATAGCTTCAAGGATGCACACTGAGCTTTGATTGTCCACACCTTCATGGCAATCTGTTTGACGAACCTTCAGGATTCCTTGTGTTGATTGCTACGGATTCACCACACACCCTCGCGGCCTCTTTATCTTCAGGCAGATGTATTGTGTCCCAATTCTTGTTTGCAAAGCAAAGTGCAAGCTTGCAGCATACCCTGGATAAGTAAACGTGTCTTGTTTGTATTGCCGCCGAGCCATTTATATCTTCCAAGCCACAATGTTTTAATTTGTTCACGGTTTCTGCGTTTTATCCTGAACATCGATATGGGTCTTTGGGGCACCAGTCGGGAATCATGTCAGCACGCAAAGCAACGCATCATCTCATGTTCATTCAAACCCTTATACAATGACAAGGGAAAGTGAACCCATATGCTACATAGCTGATACGATTATCCCAGAGACTTAGAATCTAATTCCAGATGACCTGTAAGATAATGAACCTTCCCGCTGCAAGTACCGTTCTTCCTCGACCACGAATCAAATAATATTCAAAGGCCAGCTGCTAGCGACATCCGGTTGACTCTAATTACTAATTTGCCTGATTATCACATTGCACCACAGCTGAAAAGGCCTCGTCATGCTGTTGATTGCCGTCGACCTGTCCCGAGCATCAACAGGGAGCTAGTCACCGGGGCGTCAGAGTCACATCAGCCGCCCTGCACCAACCTCCTCCGTCAGCAGCCACGACTCATCCACTGCAGGGCATCAATCAAGACACCCCAAGAAAAACAGGAACCGTTAGTTAGTCTTGTGACTCCGTTAACCCCTCTCCTTGAGTCTACTCTCCTCGCCAACTTGCGAAGGAGGGGTTTGTGGCTGGCTGGCGAGCGCCCGAGCAACAGAGTTCTCACGTAATATTCCCTGCTTTCCCATTAACGATCTTCACGTCGCGACTGCGAATCTGTGAGGTACATGGTAAGCTGCATAGTCCAAGCTCCCAATCGTCCGCAAAATCCAGGCTTTTCATGTGGGCATCATGTACATACCAAACCTGCCCAATGATTCCACAATCCACATGCATCTCTTCTTCCCGCTGAAACGTCGATTCAATACCTCGGCCTTTGCAAAAGTTTGCCCCTTTGGCTTATAGAGAATCTGACAAGTGACCGAGGCGCAAGCCACTCGCACGAATCCCGGGCACCGCTGCTGACAACCCCGATTAAAGTAGACACAAGATTCATACGCAAGGCATGCGAGTAGTGACAAGGGAAGCCGAGCCCTAACCCACGTCGGTGCCGGCACATTATTGATGTTTGTCCAATGTGGAAGCGCCATCCCTCCTGCTAGCCGATGACGCCTTCCTGGTCTCGCCCCGGACACCATCGAACCGATCGAATGTATCTCCAAATGCGAGCTAGTTAATGGCTGGGGACCTCCCGTAAGCAGCAGGGATCTAAGAGAATGTACTTTGTATCATTCACCTAGACTGTCCGCCAGCAACTGAGGCTTTTATGGAGTCCAAAGTAGGCAAAAGACGGTCACTGTCAGCTTTTCGCTCGTTTCGAGCTGTCTGATAAGGTTGGGTCCGGAGCCCAGATTCTCTTCAAGCGTTAGAGATGGGCCCACCAAACACCGACGAGTCGAGATGACTGCGGGCATGACGGCGCCGTCAGACAACGGTGGAGTGAGATGTCATCTCCATAGGTCGGCCACTGGATTACACAGGTTGAGATGACGCGTTCGTTCTCGAGTGCCAAGCTCTGCCTTCAGGAAGTTTCAGGGCATGATCTGAGAGTGACGACATCTAAAGCTATTGCACAGTGACCTTATTAGTCTTGACCGTACGATAATTACAAAGAAAAAGACGGGACGACAATTTCAATATCCTTGACGCTGACCAAGAGCTACGGAGCTGCAATATACCCGTCCGGATTCCAGTGTGCTACTCCGCTGATCTGCCGTATGATCGTGGCAGTAACAAACTCTGTCAACCACTCCGGCAGGCGATACCAACAGCACATGTACCCAGTCCGCGCCATGCTGAACGATGAACACACTAGCCTCACGCCCGAGGCGCGGGATGCTCGGCTCTAGATACACCACTGGTGTCTGACTCGAAGACGCTAGAGCTTGCTCAGCTTACGCCCCCTCCTTGAGCATACCCCTCGCTGAAGCTGCTCTATCTACGCGAAGCTTATCAGCCTACTGCGATGTCAGCTGGGTACGGGAGAGGCTCGGCATGGCATGTAAGCGGAGCACGGTTTCCCACCATCTTCTCGTTCTGTATTTGTTTGGCGACAGGCCCCCTTGAACGGGACAAGCCCCTCCCCTCCTCTTGATCAGATCGTCGTGCGGGGTGTGTGGAACTGAACGGTTCTGGATGTTAGTGGTGTGTTGTCTATAAGGGGCATGCCTCCGTGATGTGACGCTGTTGCGGCCGGAGTCTCGATCATTTCGGCAGTCGTTTAAGGAGTGACTGAACTTGGCCGGCAAGGGAAGACATTGCATCCACAAGGAAGGCCGTTAGAACTCGGCAACAGTCGATATAGTACAAGTCACAGGCAAACCTCCACCAAATCGACAGGAATAAACGTCGGGACCACCATCAACTCGCAAGGCTGTCACTTTCTCACTAGCTTGATCGCATCATGCGTCAGCGCCTGACCGTGAGGTTGGTTTTTGCATGAGTCCGATGACACTCCCGACTGAGTGGATGTTATTCCAAAGTCGCATTGTCATCAAAAATGCTGACGCTCGGAAGGTGAGATCAAGGTTCTGCCTAGGCAAACCCCTTGCTACACTACACTTCCTTTCCCTTTCGAGAAGTGGAAGTGACACATGTTCTGACATGATGGCAGTGAAATGAATTGAGCCTGCCAGTATACCTAGTGCGAGGGTAAACAATGTAGTGTCCTTTGTTGGCCGAGCCCGCAGAGCAGGTAGTCGCGGCATTAAATTGGTCATTGTAGCATGACAACATAGCCTGGCCGGGCATCTTGTGCTCCGGTTCTGGTCTCGGCATGTTCCAGTACGGCAAAGCTTCAGATTCTCATCAAGTTACCCGAAAGCAAGACTTGAATGGTATCTATTCTGCTGCAAAGTTCTTTTAGATAGGAACCTCCTTGGCAATGTCAGCATGCGCTGCAACAACCGGCACAGCCACCGCCCGAGGCAGAACCCAGACAACTTTGTTTTTGTCGTGTCAATTACAGCTACTTGACCCACAAGAACAGTTGCTGTTCGTGCTTACTTTCCTGCGGCATTTGCCGTCAAGAAATATTTACATGTCGGCCGATCGTGTTGCCCAAGTCTTGTTTTGTCCTTGCCCTCCGTTGCGTGGTGGAGAGGACGACTCTGCAGCGTAAGCGATTAGAGGGGCAGAATAGCCACAATGGATTCTGATAACTAATAGACAGACACGATGTATGTTTGTAGCTGCCTTATTTTAACTTTGCTCCGCCCGCCTGTGAGAAGCTACAGAGGTAATCGTCGTGGTAAGTATTGCCCTGACCGATTCGCCGCGATACTAGCCTGAACTTGCGATATATGTTTGGAGTGAACTGCTGAGAGCGGATCACCTCGTACCAGTGCTCGCTGTGGTGTTTCGATTGTTCCGCACCCGATTACCGTCGGGTAGCACGCGCATCCAGCAGGCGGCCGTCAGCCCTAAGCTCCTCTGGACGAGGGCCGCATGCCGCGGGTCGTGAGCTAGTAGAACGGCACAGATACCTAGTCCCTGTCAAAAGGCACCGGGCATTATGGATCAGGTTTACCCCGCCGAGCTCGGGTTCTCGAATAATACCCAGCTTGGTCTAGTTGGGCTCCATTCCTGGATCTCGGCAATAGGAGGAACACGGAGTTTCCAGAGCCCGACAAAACCGTTCCCATGTACGCACAAGATGGTGTTTGTCAGGGTATGATCCGCTGCAAAGTTCGCGGAAAATTGTGTGATGTGGTTTTCCAGGAGATGAGTATGCGGCTGGAGGCCCCCCCGCCCCATACCTCAAACGTTACGATTGATCATATATCCTCTGCGGAGTTGTTCTTGGCCGTTCCAATGAAGTATAGCCTGTAAAGAATAGAGTGCTTTGATTTGCTGGGTAGTTGTGCAGAGAGCGCATGTGCAGATGTTGCCCCAGCAGCGTAAGCATGACTGACGCATATAAGCACTAAGCCTGACAAGGAGGCCTGTGTGGCAGAAAGGACGCGGCGGGAGGTCATTGGCGAGGATAAACAGACTCCCACAGCCAGCATGAATGATGTATCGGCCTGTAGGGAGACTACTGATATAGGTCTAGTGAGTTAACAGTACTTAGGTCTTTTATGGTCACGGCTATGTGGACGAGTATTGAAAGTCTCGAAGAGAATGGCTGGCCACTGACTTCAGTGGAGGTCCTAGTGCCACACAGTGGAAGGCCCAAGAGTCCGAGGTGAAGTGTAAAATACGCATAACAGAGTGGTCTTCCAAGGTTTGGGATGTGTACACTCGGAAAAGCTTTCAGCGCATGCTGACTACAGCAATGCACTGGTGGCGGTTTCTACCCGAGGCGCTACTCGAGAACATGTTGAGGGCGTGACCCGTGCCAGATCGAAGCCCTGGATCTCTTGAACGGCCCTTGGCATGACCAGTGAGGGGTTCGAAGATAATAGCCACACACCCATGATCATCGTCAAGGATTGTAGCGGTGCTGCATCATCTCGAAAAATACACTAGCTTGTGCTCTGTAGCACCGCAGCGCGGCAACAGCCTACTAGAGCTACTGCAGGTCGTCTTACGATGCGTAGAAGCGTAGACTAAACAGAGGTAGTTAGGCCAGCAAGCCCTGCACATGCGTAAACCGGCCAATGGGAATAGTGTGTGGTATAATGCGACGTCGAGGTGTTGTACGCACGATAACGGTTTACAATCGGTGCCGACCAGAAACGAACATAGCCGATGCAGCAAGCTCGATTTGGACGCATCCTGAGTTAGCTTTTGGATCCCTGTCCTGGGTTGATTTGAACTGGAAACCGGTATATATTAGAAGCCGGCCCTGATTTTAGGTGACAAAGCCAGGTGTGTAGGTGGTATGTGACCTGACAATCTTGTTTGGATAACAGTGTCATGTTGTTGATGAGGCTCTCGTCAAAGGGTATCCATGCTCGCCGAGTTTGACCTAGTGTGCAACATGGGTTCGTTCCTGCATTGAAGATACATGTCAGTTGCCTGGTGCACCTGGCGCACCTTTCGGAACCGATGGAAAGAGGTTCGGCTGCTGCAGTCGTTCACGATTCCGCTTCGCGATTTCCATCTGCCGTTTCTTTTCGAGTCGAATACCGTAAAAGTTCCTATCGAAATGTTGAGCTTGGGAGAAATTTTGGCATGGCCGGGGACTGCCTACTTATGGAGCGCGAAAACGCGGGGCTCCTCCGTGGGCGGAGTGGGCGTCTCAGTGCCGTCCTAGAAGCTCGTCAGCCATGCTTTTAAGCCTTGAAAAGGTTACAGCGGCGCTTGTTGCTCACCTTTTCGGGAGACTTGGCACCGGCTTCCTTCTCGTCGTCGTTCTTCTTGTCATCCTTGCCTTTCTCCTTTGCCTTGTCCTTGTCCGTGGTCTTATCCTTTTCTTCCTTTTCCTTTTTTTTCTTCTGCTTTTCTTCATACTCTTTTTTGACGCGCTCTATTTCTTCTTCGAGTTCCTTCTTCTTCTTTGCTTCCACAGCCTCGTTATCGATAATGGGAGAGCAGAAGTTCTTGTCTTTCAGATGGCTGGGGCATACGTAGAAGAAGTCCTGGCGGTCGAGTTAGCTTCAATCGCTCAGTTGAGGCAACTAGCTGTTTCATACCTTGTTTTCCGCCGCAACAAGAACACTACTGGTGGCGCGATAGCACACATCGCAACCCTTGGCCGCAGTCTCGGCCACTTTGCGGTGGGTGTAGATGTTGGCGAAGGACATGACGTTGGCGGTAGGGGTAGATGTCGCGTAAGCCTTCAAACTCGGCTGGAATATGGTGTGAGGACTTGGGAGGACGGATGTGTCATCACCAGCACCAAAAGGCGAGACGATGTCGGTAGGACTAGGACTTGAGGTCGGGATAGCAGGTGTTGGTTCGTGACGTTTGAGGATGGGTGAAGTAAGTCGAAATGGTGACACCGACGTGGGGCAGGGAATGTCCCGTTAGCTAAGGCGGAGGAGGGGAGAGCCAGTGGCGGACCGGTGGAAATCGCGGGGTGACAAACCGACGCGTCAAATCAATGGTGGAAGATTTGGGGGGATGTATCCACTATCCACTGTGACGTTCCCTAGAGCGCGGTGGTTAGAGCTCCTTAGCTTGCGATAAGAGAGAATTATATGCAAGATAAGACAAGGCTGAAGCAAGCAAGAATTGATGATCAGTGCTCAGACTTGCGCTACGATGATTTTTTGGAAAAACTTGCGGGTACAGATGAGTCAAGAACCTGGCATCCCCCAACTCCCCTCCTCTTAAAGACGATATCATCCTTGCACTTGGCACCAACCCATCAATCAAGCCATCCCTTGTGTTATCCATTCCTTTCTTGGTCTCAATTGCTGTAACTCCATCCGTTCCTTAACCCATTGGAACTTCGATCACTCCTGATATACCAATATACTATCTAGAGACATCACCATGGTCCCAAGCTCGAAGCCGGCGGAGAACAAGCTTTGGGGGGGCTCGCTTTACTGGTAATTTTCTTTCCATTACTCTGCTTTTGTCTGTCTATTGGACGATTGACTGACGGACCCAGGCGGCCTCGACCCCCTTATGGAGCAGTACAATGAGAGCATCCACTTCGACAAGCTCCTCCACAAGCAGGATATCCTTTGCAGCATCGCTTTTGCCCGCGCGAATTACAACAATGGCACTCTGACTCAACACGAGTTTAAGGAGATCGAGAGAGGCCTCCTGGAGGTTGAAAAGGAATGGGAGGCTGGCAAGTTCAAGATGGTCCCGGGTGACGAAGGTATGACTGACTGCCTATACTTCAAAATCGATATGCACCAGCAGAGACTGACTTTGGGAAGACATCTACACTGCCAACGAGCGTCGGCTCGGCGCGATCATTGGCAAGGACATTGCCGGCAAGCTTCACACAGGCCGCGGCCGAAACGAACAGGTCGTCTGCGACATACGCATGTGGCTCCGCGACGAGCTTATCAAGCTCGAGGGCCACCTCAGCAGCTTCTTGAAGGTCACCGCTGCCCGTGCCGAAATGGAGATCGACTACATCATGCCTAGTTACACTCACCTTCAGCGCGCCCAGACCGTCCGCTGAAGTCACTGGATGCTCTCGTATGCCATGGCCTTCGCCAACGACCTGGAGCGCCTTCGCGAGGTCATCAAGCGCGTCAACCGCAACCCCTTAGGATGTGGTGCCTTGGCCAGAAATCCCTTCAACATTGACCGTGAGGCAATCTCCAAGGAGCTGGGCTTCGAAGGTTTGCTCTGGGACACCATGGCTGGTGTTCACGACGGTGGCTTCGTCACTGAAACGCTGCAGTGGGGCTCGGTCCTTATGCAGCACATTTCTCGCTGGTCCGAGGACATATTCAACCAGCGAATATTCATACTCTCAAGTTGTTGCTGGTCTGGATTCATGTGGATAATCTGATGGATCTCGTACGCCAGATATGTAGCGATTTTCTTCTGGGACAGGTTGTTGACAAGGTTAAACCAGGAACCCAAGCTGACTTCAATGGTGGACGAATTCACACGTACGATAACGGCAATATTTTATTCACCCAGAAGGGACAAGCAAATCAACACCAGTTAGTTGATGATATTGCTGGGGCGAGTCGTCCGCTCTCGACCCCTTTATGTTAGCCACCGACGTTGCCGACTATCTTGTCCGCAATGGTGTCCCTTTCCGCGAGACTCATCGCATTTCTGGCCGCTGCGTCGCGCTCTCAGAGAAGACTGGCATCCCGATAACAAGCTTAGTTACGAGAAGCTGAAGGCTGTCGATAAGCGCTTCGAGGAAGATATTGCAGAGACCTTCAACTACGAGAGGAGCGTCGAGATGAGGACGGCCAAGGGCGATGCTAGCAAGGCTAGTGTCCTCGAGCAGATTGCCGTTCTGCGGGCATTGGTGGAGTAAATGTGCCCTACCTGGCTGGCATCGCAAGCACCGCGAAAGAAAGAAAAGTGCGATTTAGGGCGTCCTGGGCAGCCGTGGTTGGTTATGGTTAATGGGAGCGAGAATGTGTGGCATTATCAGGAAAGGGGGGCAGCAAAAAGACAAAATAGTAAACTTGGGATCAATGATGTGCGAAACGGGTTTTCAAATGTGTCGATAGGTCGATAGAAAAGCCATCTCCAGCGGGCTCAAGGATGTTCATTTCCTGCGTGTTGATTGACTGGAATTGGCCTCTATTGGGTTGGACGATCCGGTGGCAACTTGACTCGAGAAAGGGGCCCGATTTGCTGTTCCAACTTCCAAAGCATACCTACCTACCTAACTACCCAGGCAGGTAAGTAATTAGTGTACGACCCACGGGGGAACAATGCCGAATTATGTAAGTCCGAGTCCGCGCCGCTATGCGCCGGGATCATGCAGTGAAACAGTGACTGTCCAGCGCGCCGAGTGCCAACACGTCACATCCCAAAATTTCAATCGACGTCGCGTCAAAGAAAACATCATCATCACCGATCGATCCCTTCTCAAACCGTTGACGACGACCCCTTTTATACCCGACCTCGAAATCTGCAGTTCGCCGTCATAACGAGCGAAAAATCTGTCAAAGTACTGCAACAAGCCACCAAGACCCCGATAATTCATCATAATGCCCGCCGGTCTCGACAGCCAGCGGCTAGACGCTGTCTTCCAGTCACGGCCAGACATTCTTCAGGGCATTAAGAAAGCAGCCGGTACGCCGATGAATCTCAATTGCGCATAATCTTTCTCGTCGACGCTGGCAAGCTAATCCTTCTTTTCATACAGACACTCCCGCCCGCATCGCTCTTTTTAACAACATCGCAAACTTCGTCCACGAGCAGATCAACGGACCAGAACCTGCATCGAAACGTAGACGGGTAGACGAGGGTCCCACGAACGGATTCAAAGCGACAAACAAAAACGGCACGACCCCGAACACTGCGCCCAAGAGCACCGGCACCGGCAATGCGGCCGATGAAGAGGTACTTCTTGAGATCAAGGACATCTCCGTCTCGGTGCCGCAGCGTAAGAAGTACGACTTCTGTTTCACCGCGAACCACCTGTATGCTCGCGCACCCAACACTACCGCTCCCGTAGAGGGCATCATCTACGCATGGGAAGACATTGGTACGTTCCTGGCATCCCAACTAGCTCTGAGTCGAACCTAACCCTCTGGTCAAGAATATGCATTCTACCTCCCCGTGCCCGAAAAAACCCAGGTGCAGCACAACTATGTCCTGTTCCCGCGCGGAACCTGCCTTCCTACAAAGAGCTCGCCTGAGAAGGAAGCGCTGGTATTTACAGTGCCGTCCACACCCCCCAAGCAGGGTACAATCGGCGGGCCCAGAGCGAGTGCCGCGTCGGCAGTCTCCGATACTTACCGCGCCCTCTTCGATTGGGCACTGACGACACATCTCAGCTCTGCTGGCAACAGGGCCGAGATCGTTGCGGCGGACCCTAGCAAGTTTCATAGCCTCGTCCGCCAGCCACACAGGCCCAATGAGAAAGCGGTGCACGTCAAGGCCTTTCGCGGGTCCAAGGATGGGTATCTTTTCTTCCTGCCCAACGGCATCTTCTACGGCTTCAAGAAGCCCCTCGTCTTTCTGCCCATTGACCGTATTGTGGCCTTCAGCTACACGAGCGTCTTGCAGCGCACGTTCAATATCGTCGTTGAGGTCTTCACAGAGGGTGACGCGAAGGAGGAAATCGAATTTGGTATGCTAGACCAAGAAGACTACGCTGGCATCGACGAGTCATACGTAAAGCGTCACGGACTACAAGATCGCAGCATGGCGGAGCAGAGAAAGGCAAAGATGGAGCTGACGGAGAACTTGAAGGCGAAGAAGGCGGCTGATGCGGAGGCCGGTGCGAACGGCAATGTTGATGACAATGGCATGACGGAGCTAGAGAAGGCTCACCTAGAAGCGGAGCAGGTTGCGCAGGAGGAGGAGGACGAGGATGAAGAGGACTACGATCCTGGCAGCGAAGGTGAGAGTGAAGGATCGGGGTCAAGTGACGATGACGACGAAGACGATGATGATGAGGCTGAAGGGGATGAGGATGACGAGATGGCTGAAGAGTAGAGGTCCCGGGTTGCTTGCATACAATGCATGGAGTTGGGAATCAGGGCAGAGCACTCGCCTTGACAAGGGGGTTTCAATGTAACTTGGCCCATGACCATACCACGATGATTTGCTATCAAACTGTACGATAATGCGACCATATCAAGCGCTCCGCATAGGCACGCTCCGCATAGGCACGCTCAGCATCCGCGGACACCGGTTTGGCAGCAAACATGCCACTGGTAAGCCACAACTTCTCTGTCAGCTCTTATCGCAAAAGTCAAATCTGCTGAACAAAGTGGTTGCTTCGTCAGTCGTTAACTCATATTCTATCAAGGTTGTGCGCATGTCAGGCAAGGCCATAGTCTCACGGACTCTCAAGTCTTAACAATGTGCACTTTGCGACACACATACAAACCCTCATCCACATGCGTCTTTAGCGCCAGACTCATCATGGTACTCGGATTTACCATCATGGGTTATTAAGCAAGGAACCCGACAGCATGGAGGCAACCTCCACTTCAAAAGCTTCGTCAAGGATGGCCTCCCGAACACCTGCAGGTATCGTGATGCTCCATCTAAAAAACTTTCAGACGGGCCACAGCCATGAACTCCAACCTTGCACTCCAACCTTGCACTACGCGAACAAGCCGCAGAGGTAATAATCGGAGCCTCCAAGGTATCTCGAGACACTGCGTATATGAACAGCGAAAAATGCCATTGAAAGCGTTGAACACAACTGTCCTTACCAAGCTTCTCACTCACAAGTTTTGAGTCCCATCGACATTCATCATGAAGTCAACATTACTTGGCTTCGCCGCCCTCGCCGCCCTCGTGGCGCCCGCTGTCGCCATCCCCCTCTTCTCTACCGACTCGGGCTTTGCCCCTAACAATGACACCACCCACTACGAATCGGTGCGTTCCAAAGGGGGCGTCGTCCCGGCCAAGGTTATGGAAGAGGCCTGCCTAAAGTGGTGCCCACGCGTCGTCCCCGGGCTCCATGCCTACAAACAGCCCGCTACATTTGCCTGCAGGCTCCGCTGCCGCTCAGACGCCTACCGGGTGAGCCGCCAGGAAAACTCGGAAGACGCCAAGAATAAAACCCGAGTTAAGGAGTTTTTCCGCGAGCCAGTCGTCCCGCTTGAGCTCGGGCTGTTCCTCAAGAAGCACCGCTTATTCAACACGACCGGTATCGAGAGCCGAAGCGAGGACGGCATGGCTTCTCAGGTTGCTGCCGGAGGAGATGACGTTAAGATAGACCCCAAAAAGCCGAAGCGCAACCCCTGCGCCTGGCCGTCTGAGTGGGACAATTCCTCGGAGAGCCAAAGGGAGATGGATGCCTGTCTCAAGTCCTGTCCCGTCGGCTCCTTCTCCGGCGCCTGCCTGCACCCTTGCTTTTTGGAGATTACGGAGAGGCGGTGCGGAGAGAAGAGGGCAAAGGAGTACGAGCACGAGGGTGCAGAGCACTGGGCCGGGATCCGGAGGCAGTGGGGGCCGTTCATTCCGGGGGTTCCGGAAAAGTTGGTGAAGCTACCCCAATTCCTCATAGATTATCCTCTCCCCCCTCCCAATTATCCTGGTGGTCTCCATATTATTCCCAACGAAGAACCACTCCTGGACTAAGAGAACAGCGGGCTCCTTAGAACCAGCGGCCCTGGCGCGGCATGTGGTCATTTTGATCATGAGATCTATCTGACTGATGAATGTTTCCTGTTGCTTCGTCAATCTCATCAACATTGTGTACACGAGGAGCTACTGTGCGAACACTTCTTTCTATATGGTTCAAAGCGGATGTACAGCGCGTTAACTTAAGGGAGTCCGTCGAAATTATAACAGATGTGTTGCCGAATTCGATGACGTCATACGACGATCCAATGTTGCATAATAACGAAGTCCCAGGTTGGCTCTTGTTTGATGAAGAGCATCCAGACATTGGGCAAATTCAAGACGTCAATATTCAGAAATGGAACCAGAGATTGTGTGATATGCCCAGCTTGCCATCTTGCTTGTGATGAACCCAATTCCCATCACGTACAACTTATCTAGCAGTGACTTGTGGGAGCCGGATTGTTAAACCAGAGTTTTGCGATGCCCTTGCGTTTTCCCGATAGATTGAGAATTGAGGATATGCTTGTGAAGCGGATTGTGTAGACACTCAAAAATTCCCTGGCCTAGGCGTGCTGGTCGTGTCAGGGAGGGTTTAATTCTCGTTCCGACGAGATCCGAAGACGGCTTGCTCGGCCCTACGTTTTTCAGTAAGTTCTCTTCAAGGTGAATGCCACACAATCTGCCGTTGTTAGTAGTTGCTAGTCTTAGGCTGCGAGATGGTTACCTGGTCCAGCCAACCGCTTGCAAATCACTTGACATTTTGGCTACCGACGCCACGGCTGTTTGCTAATTCAATCAAGCCTGGCCCTTTGATCATGATTGTAGCTGTGAAAGACAAAGGAGATTATGAGGCGTCGTGATCAGCGCTGTCTGTGGTGTGGCGTGCAGCCCTGCAAATATCCTGTCAGCGCTAAGTTCTTGTTGACAGATAAGTGCCTATGCAAAAAGTAATCGGGCGGCGCGTCTTATCCAAATCACATAAATCCTTCAGTCATTGTCGTTCAGAGATACGCTCTAAAACCGAGCCTCTTTTCAAAAATCAGTCATTCTTTTTCTCCAAACCTGAAAAGCCGCGGCGGATATGACGTTCACGTACGACTGCGTGGTAATAGGGGCAGGCTACTCTGGGCTTGCGGCAGCCAGACTATTAAAAGATTCTGGAAAACACATCTTGGTGCTAGAAGCGCTTGACCGCGTCGGCGGACGCGCAAAGACGATACATCACGGTGTTGGAGAATACTGGGACGTCGGAGCCTCTTTCCTCGGCGACCAACAGGACTTGATGTACGGCTTGGCAACAGAATTCAACGTGCCATTGCACACTGCAGCCACGAATGGCGAGATTGTTCTGACTTATCGCGGCAAAGCGCGGGGATACAGCGGGCTGCTTCCGCCGATGCGGCCATGGGAAGTGCTTGACATGGGTATGTTTGTTCGCCGGTTTGAGAAGCTATGCGAGTCTGTCAACCTGGAGAAGCCATGGTTGACGCCGAATGCGGAAGAACTTGATCGCATAACTGTGCGTGAGTGGTTGACGAAGGGGGCATGGACGCAAGCTACAATCGACATGGGAAACCTGGCGTTTGAAACGACTATCGGGCAGAACACGTCTTGCATATCAATGCTTCACGCCATGTTCTTCTTTAAAGGCGTAGTCAACTTCACGTCGGCGCTCAGTTCGGAGAATGGAGCACAGAAGCATTTCATTCAGGGAGGTGGCCAAGCTATTGCCAACAAATTGATGGATTACCTCGGAGATGAGATAGTTCATCTAGAGGAACCTGTCCGTAAGATCTCTTACTCCAAAAGCGTTGCAAGTATCCAAACAGACAAAACGACGTATCGAACACGGCGGATAATTTCTGCCATTCCGCCTGGGAACATCCTCAAAATCGAGTTCGAGCCACGATTGCCGATAGAAAAAGAGTCGCTGCTACAAAACATGCCGATGGGATCCCTTACAAAAGTCTTCGCCACATACAAAAAGCCCTTCTGGAGAGAAAGAGGCCTAACCGGAGAGAGCACGAACCCTGACGGCTTCATTGGCGTAACATTCGACGCTACGCCGCCGTCTGGATTTCCCGCCAAGCTCATGGGGCTCGTTGCGAGCACAAAATCCCGCGAATTCATGAGCTTCAGCGAAGATAAAAGGCGGCATGTCGCCCTCGGCGGGTTTGCCGCTGCGCTCGGCCAGGAGGCCCTTAACCCCGAAGATTTCTTCTGTCACAACATGATGGAGGAGAATCGGTCGTCCGGGTGTCCGATGGCGACGCCGTCGCCTGGGATGTGGAGTTTGTTCGGTCAGTGGATGAGTAAACCGGTAGAGGTGATCCATTGGGCTGGTACAGAGACTTCAACGAAGCACTATGGGTATATGGAGGGAGCTGTGTTTGCGGGCCAGAGGTCTGCCAGAGAGGTTTTGGAGGAGTTGAAGTGGAAGATTTGACTTTACTACGTCTGGCGTCTGAAGCCATATGTGAGCCGATTTGGTTAGTTGCACAACTGCCAACGTCAACTTGGTTGAAAATGACAGCGCAAATAATTCCATTATTAGTTCTTAATTTATAGTATCCCGAAATAGTCAAGTCTCTAGTGCTTTCACTCTTCAAAGCAGTTTGTTTGATATGCAATAGCCTGGAATCACGATACGCTGGCGGGTTTTCCCGGAGTAAGACCCCTTCCCCGGTCGTAATCCGTCAATATTTAAGGGTCTGCTAACATACACAGAAATAGTAGTTGCTTAGTATATGGTGAGCATGTTAATGGCACATTGAGAAGCCATAATACTAGATTTGTTATCGGGTTTGTCAACTTTGTAATTGGGGCAAATTGGGGGTTGGAAATTAAAAAACGACCTGCTTAACATAACTTGCTGGAACTCGGATTAAGTTTGAGTGTTCCCCGAAGTCCTTTGATCTCTCATTATTTTAAATCACGCCAGAGGTACTTGAGCGTGGTTCTTCCGACCCTTCCGATCCCCGGCTATCTCGTCCAAAGATATCTCGGATCAACGGTAGTGCTCCCAATCTACTATTTCGGGAGCAACACATTACAGTGCAAAGAAAGACTCTATTATTGGACTTCTTTCCTAGATTGCTTTCCTTTCTGTTGTGACAGTACTCAAATGTAGTTGTAGCAGTGGCAACTGTGGGTACACGTTTGTCATCACACGTGCTTATACCTTTTATGTATAATATCCTGCCACAACAATTCGAGAGAACTAACAATTTGACAGTCAAAGATGATTGACATTTGACAAAGGTTTAACATTGCCTAAGTATCATGCAAGTTAAGAGTCGTCACAACGTCTCATCGCTCTGCAAAGTTCAGGTAGTTACTTGTCCTACAATAATAAAAGATTGCAAGATGTCCATTCTAAACACCATCCCGCCCCCCCCCCCCCCCCCCCCCCCTTTGAATAATAATAATAATAATAATACGTGCTGTATACGTGGAGGCTCGAAGCGCTCTAATGCTAGCTAAAGGCTGTAAAGCACTGCGGAAGGCGCTTGGTTTGAATGGAGAAGATTCTCCTGTCATTGATGTTGTAGCAACTAAGCTGATGGATCCATTTATAGTCATATCCAGCGATTTTAGTGAAGCGAATTTGTGTTTTCACGATCAAGGTGCGATTTGTCATGCATCTCGATAATCCCTTGCCCTCGGACATAAGTGTAAAGGTGGCGGCGGAATTCCACCTTTGCTGCAGTAAATTCACGAACAGTTGCTCCTAAATTAGTGCCACAAGCCTCCGTGTTAAACAAGCGGTCACCTGTTATGCGAGCATTCTTTAATATGGTCCTGAGTAAGCGACATCAGAACTGCACGTGGTCGCCTCAGCACGGCATAGCTTTTCGTTGCACTCTATTCAATACGAATCAGTAATACTACGTAGCATCGCTTTCATTTCTGTCATAACTGCCAGTTGAGGCCCGTATCGACTTAATCAATACGTGTTCTGGTTTCGATTTGGTGCGAACCACCAAGTCGGTGCAAGCGATCTTAGCATGTACGTTACAATTTACCACCCCAGTTGACAGTGGGCACTCTTCCCTTGCGTATGGTGAACCATTACTTGTTCCTATACAACTCGGACCATAGAAACTTGTATTCTCATTCCTATGACCGATATTTTTTCTTTTCTTGTTCTTTTTGAAAAGGCAGCACTACTAAATGTCGTCCTGCCTGGTTATTTCAAAGGTAGCCAAACCATCGCTGTAGTATTCATAATCATGGTTCGAAGAACCTTAGCCACAATTCCATAACACACCACATTCGTGGGGGGGAATGTGTTTAGACCTCGTATAATCGAGAGGTATCCGCAATAGGGCGATTTGGGAGGCAACATGGAACTCCGCAATTCTAGCTCGCACAGCGGGGCAGTTGCGTGTCATCTCTCGCTTAATCAGTGCTTGTATGATGGAATGGCCGGAATGGACACGCCTATGATGGTACTGGTGACTTCTGGTTAGCGGCTCGTATTGTTTTTCCAGACACACTTGCATGAGACAACTATCCAGACTTATCTGATGGATATTTGTAGACCTGCTGGGAAGGCTATGTCTCAGTACGAGTATAAAAGTCAGCAGCTCTCCTGCGAAATTGATGAGGACTTTCCAAGCATATCAGTACCCGTCTCAAAAGATTTGAAGCATTCACACTCTCAGCATCATCAACAGCATTCCTACTGTTTCGTGTCAGCCAACTTTCTACAATGCAGTTCAGTATCGCTACCATTCTCGCGCTTAGCGTCTCCACCCTGGCATCCCCGACTCCTCAAGCCAGCCCCATCGACCCAGAAGACATTGTCATCCTTGACTTTTCTGCCCGTCATCAAACCGATGGTTCAGTTGACAGCGTTGGACTTCATTTGAATGGTCACGATGAGCAGAATCTTTACTGTGGTCAAACTGGCGATGTTGTTCTTGGCGAGAAATATGCTTGCGGTGACAGCAAGTACAGCTTCGCCCTAATGAAGGGTCTCTATGACACTTGGGGGGTTCGAATCTTCCACCGATGGGGCGTTGCGTGAGTCTTCCCATTCTCCATAATGTGGGACACCACCTAATCAGACCGTATACTAACATCTGCTTTAGGAGTGGGGTGTCTGGGTACCGTGACATCCCTACCTACTGTCATGGCGGTCCGTTGGGGTCAACCATCTGCACCTTGCAGACCGTTGTCAGTTTGTACATTGACAGCACCCCGAAGGACTGGTAGTAGTGATCATGAGAGCTTTGATGGAGAGGTTCCAACTTGGAAGTTCAGTATGAGAGTTGCTTGCATGACGGCAGGCCAATGTTCGAGGCTAGGCGCTGGATAATGGCAATTTGGTGTCTGTTACTTATTATTACGCACGTACCCACATTAGATATCATATATCCACCATAAATACTATTGCTTGGCCTCGATAACGAAATACCGGAGATCTGATGAACCATTGCCCTTATCTATTAGATGTCGCCAAGCCCGTTAACTGTGCCAAAGCACCCACTCCTCCACGATCAAACCCACATTCCCTCTCAAACTCGGGTTCTACATTATTCATCCCTAGCACCAAACACGCGGAAGCCCCCACCTATTGTGGTCTTCATTAGTCATTTAATCAGTATTCATTACTAGATCGTGGAAGCTATGTAGAGGTTCACGATCATGTCTAACCGACGTAAATAAACGTACACGCTCGCTATCGCTAAATTATCACTAATTCTAGCACTGTTTCTAAGACCTCCTGCACCAAGCTTCCCCTGTGTATGTCAGGAGTGGTCCCAAATAAGACTCAGGAAGAACAAGGCCGCCATACATCCAGTCACAAAGATAGCCCCATTCCTTGTCGTTATCGCAGTTAGTAAACTGCTTGTTGGCTGTTCTCACTTCGGTGACAGTGGATTGATCAGTATAGTCGTATTCACAATAGCCGTGCGAAGCCAGGCAAGTCACCTTGGTCTTGCCGTCGAAACTCGGATCCTTTCCCGTACAATCCTCCACTTTGAAGATTTCGCTTAAGTTGGCCCAGCCTTTGTCGTGAATCTTGTTCAGAACATCGACGTAGGTGTTTTCAGTGTCCTTAGGGTTATGAAGTGCGTATGTGTTACCCGTATCCGGGTCGAGCCAGAATTGGTAACAGTTACCGGCAGGGCCGAGTTCAGGACACGATATCGCGCCGTTTGTTTTCGGAGCATATTCGAGTACATTCACTCCCGTAGATCGAGTAGAAACAATTCCGTTTGCCTTCAATGCCAATGAGAGGGTGTATAGCTGCAAGTCGTGGTACAGCGAGGTCGATTCGAGATTGAGGCTGGCCGCAGCGCGCTCACTGAAGCCACCAGGCTCCGTCGCCGCCAAAAACAAGGTGCTGTTGCCTTGTAGCTCCTTCAAAGAATCCTGCAGCCCGTTTTGATAATTGAGAACAAGCTCAGCGAGGCTGCTACCAATTTGGCCTAGGGTGACGAATCGTGCATTGGAAGAGCCTTTTACTGAAGTCATGAAAAAAGAACTCATTCCTGTAACAACAGCCAGCCCTGTGGCGATTTCGCTTAGAATTGGGTTGACACCACTAGCAGCAGCGAGCCAGAAGCCACCTGATATCGCCGTCCACAAAAGGTTGCTTGGGACTTCTGGGTCGGTAGAGGGTGATACAGTGGCAACAATATCCCCTATTGTATCAGAAGCGAGCGAATGCCCATTCCACAGAGCCTCCGAGTATTGATTGAAAAATTGGTATATGGCGTAGATATTCCAGAGCGTGTAGAATTGTTGTGGCGAGTAGTATGTAGCTGCGGATCCAACAGTCTCGAACCCCTCACACGTGTCTCGAGTAAGGGTATCGCAGGTTCGGCCGCCGTAGCCATTGAACGCAAGAAAACATTGAGCAAAGCCCAAGTTGTCGCAGTCAGCTTTGGTTCCATTCTCAGCGAGCCACTTTGTGATGTAGTCTGATACGTTTAGCTGCTTCCAGCATTCAGACTTGAGCCCCGTTGATGATGATGGAGAACAATCAATTGCGCGGGCAAAAAGAGAGCCTTCGTAAAATGAAGCAAATGCTGTATTGCAGAGGAACGCAATCGAAAGTGAGGTTCGAATTGCCATGGTGGACTGATAATGATTAAGGACAAAAACCAGGAGAGAATGACGGAAAAGACAGAATGTTGGATAAAGTTTAAGTCCAAGCTTGGCGCTTCAACAGCCAGGATCTACCATGGACTATATGATTAAATATGCATGTTCTCCAATCCCGCTTTCTTCTTCTAAAGAGAGAGCGGTGTTGGCAAGATTGCATGATATTATCACAGAAGGTATTTTCTGTCAGGGAATTGTTGCATTGACTCGAGCAGTACAGTGTTTTGCATGTGGGATAGCCCACCCTCTCACATGAAGGCCGCTTTTATCTCGGTCTGAAAGTGCCGAACCCACACAATTCCTGAGATAAGCATGGGGCCAAGCAAGGTCATTGCCTCGGAGTTGGCCGAGTACGCCGCTAGTAGCGATGATCCCTGTTTATTGAAATGGGCTAAGCTAAATAGTCTCAACTTCCTTGGATTTTCACTAAGAACGTCCAGCTAAATACTGGAGTTTTCCGCCGCGGATGGAAAAGGTGCAATGCATCTTACGTGCATCATTTCCTTACAAAACCTAATGGGAAGATCTCGCCGTGTGTAGAATCTTGCATCCACTCGCCATGCAGGATTGACTCAAGCTTGTGAAGTTCTTGGCTTTCTCTCCTACAGATACGCAAATTTAGGACAAAGTTCTTTGCGTGGAAGAACTTTACTCCTGAAAATGGGTGCTACATCCGTATCATATAAAAAGCCTGGTGATATCCTCCTCGTTCTTTTTGTGAATCGACTCTAGATTCCGACCGATAAACATATTTTGCAATCATGTTCTAATTATCAAATCATGTCAACTTTCGTGTTCATCTGAGGCTGCTTCTGGTAACCTTGAGTGTTCGTTTATGTCTTTGTCGAGCAAGCACCTCTCTTTCATGCTGTACCAGAGCCCAAGAACATGCAAATACACGGTATAAAGGTGATCAGTGGGCATTGTTTGCATGAAGCGCAAAGGCCGCAGAAGCCATGATGTCATTCCCCTTCCTATTCTTCATTATATTCGGCATGTACGGATAAATCTTGACCAGCATAGGTATGGGCCTGTGGGGCTTTACCGTTGTATTGGAGCTGTTACCGAGTCATTGCTGCGGAAAGTGAGGCGGTCAAATCCACAACGCGGCGAAAGTCGTAAGTGGCAGAACTCAACGTAGCACTAATGATGCGTTGTTCTAACGTCATAGACCATAGTCTACGTTTGCGCGACAATTTAAGCCAAAATTTTCGGAAAAAGTCCCATTGACGATATGATAGCATGTGCGTCCGGGCAGTGAAGTAGAAAAGTAGTCGATACTTAGAGTTCACCTACTAAGCGAGGAAACAGCTAGATATAGTGTTTTAGACGTCGTGAATCATGCCTAACTTGACCTGACAGGGGCCGGAATGCGACACAAGCGCAATGAGACATATGTCTGCTTCATGAGAAGCCTATTCAGTTCATAAAAAATGGTTCTAAAGAGTACTCGGCTTTTGCCAGTGGTCGGCAACGATATGACCAGGAGCCCATCTTGGGAAATTTCCATCTCATTACCAGTAATGAGGCGATCTATGAATATAAAGGATCGAGCCCTGGATTTTTTATGCAGCTCTCAATATTTCTCAATACAAAATGAGCATACTCCAGTATTTTTTGGTTCTTACAAGGTCTCTTTGGGTATTGAGGCGTTCTGCCAAAGAGGGCAAGCAAACAATAGAAGCGTGAATATTTTGAAGTAAAGTGAATGCGGTATAATCAGGTAGTAACAAGGGCCATGAGACTTTTGGACTCTACCTGACGAAGCCACTTGATAAGCCCTAATGTTTCGGTTGGAAAAACGAAATTTCATACCCTAGACAGAGACAACTCACTATGCATGAGTTCTACCAGCAACCCCATAAGAGTTTACATACATACGGATAGCAACACGTCAAGAAACTTACTGTTCCCAGTGCTACTTCTCTGAAAATCGACAGCCGCTACCGTTCTGTATCAAGAGCTATCTTACAGTCACGTATTAAGCAACCGAACTATTTAAGAATACAGAGTACCCACAAGGCGGATTTGTTGAGCTGTGTCGAAAATCCACCGGGGCCACGAGGCTGGACAACATGACAAACCATCAGATAGATTATCTATAAACTAATATTAAGACTGCGATTGCTCATTAAATGATCCAAGGTGTGTTGTCAAGCCAGATTGATAAGCGGTCCTCATAGCCTCCGATATAGTGACTATAAATGCATGTTTGTAGAGGGCGGCAGGGCCACCATCAAACGCGGCCCATACTAATCAGAATTGTTGATCAATAAGCTCAGCCTATGAAAAGGCAAAGGGCTAAGCAACATGGTGTGATTCAATCCAAAGACTTTTTATATGTACGAAAGACACAAAGTTGCGTCGAAAATATGTTACAAAAAGGGGTACAATGATGATCATAGTATGAAAGTAATATGTCTTAGTTCTCCAAAATCAGATCAGCCGCTCTCTCAGCAACGGCGTACAAAGTGCTGACAAGATGTCCGCAAACCTGGAAAGGCAGAACCGAAGCATCAACGACGCGCACATTGGTCGTGCCGTAGACCTTCAAGTTGGCGTCGACAACTCCACCCTTCTCGCGGGGCATCATAGCCGCAGTGCCAACAGGGTGGAAGTTGGAGCGGTAGTTCCCCTTGATGTAGCCCGTCCAGCCCTCAATGTCGGCATCCTCGGCAACGACATCCAGGCCGGGGCGTGTCTCGGTTCCGGCGAAAGTTGAGAACGGCGCGGTACCATAAAGCTTGCGGATAAACTTGGCAGTCTGCACCTGGTGGAGAAGGTCCCAGTCTAGCAAGAAGTAGTTGGGGTTAATGATGGCGTTGGCAGTGGACTTCTCACTAATGTGAATGCTGCCACGAGAGAAGGGAAGGAGACCCCAGTACTCGCTACTCCAGGTGCCCTGGGCCGTGTTGACAAGGACCTCAGCGATGGGAATCTTGGACTCGAAGATGAGAGACCACTGCATCTCGAAGAACTCGAGAAGATCAGCGGCCTGGGTGACGTTGCCGTTCACGGAGGCTACTGTAGCGGCATAGGCCGGGAGGCTCTCTTTGATCTTGGCGGCGACCTCGTCGACGTTGTCGAACATCTGCTCAGCGGAGGGGTAGGCGACGGTGGTGAGAGCGCCATCTACAGTGATGTTCTTCATGGCGAATGAGAGACCATTGTTCATCTGGTCCTGAAGGTTCTCGCCAACGGTGGGGAGGTTGACAACAGTCTCAATACCGTGCTGCTTGAGGATAGTAGGATGGCCAACACCGGAGAGTTCCAGGAGCAAGGGCGAGACGAGAGAGCCGGCGGAAAGGATAACATCCTTGCGGGCTTTGACGATTCTGCGGGATCCGTCGGCTGATACGACCTCAACGCCGTCAGCAGTGGGAACGGTAGCGTTCTTCCATGTGAGCTTCTGTACGCTAGTGTTCAGGAGAACCTTGAGGTTGGTACGGTTCTGGTACGGGTAGTAGTAAGCCCGGGCGGCATCCTCACGAACAGCGTTCTCTTGGTCAACAGTCCGAGGGAAGACTGAAAAGCCAACCATGTTTCCTCCGTTGACATCCTCGTTCCAGGGCAGACCAAGGTTCTGATATGTAGAGTTAAGCACGGCCGGGATGGTTCCGTTCGTTTGACCTAAAGTCCAACCGGTCAAAAGAGGGCCGTTTTCGCCGTGGTCTTTGCTCTCGTAATCTAGGTGGCCGGCGACCTGGCGGGCAGGCTCTGGGGTCTGGAAATGCTCGCTCTTGCGATAGTACGGAAAAAGAGCATCCCAGTTCCAGCCCTCGTTGCCGAGCTTCTCCCAAGCATCAACCTGAGAGGATTCGGCACGAGTGTAAGCCAATCCTACTAACGGTTAGCTTTGTTGAACTATTTGTGTTTCATCTATGAACTAACCGTTGATGGTGCTGGTGCCTCCCAATGCCTTAGCAGCTCTCATGGTCTGGACCTGGCCGCCGCCATACGTCTGGTTCGTTGTCTGGAAAGCGAAGTCGATGTCGGTGTCAAAGGCTAGTCCGTAGCCGTTGGGATTAGTGACGTTGACATTGTCGAATACAGAGCCACCAGCCTCGATGACCAAGACCGACACGGCAGGGTTCTCGGACAGGCGGTTGGCGAGAGCAAGACCGCTAGTGCCGCCTCCCACGATGATATAATCATGGCTGTCGGTAGAGTTGGTGAATCGGACTGCCGCTGACGCCGCTCCTGATAGGAGGGTGGAGATTGTAAGGAAGCCTCTCATAGCTGCCTAGTGTTCTAGATGCTCCGTGGATAGAACAGAAAAGGCTGAGCAGACTAATTTGTTTGCGTTGACTGACAAGATGATTTGTCTCCGTGGCCTGGGAGGGAACATCGTCTCTTATCTAGTTTTCCAAAGGAAAAATCGGGCCCTTGGATAGAAAATTTCATTATGTTGCAGTTCAGGTTCACCTAACAAGATCCATCAATGCCTTCGATCTGATTCTCTCATCAGCGCAATCTGGACAGGTCAACTTACTCAAGATTTGATCAAGTGGAGTGCCTTGTAGCCGTAGATACCGATTATACCGGGGCTGCGCGGTTCGGAATTTCATTGGATCTTGAGTGTTTCTGGAACTTTGTGATCGGCCCGACCCAACGGCAGTTGGCAGGAAACAACATGCTTATCAATCGTTAGAGCACACCAGACAGGGATATCGGATCCGCCATGCGAGATGTATCAGCGTTGATCGGCGGGACCTGCAGAGGTTTTCTGCACAGATGGAAAAAGTCGAGACCGTACAGGGAAGGTGTTGAAGTGGAGGGTGGCGGCTTATACATCTTTAACTGGGCTGAACCGACTCATGAACCATTATCCGAGGTCGGGGGATTTTTGCAAGACGGAGAATGGAACCCTGCTCTACGCCATACGTCATCTTGGGTTAAGCGACGATGCAGTCTCTTACACAGGAGCCTTCTCATGCCCGTCGGTAATGTTTGTTGTTCTATCCGATATTCTTTCACTGATACTTTGATTTAAGCTTACACTACAAGCGCAGACGATGATCTAGCAGCAGGGGGCCTGAGACTGTTGACCAGCACCGAATGCATTTTCTCGGTGCGCGGATTTACGGAATACTACGTAATGAAAGGGGATGCGTGAAGTGAACAGAAGCCAAGCTTTTCAAGAGCTTTCTAAGCAAGGAGGGAATTAAACGGATCAGCGCTCCACGTGCTGTCATGCTGCAGTCGGCCCGTCAAGGGTCCAAGAACTTTCATGGTGTGGAAACGAACTGGGCCCTTCGCTTAGACAGCAAGCAATAAGCATCACTGACCCGCTGAGATTGGGTCCTTATAATACACCCCTGTGAGTAGAGAGCCTGCCTTCTGCTCGCATCAACCAGCTAGGTGCCTGCAAACTTGGTTAAGCTTGCCACAGCATCATAACAATCAATACTCAAGATTTTTTTTCTCTTTTCGCCACAAAGATCTTAAGTCACGACAGTCCAAACTCATCGAGGATATCCCAACTGCCAAGCTTTACACTCTGAAACTGCATGCACTACGACTTTATATCATGCATCGTCAGTCTATTACTAAAGCACCGACTTCTCTGGAAATACAGCTGCGGTTCCAAGTGACGTTTCCTGACCACGAACGAGGCAATCCATGACAACTGATGCCACGGTCTTGCACTATTTGTTTCCGCACAAGCCAACTGACAAACTTGGGCACGCCAGGGGTTGATTGACTACTTATTAGTGCATAGGTATTGAAGTGGTAGTTCGGACGAGGAAGGTCAATGACTGTTCTTCGTATTCATGTTCGTGAATTGACCGGTGCATCGGCTCAGTATTATTTCGTTTTATTCTATAAAAACCCAGGCTAGTGGGGGATTTTTTTTTTTTCCCTTTATCCCAGGATGTTGCCTCTATCCGAAGTTATGTAACCTTGTTCCCGCCATCCATTGAGTAAAGCGTAACAGCGAGGGACGCCGTTCACACGATGAAAGGATCAATGCATAAGGGCTAAAACACAACAAATACCTATCTATCCGGAGAGATCTTAATGCCCACATGTGTATCTCTTATAGTTTTACACACTGTCGAACATGACTCCAAATACCTTCTAAGGGCAGAGAAAGATGGCTGTCTTGTTTTCTGATTATATACCTGATAAATCAACGGCCCATTGGTATAGAGACTTGATTTGAGAAAATTGAACCTCAACACTACTCAGAGGGGTTCGGCGAAGAGGAAGGAGGAAAGGAAAAGGAGGGAAAGAAAAGGAGGGGGTCGCAGAAAATACGGCAGTGGGGGAGGTTGCTATCGACTAACCAAGAGACAGAGGTGACAATGCCAAGGAACGGTTGAAGATTTAGGATACCTTTGCTTGGAAGGTCGAACTCGGAAAACCAGTCTTGCGTCATTTTTGATAAGGGTCCCCAAAGAATTCTCGCAACCAACTGTTTCGGATCCATGGATGACCGGTTCTTATCTACTCTGATTTTGGCCCCTGGCTTTCCTTGTCGGCCGCCTTGACTATTGTGGAGCTGTAGGCCGGGACTGGAACAGTCGTTCGCTGTGCTGTATCCGTACTAAGGCAGAGATACAAGACGGCCGATGCTTAACGCAATGTCGTTGTGCTGCATAACCTCCGCACAGCAAGATTTGACTGCTTTTTTAGGTGTATATGTTGGAAGACCAGTTTGTCCATATCTAGGAAATGCGGGACCAGGTATGTTAGCCTCACTGCGGAGCCTGCAGTTGTGTCGCCATGATGAGCAGGAAGCTATGTGACAGCTCATCTGCAATATGTCTCTACATGGATAATATGCCTTTTTTCCAACCCAGATGACTTCTACCTCCATGACAGCTGATAATGCACAGTCTGGCTATTCTTCTGTATGGCAAGCACATAGTGGCCTGCAGCCGTAGTCACCCTTGAATCCACATGCCCCGCAGCAATGCCATCACTTGAAGTGCCTGAAAGAAGCGATTGTAGTGTTCTGTGGGTTATACGGTATGTCGAGACGAAGGGACTATTCGCACATGCTTCATCATTACACAAGCAACACAAGAGATAACAATGTCAAGAGTAACGCCATATTCAACGCCGCTAAAGTCGATATTAGTTAGCTTTCAAGAAGGAAAAGAAAAGAAAGAAAAAAAACTTCGATTCTTCTTCCACTTTACTGGCCTCTGGACTATTGTTGCGATTCTTTGGCGTTTCAATTGGGATTATAGCACAAGTCTTTTAACTTCCGCACCTCCCCTTCGCCAGCTTTCTCCGCCCGAACCCAACATATCCTCATCTTGCTTCCTGCACAGGAACCACAAACACATGTCCCTCACTTCCTCGGCGCGACACTCTCGGCCAGCTTATCAAAATCTCCCTTCTCTATATACTTGCCCTGCCCCTTGGACTTGCCCGTCAGGTGGACGAGGTAGCCCCCCACTCCAAGTCCCACAGCCCCGATCGCTGCCAACGTCGGCCTATTCCGCCACCCCGGTCAGCGAATTCACTGGGCAGAGAAGCATTATCGAGGCTTCTTCCGAAAAGAATATCTCGTAGCATGCAAGACAGAAACCTCAGTGGAATATGCATCGGTGCTTCCAAAAGAAGACTCACCAGCTCTGCGAGACTCCGCTGTTGGGCGGCACGGCCTCCTGGCCGCCCGGGCCGCCGAGGTCGCCGTCGTCGGGCTTCTGCGTGACCCACCTCACCTGCCGCGCCGCGGGAGATGCGGCGGCTCTGGGGAGGGGGCGCACGAGGTCGAGGCGGCGGACGGCAAGGAATCGTGGGGATGCCATTCTCTTATTGGGTCCGGGATATATGTGTGCCTGGTATGTGTATCGTTGGCGGTGTCTGAAGCTGCCAGGTGCGGATCTCTCAGACTTGTGATGGTGCTGGTGTCAATTCGGTATTCTGGGGCCCGTTTCTTCCAACTGTGTACTTTTCAGGTGGATTTATTGTCGGTGTCGATAACTCAAGCCGCAGCATTGGTCCAGATAAAGGTTGAGGTGAGGTCGGAGGCTGGGTGTGATGGTGACGAAAATAAGACGATCCGGGGGACTGCGTCATAGGTGCATCACCAACCGCGGTTATGCTCCCTTTCTGCCCCCCATCCGACATAATTTCCAAAAATGTCATTATGTTTGGCGTTGCTCCAATCAGCTTACGGTGCCCTTCAAGAGAGACCGCAAAACGCTCTACACCTTGTTCTAGAAGCCTTTTCTTAACTTTGTTGTGCAAGGGATAATAGCCCAAGCCAAGGCTGTCCCCACCTCCCTCACTTTACAAATGTGTTCCAGGAGATCACCAAGATTACCCTTACACTTCCTATTCAACTGCTTTGAAGTTTACCCGATGTCCCCATATCGGTCAATCAACTTCAAGTCCGAGCTTCCTGGGCCCGGCGTCTGGCGGTGCAAGTCCGATTCACTGATGCGAGACAGGGGGCCAGGAGCCCCCTTACAGAAGCCGCAATGTCGATGCAAGAACAAGTTATCCGCATATGACGATTTGAGGGATTCTTCATTTGCAGCAACCGCAGTGATTACAACGACCTGGTTTATTCATGGGGAGCAAAGACCGATCGATCTTGGCGCATAGTAGTCACCAACTTGGCCACTCGACATGACCCCTTGAAAGCTTATGTCCTACCGCCTAGGCATTGCCTTTTTACCCTCCCACTTACTCCTCTGAGTTCAGGGACCACATGTATCCATCCCGCCTGAGGCTCTCGTCTGTTTTATCCAGCACCATTAATTAGCCTCACTCATACCAAAAGTCGGCCAATCCTGTTGTATGGTGCAGAAATAGAGTAGTGATGTCTGTATCCGCTATGCTAGAAACTGAATGGCGCTGTTCCGTTCCGACTTTCCCTTGGTATCAAAGCACGCCCCCAACTGTGTGCCATATCTAAAAGGCAATTGCAAGTGCCAGGATTCCGCTACGCCAATCGCTATGTCATGATGCGTAAAACGAAATTAAGAAAAAGAAAAAAAGGGAGGAAAAAAAAAACCAAAAGAAACCAAGGGAGTAAACCTCCCGTTTTTGCCAAATATCGCCCGTTCTCCGCATCATGATCGCGTTTCGTGCTCTTGGCGTTCTGCAAGTCGTCATCATCGTCTCGGGCATCTTCACCCCGTCGTCTCATGTACCGGTCAATGGTCCCATAGACCGGGGCCGACAAATTCACCCTCTTCCCGCCCGCCGTAATGATCAACCTCATAGAGGAAACCGGAATAATACATATCCCTCTTCGGCTGCCCTGCCTTCACCTGCCCCCTGATCATGATGGCTATGACGACCCGTCTGCGCACCGGCGTCCTCGCGACAGCGTCCTAGACCGACGCAGACGCCGTCCAGAACTTCGTCCTGGGCACGACACGCACTTCGGGCGACGGCCGGGCGCCGGCGTCCTCATCAGTGGCCCGTCGCTCGCGATCCTGGGCCAAGGCCTCGAGAACCCAGCCCTTGATCTCGCGCAGGGCGCGACGCTTCTGCGTCTGCTCGCGGTGCTTGCTGCCCGGGTCGCCCAACGGCAGCTGGTTGTAAATCTTGAAGCTGACAAGCAGGGTCAGGGTGCGGAGCTGCGGGAACTGGCGCACGAAGCGCGCGCCCTCATGGCAGTGGTTCTGAACCCAGCAGGGGCGCAGACCCCATTCCATCGCGAGGTGCCGGATGTCTGCGAAGTTGGCGGCGTCCGGCATGACTGCATACTGAGGTGCTGGGGGACTTTGCGTTAGTTATGGTGAAGTAGAAGGGTGGACGAAGATTAAGAATCCGTAAAGATAACCACTCACCTCGGCAGATTAGCAGCGTGTCATCGCAGCAGTTTATATAGACGCCCTTTCCCTCTTCCTTGTGCTCGCGGGAAAGGTACAGAAGCTGGAATTGGCCGTCCCGGGAGCCGTGGCGGTCGTTGGCCTGGTACAGCAGCTCGGCACGGGATTCGCGACAGACTTGCAAGAGGGCGGGAACGCGGCGGCGCAGGCCGTAGGCCATGGTGTGGTTGTTCATGGTGCGCTCAACGACTGCTGATTTGGGGGCGGCGAGACGCCATATCTTAGTGCGGAGCTCAGGGGGCAGCGAGCTGAAGAGGTGGAAGACGGGCGAGGGCGTAGCGTCGGCGAGATCCAGTGAAGCCAGTTCCGCGTGGAGACAATCGTGGTCCGATTCTGACGGAGAAGCCATGGAGGCGAGGTGCGAGCTGGTGTAGTATTCCTGCAGGAAGGGGGAGGTTGGTGGTATAATTAGACTTGGAGAGTACGTCGATCTCATCGTAGAGATGGCAGAAGCAATGGAGAAAAGGCGGTCGATATGTTTCGAGACGAAGAGAATAATAGACCAGCAGCAATTCGCAGAATAAATGAGGATGCTGTGATATGTCAAAGATTGAAGGGGTATGAGAGACGACGGATAGTGGTATTACTCCCTTCCCCTTTTATCAGAGCCGAATAAGGTTGAGGCGAGAGTGCAGGAGCGGGCGGGAAGTGGACAGGGGTAGGAAGGTGCAGGGGCAAGCGGCAGCATTTATGAGGTCGAGGTGAATCTCTGAATGGAGTGAAACGCGGATGAAGATAGAGGCAGTGAGGTACCGATGAAGTAGGCAGGCAGGTGAAGTGAGGTGCATGTATTAGGTGTGGCCCGATATCTTCAAGATGAGAGTCAATATGGGCCAAATTCAGAAAGTAGATTTTGGGGCCAAAATATGGAAGAGATCTCAGTCGCAGGCTGGGCGAGCATGAAACGGGACAGACAGCAAGCAAACCAGTTTACCTGCTCTCTGGAGGAACCGGGTCGTTTGAGTCAAGGAACAAACGTCGTCTGCCTGTAGCATGCTCCTCCTACCTACCCACGTTATGCGGTGACGGACCAGAACCAAGCCAGACCATGCAGGCAAACAATTCAGAACCTCCGCAATCGAACAGGGGCCAAGCAACGTGAGCTCAGGCAATGAAAATTTCTCGGATTGGGTACCATATCGTTGACAGTCTGTCACAGCGCTGACCGCTGGAACATGACGAAGATGAGAAACCCTGAAAAGAAAGGGAGGGAAAAAAAAAAAGAGACCGGAATGCCTCCGTCTTGGAACGTCAATCCTGCTGCAGCTTGGGAACGGCTCGAGGCCGCTCGGTGGTCAGTGCAGCGGCGCCGTTGGAAACGTTGGACGCTGCTACTGGCCTGAACGCCCACTGCTGCCCACCCCCCTGGACAACAGGCACATGCAAAGGCGTTTGGTTTGGGCGGGAGAATTGTTCCACATCTTGTTGTTTGCCAAGTACCTCTCTTTTTCTTCTTATTTTGCATATAACTAGCACGCCCATATCCGTTGATTGGGCTAGATGAATGGACGATTGACGGTGCTGGTCGGATTGCGTGTCATCAGATGAAAACAAGACGGAAGGGAAATCGAGATCGCGTGGTGTGTCAGCTGTTTCTGAGCCGAGCCGCCGTACCTATAGTGAAGTGACACACGGACAATCATGCCAGAAGGGACCCGGATCCGCCCATGTTGTCAATACTGTGGGGCCCTGCAAATGCCGTCTGTCTTCACTCTCTTGCCATCCCGAGCTAGGGTATTCTGGCCCCTCGAGTGGCTACGTGTGACGTCGAACTAGTCCCATTCTGCTTCTTCACCATCTTGGCGTTGCCTCTCGGGATACCCCCATTTACCCACGCCCGCTCGGGCTCGGCTCGTTTTCCATGGATCGATCAAAGCAGCAACGTACATGTACGTCGACGTCCTCTACGCCGCCTTGTTTCTGAACCAGCATCGATGCATCGTCGCTGTCGTGTGCAAAGCAGCGAGCCAGACGTCGTGCGATGCTCCGCCGAGCGTCGTCAGACACCGGCCCGTTCCCTGACGACTCCTCCCACAAACAAGGTAAGCATAAACCCTCCATCGACCAAACGTTCACACGTATCAAGGGCCTGAAACAAAAACGTGACGTCTGAGTATTTTGTATTATTCTGCTCTCACCCGACCTTGATCTTACGGCACCAGTCCCGCCCGCGCGCCACCTGCCAATTGCACAACTGCACCTCCGTGATGATGCCCAAGAACCCGGCGATGCAGACGCCCCCGCTATCGCTGACGCTCGTCGCGCTGAGGCTGAATTCCCTGTCCTCGCTTGGCACCCGCTCCATGATCTCCGCAAATGTGTTGACGTAGACCGCGCCCCCCAGCAGGCCCTCCCAGAACATGATGGCGAACACGATGTACACCGACGGGATGAAGTCCAACATGGCTTGCGCCGTCAGCAGGCCCAGGTTGCCCACCTGCAGCAGCGACGGCAGGTATAGCCGGTGGATGCGGAAGAAGGGCGTCGACGACCGCGAGATGAAGACGCCCAGCTGGTATAGGAACCCGTACATTGGGTAGAACTCGCGGAACTCCTTGAATGGCGACGACTCCAAAGGGAACAGCAGCGTTGGCGCCACCCCCTGGTTGATCGTGTACTCGGCCACGTACACCAGCAGTAGCGGCAGCATGTAGGGGAAGAACAGCGCCTTGGCTCTCTTGAGGTTGGCCTCGAAGCTGTGCTCGTCCGCGCGATGGTGGTGGTGCTGGTGGTGTTGCTGCGCCGAGTACGCCGTCGACGCCACCGACGGACCCGGCGCGAGCAGCGCCGAGGCGGCAGCGTTGCGTGGCAGCTCCGCCGCGTCCTCGTCATCCATGTCCCGCTCCGGCAGCGCCTCGTACTCCTTACGGCCCGCGCGCAGGGGGCCCATCGGCAGTATGATGAAGAAGCTGACAAACATGACGGACGGCAGGCATGCCGACAGAAGCAAGCTGTTGCGCACGCTGATCCCCCACCAGTCCGTCATCACAACGTACATGCCCGCGCCGACCAGCCCCGCCGCCCCCGTGCCGCTGCCCCAGCCCGCGAGGCTCACGGGGCCATAGTAGTGCGTCAGCCCGAGAAAACTGAGTTCGCCGCCGCCAGAGCTGAGGCTGGCGATGACGACGCCGATCATCTTGAAGGCGACCGATTTGCTGGGCGGCGTGAGGGCAATGAGCAGCATTCCGGAGCATGACAGGCCGATGAGAACCATGACGCGGACCGGGTAGGGCACGCGGTGGATGAAGTAGGGTGCGATAAGCTTCGTGAAGAAAGAAGGGAGGATATCGGCGAGGAGGACCACGCCTTTCGGAACCGAGGAGCCGACGAGGTCCTGGGCAGCGGACAGGATGATCACATAGAGAACGTTGTTGATAAGGCCTGTTCGGGTTTACGTTAGCACATGGCTCAGCAACCCCCTTCCTCTCCCACCCTTCCCTCTTCCCCCCTTCGGGGAAACAATTGCTCAGGGGCGTACCAAGCAGCCAAAAAGCCACAACGACTTGCGTATCAGCATGTCGAAAGAGCGCGGACAGGCGGGCGCGATACAGCGCCCACGACGACGAGGGCGAGCCGGGCATGGGGAGGAAACCGGAAGACGAAGGCGAACGGCCGGTCATGATCCACTACAGCACGGTTCTCGATTCCAGGAGGAAGAAGGCCATTGAGCAAAGAGGAGAAGCTGGGCGGATGGGCGTCTGATCTTGTTCACAAGGCGGGTGGGAGGGCGGTAGATTTGTTTAGAGGTGTAAGTTTGGAGCGTGTCTGCCCCCCATTCCCCATGGTTTCGGCATGTCGGACGTCGGTCACGAGATAAACCGTGTCTCAGCGGAAGCGATAAGCAGGTGGGCCTGGCCACAGCATTGTGTGAGATAAGCCGGCGCACGACCCACAGAAGCTTCTGCTGGATCTGGACCACGCGACAGGGGACTGCACTGTGACGTCGCCGCGTAAAGCCGCCGGCCCATTCGACTCGTGAAAGCAGCTCCCGAGTCAGTGTCAATCAGCCAGCATAGGATTTTACGTGGCAGAAACCGCAGTCAGAGAATTCTCAAGGAGTCAACCATGAGATCATGCCAGAATCCTTTTAGAATTTGCATTCAACCTCCGAACAAGGCAGTTATAGGGTATTCTCCTGTCGTGTGTATCCTCACTGGTGCACTGGCCAGTAACACCACGAGCATCTGCATATGCTTTGCACTGTACTGCTTCTAGCCTAGGTGGACGGTGTCAACGCCAGCTCCTCATTCCTTACTTTTACACCACCATTAATCCAGATTCTACATCATTAAGTCTCGCCCCTGTCACAAGGCTGGTCCTTCCCATGCGTCTCTGTTCAACTTCATCAAGTAAGACTGCTTGTGGGGGAAGGCAATTTCTCGCTCCCTGGCAAAACCGGCCTTTTGCAAATGCTCGTGAAACCTATGGCTTCTTAGTCAGCTTATCATTGAGCCGATGAGTTGATTCATTGGAGGAATTGTTCACCTCACGTTGTCTATCCGCGGCTCCAGACAGACATGCATCGTACGGTAGTCGTCCGTCAGACACCAGTGCACCAGGCTGGACAGCCACGCCGGCACCCGACCCCGGGCCCACTCCTCCCCGACAAAGACATGGAGACCCCGATCGTAGTCTCCGGCGTCGCTGCCCAGCTTCTGGCCGAGGATATCCTCCTTAACCCAGTAGATCTCGAAATACCCAAACGGTACCCCATCCCACATACCAATGACAGGGAAAGAGTGCTTCGAGCTAAGGATGTTGCTCAGGAAGTCGGGCGCGTAGTCTCCCCAGAACTTCTGGACGCGCGGGTTCGACATCCAGGACTGTAGAAGGGCCGAGTCGGAGAGCGTCGTGAGGTGGCTGTTCTCAGCGGGCTTCGGTCCCACGGGACCGAGGTAGGGAACGGGTTCCGGCGCAAGGGATGCAACCCGGAACGACAGGTACTGTCCCACGCTCGGCACGAAGCGGGAGTAAAAGACTTCGCCCATGCGGCCTGGCTTTCGACGGACGGGGTGCCGAATGCCGTTCGTGATGGTATACGTCAAAGGCGGCGGCGGGAAGTACGTCGGGAGATGAGAGCTCGAGTAGAACGGCCCGATGGGGAAGTTCGGCGGTGGACTTCCTGGTACGTCTGTCTCAAAGTGAGTCCCCATGGACTGCTGGGGGGAGTGGATGGGTGTGTGATGTCGTGAGTGGATTGATTCGGTGTGAGCTGGCGAAGTCGGGCGGCTGCCGGCCGGCGACTCAATATAGGACGATGTAGCGCCTGCGCGCTGCAGGGTGAACAGGAACAGTCGCCCCGGGATCTGCCAGAACGTGCGACGCGAGACAAACATCTGCGACCATTCCTCACCGTCGTCCTTGAGATTTGTCCCCACTGCAGAGTCCAGCGATGAAAGCAGACCCATGCGCTCCAGCTTCGGTATCAAGTTCCTGCTGCGGAGGACACCATCGCGCTTGATGTTGATGCGCCATTCGCCCTTGGGTCGCGCTTCCTCGGGGGTGAGTCGGGATGCGTCGGTCGTAAGGTAGGGCGACGGCTGGGGTTGATGGAAGTACCAGTAGAGCGTGACCCAAAGAATCATGGCAATCTGACGGGTTGGGCTAGCAGCGGGCTTGAAGTCGGTGCTAGAGGGCTGTGATATAGATGAGATAAATAGGTTGTCGTGCTGCAGCGTGGGTTGCCTGAAGCCGTGTACGTGACGGTGGCGGGCATGTGCGCGATCCTCCTCGCTACTATGGCCATCAACATTGTTAAACACGGGCTCTTCATCCTCGGTGTTTAACACGACGGTCCAGCCGATGGGGAAGGGGTTGTTGTGCGTGTTCAGGTCATGCGGCTTAAAAAAGAGACCTGCGAAGACGGGTGTAACGGTGAACTTCTGCCCATCCGGCAGATATATGATTTGCGGATTCATCGCTGTGGATCTGCCACAGCAGCCTCTAGCTCAAGCTTGATCTGCTTGTGGAGAGTAGGTAGGGGAGGGGGGAGAGAGAAGATGGAGGGTACCTAGGACAAAGCAAGGAGGGAGGGCAAGGAGACAAGCCAAGGTGGGTTGTTAAAGTCCACTGGGGGATCTGGCTCGTGATTGCTCGGGGATGGGCCTCGATGGTGAGGTTGGCGGGGTAGATTAGCTCCTTTCAAGGTGATATCGAGCAGCCAGTCTTATGTACCCGGTCGTCGGACGGCGTCGTGATGCACCGCGGGGTTGATGCAGAGGTCTCGTCAGATCTGGGGACAGCTTCTAGTGCCACTTCTGGAAGAACCAAGCAGCCATTCAGTGGCGAGCTATATGCGAGGTAGCGAGATTATGACAAACGGGGACTTGTTGGTTGGGTGGTGGCATGATGATGCGTCAATCAGGTGGGGTGAAGCTCTCCGGTTTGGCGCACGCACGAGGCCAAAGCTCCCCACTTGGGTTTGGAGCGGGGTCCTCGCTGGAGCTGGCTCGGCCCAGGTAGTATGCTGGCGCATCTCATCGGCGCATGCCGGGCGGGCACTCCGCGGAGAGTCCGTTCAGATGACTAGATGGTCTGTTGATGACAGGTTATGAATTTTGTATCTGGCCTAGATAAAAAGCGCATGTGAGTTTGGTATCAGTCATCGTTCCCCAGGTTCTGGTCAATTGCGAAGTTAATGAAAGTTGAAATCGATCGCTCTTTCGCTATGTGTACGCTCCAGGGTATGCTCATTCTGCGATACCCGGAATGCAGGTACTATGGAATGAATATTATCGCATTGTGAAATGAATGCGGTAGAGCGCTATGATGCCTTATTGCTGTCGATGCCCTCCTCCGATTTCTGCGGCGTCTTCTTGTCGTCCTTGCGCTGGTGCTCTACGCGTTCGTCTTCCTCAGCGTCATCTTCGCCTCTACGTCTCGAACCCTTCTTCTCCTTGTCGAGTACTTCCTGGACCTCCTCGCCGCCGAGATCCTTAGTCTCGTCCCAGTCGACGTCGTACTCGGTCGCTACAAATCTGATCTCGCGACGCAGCGAGTTGGCCTCGTGCACAAGAGCGTCCCATGCCGCCTGGTCGAATCCTCGCTCGTGGTAAAGTGCCGACTGCCTTTTTGAGACGGTAATGTTCAGCGCTGCCTTGTAGCTGAGATCTTTGCTGATGTACAGAAACCAGAGGTAACCGCCCATGATGGTCGTCAGTCCGGCGAGGTATGTCACCGGCTCGACGAGGTCCCAGCCGAAGTCAGTATGAAACGTAACATAGTACACCACCCCCCACCAGCCCGACAGCAGGGCGAAACCGCCCTGTGCGAGGCGATGGGCTCCGCGGTGCGCGAGGTAGTCGCATTCTTGTTTAATTTTGGCAAGTTTTTCCACGCGGCGAGACATTCTGCGTAATCGGATGCGCATGTAGTATGTTCTGTCGTTGAAACTCGGCACCGCTACGCGTAGCTCTTGGTCGTACCCTTCGATTCCAATCGAGAACTCCCGGCCACGAGCGGCGTCCCTGATGAAGTCACCAACCTCGGTGCTGCCGCTCCATCGCACCCAGTTCGTTTCGTCGTGGTCCCTCTTAGGGCCCTCGTGGCCGAGACCGGAATACGAGGCAACATTGCCCTCCTGCTTCTGCGATGAGCGCCTGTCCGGCTTGGACTCTTGGTGATCAGCCTCTGCTCGGAAGTATATTTTCGGGATCCGTTCGCGCCGGCCGTCGTCAATGGGGGGGATTTCGGCCTGGAGCAGCCGTTCGAGGTAGGAAAGTGGCTGCTGGGGATGAACAAGTAGAGCGAGGGGGGCAATATCAGCCTTTTCTTCATCTTTCTTGGGCGTCTGGGTGATTCGCGACTGCTCTGCATGGAAAGGTAGTGGTAGGATGAGCTTTAATAACCTCGTTGGAGTCGTAAGCAGACGTCCTATAGAAAAGTGAATACAAGGGTCACCCGAATGCGCTTTGGATTTCGACGGTGCAGCAGGGTGTCCTACCTCTTGTCTTGTCACCGTTGGTAGGATCTTTAGACGATTCGCGCTGCTCGACCTCGTGACCGGCTCGGTGCCATGGCCTCTCCTCTTGTTTCCTCAGGGCAATCAGCTCATCCCGCTCGGACTTCTCCTTGTCCTCCTCCTTGTTCATGTCATATTGGCTCGCCTTCTTGGCCTTGGCATCTTCGGCATCGTCCCGTCGTATTGCAGAGAAATGGAACGCGCGTCCTGTTACCGGGGCCTGGGTGTCGATGCCGAGTCCGGCTGGGCGGAAAGCATGACGCATATGACCATACTTAGGGCTGAAGCTGGCAGGCAGTTGCAGGCATACGCGACGGAACGCGTAGCTCATTTTGGGGTTGGGTTGCTGCAACTGAGTCGTGGTTTTTGGGTTAAGGTTTAGTCAACAGAGACAGATATTTACATCATTTCAAAACCACTTGTCATGAACATTAATAAACTGCACGGAAGGAAGTAGGCATTGGCATTCGTGCCTGCCGAGAGCTTCCCTGTCGCAGGGATTCATGCTTATGACGTCGATGGCAGTAGTGGCCATCACGTGCTATGGCCGAGCTCTGAACCGGGCAGGCTTTGGTGCACCCCAGCTCGATGCCACGACATAGCCACATCATTGTGGCCGCCAATCTTGATTTCACGCATCATCACCCCAAGGTCTTCGCGGGAGTTAGCACCGTGTTCGTTTATCCGGGTAATGAAATTGGCTCTCATCTCGATCCTCACCTCGCAGCGTCATTCAATGCTGGCTTGAAGAACGCAGTACTCTATTGACGCTTTTTCTTTCTTTCTTTTTTTTTCTCCCTTTTTTCTACGTCATCCAACATATGTTGTCTGGCCACCTTCGCTATAACAGGTGTTCGCTACGCTACACAAATCTTCAGCTAATGTATCGCCACTTCACATTCTCCCATCCTTCACGCTTTCGGACGCGAACTCCGAAACCCGCACCATTTTCCACCGGCTTCACAGCAGCACTTGTCATTGAGCAAGCCCCTTGTTCGGGAACTCTGTCCGTTTGCTGCATCTTCTCGTCCAGGGTCGAAACTTCGAATCCCGCCAACAGCGACACCACAAATCCAAGGTTTTCGGCAAACGCAAAATTGCGCCCCGGGCACAAGTGCCGCCCACCGCCGAACGCAATGAATGATGCCCTCTTGATCTTTTCTGACTCTGCGTCTGCCTTGCTGCTGTTTGGCATAAACCTGTCCGGTACAAATCTCGAGCTGTCCGGGCCCCAGGACTTCTCCAGAAGATGAATGACTTGTGATGACATCTGCACGCTGCAGCCTTTCTTCAAGACATATGACCGGCCATTTCCATCAGTTAGGGTTGTATCTTCTAAGACCTTTCGGTTGCACATGCCCTTGCTGGACATCCGGATAGATTCGCGATAGCAGCTGACCAGCAGCGGGCACCGTTCATCAAGTGTTTCTATGTCAATAGTGGCATCGCCACCGCCGCTGTGATGAATCACTGGCAGAACCTCATCTCTCAGGCGAGCCACCAACTCGGGTCGGCTGAATATGTATGCCATAAACCAGAATAACGTCGGGATCGTGTTGGATGTCGCCACATGGAGCAAGGCAATCTCAAACAAACCAACGCCTTCCCCTGACATGCCGTGTTTCCGTAGGACTGCGGCGCGGTCCTTGACAATTTGGGATGCGTCCTCGTGGTAGTCCCTATTATTACCATAATAATCGGACAACGCTGCCTGGAGGCGCTCCCTCGCGTTGTAGCATTTTTTCGCCGTGATTGACGGCACGACTCCAAGCATCAAGATCGGCAAGTCTGTGTCAAAGGTCCTGTGCATGCATAAGACACAATTTAACAAGCACGAAAGCGCAGTGAAAAGTGCTTACCATACATCGTCCATCAAGCTCGCGTCCATTCTCAACGGATTACAGGGGCCGTAGAGGGCTTCCGCTGTAGCCATGGTCATCAAGTCCCGTATCCAGGTGAACAGGCTCGTTGTCTCGTACGCTTCAGAACCCTTGCAGACATCATCCAGCACGTCAGACACGTATGCGAGCGCGTTGGCGTTCATCCGGTGCAGGTGGTCCGCGGCCATGGATTTGTGGATACTCTCGAACATGTCGGGCACCAGAGTGCTTTCCTGGAGGAGCTTGAGAACCTCGTTGTTAAAACCGAGTTCTCTCTGTGCGAAGTCCACGGCATACGGTTCGAAGGACAGGTCCCGGTTTTTGAAGACGGCTTGTACCAGCGTCGGGTCCCAGATGCCGTAGAGCTTGCCGTTCAAGATCGGCAGAGTGGCAATTGCCATGTTGCGGTTCCTGCGCAAATGTTAACGCCGCTGCGGGATTGCCGTCATTCTCAAAGGGCGAGATTTACTCTAATGTCTTGAAATAGCCAGACTGGTGCCAGATCATCCCTAGGAGGTGTCCTATGATTGGAATCCTGGGCTTCATCCGCGGTGGCTCTCGTTCGTCCATTTCGGGCGACGAGAATCTATGCAGCAACATTGCGAAAACCAATAGCATCGCGGCGGTGACGTACAGGGACGACGATTTCTGCACATCCCTGACAAGGAAAGACAAGATGCCCCCGGTTTGGGCGGTGCCGTTGCCCGCCATATTCCCAATTCCTTCACCTATTGTGGGCGGGCCGGTGTGCGATTAAGCACTATTAAGTTGTCACTGGAAATCGGTCAAAGTGCCCGACGTTGGATTTAATGATAAAAGACGATTGGAAATCACATCGATACCAGATGATGAAGGGCCAGGCTCTTCATATACCTGCATATATTACGCGACTCCCTAGCACTGGGAATGCTGTGGTGGCGCCCATCAGAACTTAGCGCTGACATTCCTTCGTCCGAGACACGAACGATTGATTGGGCAATGAAGCATCTGCAGTGATGGTTAGAGACCGTCAACCGACCAACTGGGGTCCCTCATTCTACCCACAACCGGATCTAGCTACCGATAACTGCCAACCTAGGCTCAAGTTTATTAGCCTCTTTACTAGTCAAACATTAATGCCGGCTGTTCAGCCGTTCGACGGTCAGCCGCAGCTTCGCATTTGGCTGTCGCACACGACAATGGACATGCATTGATAATATCTCGATTGTGCAACCTATATTTTTGAAGCTCGGACTTAGTTAGAAAGTATATCAGTTGTTTTAAAGGTCACTTTTGTTGGTAAACGCAAAATAATAATAATTCAAAAACGACTGTCTCGATGACAGGGCATAATCGTACCGCCATGTGACGTATACTGTTGTTTGTTGCTTCTACGTGGCTGCTGACGCACGCCGTATAATGGATCTGAAAATGATCGCTGCAATGGATAATGACTTTAAGCCGATGGACATAAGAGCGCTCGTATGAAATTAGAGGCCGCAAATAAAACCGCCAGGCATGTAAGCAAGGCACAGGGGAGGTGCGCTAGTGCCAGTACTCTGTGGGATGGCACGAATGGCTCACTTATGTCAATGTATGTAGCCTAATACTATTAGAAACAGAAACTAATGCAATTAAAGATCAATGTCACGCAACAATCTGGGAGCTTGATATTCTCGAACGAGATACGCATCTTATGATAATCTGAAAAGTTACCCCGTGTTCACTTGGTAGCGCTATCCCTGTCAAAGGAGTAGTCGGTCGAGGGCACTATGAGGAGAAAGCTCAAGTTGCGTATTCCAAGTATTCCAAAACTGCCCGCATCCGGCATCGGTGTACCGAACCGTCCTCTATGACCGCGATAAACTCTCATCCTAGCACATCACAAAACCACCACTAGGAGCTCCCTTGTGTGTCATGATGCCGCAATAATAAACTTGAGGGTTTCCGTCTGGGCTGACTTCCCCATCTTCGTAATAATAGACAACCCTTTCATCACCCTGCTTCACATTGTTCTTGCCACCATCGTACGGGCTTCCATTCATAAGTGGGAACTCGTAGCGGTTGTCATCGGCGGGACACTCCTTGGGAAACTTGAGCGTATTCCCCTTGGAGTCGTCGTTGGGGAACGGATGTGGGTATTGGTTTCCTAAAGCGGATGTTAGGGCGCTGTGCGAGACAGGTGGGCCAGAGTGGGCGACCAGAGTACTAAGGAGGAGAAGGAAAAATTGAAGGCAGGAATGAGAAGAAGCAAGAGTTGAATGGAGGAAGATATTGAGAAGTTTCGAAAACATACGGCCACGTGTTTCACCCACGAGGTGGAGATTGGTGCCTCGTTGCGCGGCAAGATAGATTTCGTGCCCCGTGTAGGTCTTGTCTCCGCACTTTAATGAGTCGGAAGAACTGGGACGGTTGAAAAGCTAGATTTGAAAATAATCAACAGTGTTCTTAAGAGTATAGTTATTATCCGGGGTACATTACGTCGATAGGCGCATTTGAAGGGACCCGAGCTTCAAGCTCGGTTGGAAGCCCGTTGGCTGTGCCAAGGAGAACAAGCAAGGAGGCGGAGGCGGAGAATCTCATTTTGACGAATTGGACAGTAAAGGGTTGCAGTTTCTTATGTGTGCGAGGTTAATGAAAAGGAGGGCAAAGCTTTCGAGGTTGGAGTTGCTAGTGACTTGTGACGATTAAGAACTTGGAGGTGCGCGAGCCCTTATATATACAATCATTGCTGTGTATCGCCCTCGGGCATTACTTGTAAGTCAATAGAAAGACATAGATCATAACACACAGGTGAGCCTTGTCAGCGGTTCGTTCCATAGGGCTTCTAAACATAGAAACGTGGGAATGATTCTCGAGGGAGTTGAAGATAGTAACTTGGTGCGGCACCGTAGGTGGCACCGAGTGACATGACAACTAGTGTCTTTGAGCCGGGCAGTATTGCTCCTGAATGAGAGACACTGGCCGATCATAGCAACAACCTCCCATGAGTTTCAGTCAGCATGCAAGACTATCCCTAGAGATGCGTCATTCTATCGCAAAGCCCTGGAAACAGCACGAGGCTGAGAATCCATCGTCCCATACTACGAATCCTGTCGCTTGGCTCAATTAGAAATGGGGGCCAGATTCACGTTAATAGATCCTGCCTTGTAGATCTTTACCATTACGATTCTTTGTTGCTTGTCAAACTAGGTATCGACCCATATATTCTCAGTGTCTGCCTAGGCGTCTCAGCCTCAACATGACAATCTCCAGGAATATAGTCAGCTGGTCCCCGCACCTGCCTGACTTTAATGGAGTACTGTGAAACCCTAAGCTTACTCGATATCGTCATTGTACGATGGATATATGCCTTATTGGCCTAGATTGTCTTGTTCAATTGAAGGATGCCTAGTGACGTCAGAGAGGCCAATCTACTGGACGTACTTGGTGGGGCTGAATCAGACACATAAAAGTAGTTTTAGAACCAACTTATAACATCAACATCACAGAATCATTCATCTTGAGTTGAGTACTGCCTTAAGGAAATCAGAAAACAAAATACCGTACCCTAAACTACCATCGGCGATCCAAGACCATTGAAAATTATCATGTCCGACGATTGGTTCTCGTCCAAACTCGCACCGGATGGCGACGTCGAGGACGGATGTCACCCTCAAGAGGCACAGGCGATGAAAGACTACCTCCACCAGAAGACAACTGCAGTTGAAGCGGCCCGAGCCATCACCTGCCCGGTCGCCACTGCAGACAACCCTAGAGAGGACCTCGCCCGCCTCTGGGGATTCCTGATGGATTCTCTTTTAGAACTACCGGCAGAACACATCGAATCAGTGTTAGAGCTGCTCAAGGCAATCGAGAATATTGAAGAGCCTGATTTCACAGCTGTGGACGAAAGCAAGCGGACCTCGGAAAAGTTGTGGAGGGGTCTCCCGGGGTTCGGTCACTTGTGGGCCGATACATATCAATCTGGAAGCTGGAGAAGGGCTGCTGCGGCGGCTGCTGGCCCGGAGCGTGACGCGCTACGAGACACCCATGTCCGGAAAGCAGAGGTTGAGGCACGCTTAGTCGCAGCTGGCGTCGGTGGTATTCCGATTGACTGGGGATACGAGGTCGTCGTGGACGCCCTGGAGAGCAGTAACGCGCTGCTTGATTTTGAGGTTCCAGCTGCGGCGAAGTGGCTTGTATTTTGTGGAGAGCGGTTCCGACAGGGAGCAAAGGATGGTGAGGAGAGCTGGGCATTGAAGTCGCATCTGACAGCATCGTCCACGGCCCCTTCTCGGGATCTCTGGAAGGCATCTTCGAATCAGGCGCTGAGTCTGGATCGTTGGTCGTCGTGGGAAGGGCGTCTTAGGGAGTTACAAGGGAAGCAGGGAGTCGTTGGGGATTCGTCGACAACGGCGCTTGGTGCCATGAGTAAAGCAGTCCATGCGTCATTGTGAAGAAGGGAGATGGATACAGAGGATAGTCGGACACAATGAAGAGAGGACGACTCTTGAGAGCTTATGCAACACCACAATATTTCTGCCCTAGTATACACGGCTTTATCTTAGCATGATTGTTCACTACATCCAAAATGTCCCCAGGCTTTCATTATGTTGGCGTTCCAGTGACTGGTAAAGTTGAATGCGAGTTGTGAGATGTTACAGTAGCAGTAATCTTGTTGATTTTTCCATAGACAAAATTGAGTAGAACTGAGAACTGTAAGAGATGCGAGGATGTAATTGGGTTTCGCGTTGTCTACCATATTCCGTGTTTATGTTTTCTGTTGGGTATGTTGTGTGTTGGGTGAATGGTCAGCTATTATCACAAGCGTATTTTAACATACATCCATTCGCCCCCCTCCTCATCCTAAGATTACTTACGACTTGCGTGATGCTCACCTTTGATATCAAAGTGAGCAGCTGGCACGGCAATCACGTCTGAACAGCTAAATTAGCCACCAAGAAGGACTCTTTGTATGCTTCAATATCCCTAGTGTCTAGTTATGAGTGATGAGTAAAAGCATGTAGTCAGTGGGAGATAAACCTGAAAAGTTCCGCAGAGGGCCCGATATAAGCCGACAAATGAAACACCCATGACAATGTAGTAACAATCGAAAGATCAAAAGTTTGAGATTTACCAGTGTGAGAATCGTTGCAGCCAAAGTTGGGGGCATAAGTGATAGGCTCTCTGGTAGAATAGGAACTGGCCCCAGAACGGTCGTTCCATGGTCCTACCATCTCATCAGTTGACAACGTCAACGGCTACCATGGATCCCAACCAGTGTAACTTTCCGCCCGTCGGAGATACATCAATCTCCTTCATATAAAGAGAAAGCTCTTCTTATGCTCCTGTATTCTTTTTCCTTGCGAAAAAATAGAAACAAAAATTCACCCAGCTCTGCCCTCCCCCACTACAAACAATTCCGTCCCAACTACTTGCGCAAATCACTTCTTCACTTTCACTTACAGATACCTTATTGATTATTATTCTAGATTCTCGGAACTAAATCAGAAGGATCGAGGCGAAATTCTGCAAGATTTCCCGAAGCGATCAAGCACATTACTCGAAAAGCTATCAGGACCACCGCCACCATTACCGCCTTTACTATTACCCACAACAAACACAATGACCTCCTTTGGCTTGTTCTACTCTCCTACAGCCACAAAGCAGAACAATTTATCACCCACCGATAAGATTGGCTCCAAATTGGTTAACGGCCTTCGAGTTCCAACACCTCTTGGCAATTGTCCACAGAATCAGCAGCATGAGACTCAACAACCAGACTTTGCCGATTATGTGAGCCTCTTTCATTCTCCCACCGCTGAGCTGCTGCGAGGCGGGATCGTCCTAAATCACAGACTTGTGAATGGCTATCGCATTCCCAAGAAGATCGGTTGTCGCAACACTATACCTTTCTCTTTCGAAGAGGAAAACAATCTCTTTCACTCGCCCACGGCGGCCTTGGTCTCTGACAAAGCTTGGATGAAAACCTCAGCCAGATATATCGGCAATCTTCGAGTTCCATCTCGCATTGGTGGCAATCAACACCAGTCCGTCAATTGTCGTCATGACTCTCTCAGCTCCACCATTTCTGAGCCTCAGTCTCAATCTCAGAGCTGGCTCTCTTTCAACGAGCCCATCATCTATTCCCCGACAGCTGCTTTCCTGCGAAGTCCAGCAGGCGACTCCCAACTCCGAATGAGCAACGATCTTCGGATTCCTCGTTTCATCAGCCGCCGTCGAGAAACCACCGATTCCGTTCGCAGCCATAAGGTCGAAATGAGAGTCTGGAATACCAAGACCGAAGCCTCTGGCGTCTTTCAGAGGCACTCTTTTAAAATTCCGAGCAAACCTATCGAGTACTGCACACACTATAGTTACCAAGCCGCAAGGGCAGCTCACGCTCTCCACGCTGATCCAAACAATGTGGAAGATGATGGTGACAGAGCAGAGGCTAAACAAGCCCAGCTCTGCACATGTGTCGACCTCGCGATCAGCCAACTCCACGACCCCTTTACCAACGAAGACAGACAGGTCCTTCGACAGATTCTCAGCTATCTCGACCAGCGCAGGCATGACCTTTTTGCGCGCCGCATTAGTGTTGACTCGAATGCGCCACAGGTCAATGTTCCAGCATCCTGGTTAGAGGTGGCAGACCTCGCCTTTGAGGGGATTCGCACAGTCGACTACCCATACCTCCTTCGCGTCATGCAGGCCATTGACATACTTGCTTGCGGCATCTGGTATGCTGATTCAGAGCAGCAAAAGTATACGGATGAGGAGAAAACTTCTTTTGAGTTCATTTAAGTCACAGGTGAACCAGAATGGACAGGGGTTTATTGGGGGATAAAGCACAACTCAGAGTGCTTTAGCCGATATGGAGCTTTGGAGGCGTTCAGGCAAAGGACGATTGAATAATACCCCATTAGGCACAATTCCTTATTCCTTAGATACCTTGGGACCATCTCCTGAACGATACACACTGTTTGCGAGCAACTTGTCCAGGCTATGAGTAGATTGTGATGTGACAACTACGAATACCAACCGAGGGAGTGGGTGACATGAAGTTGGAATTAGTGAGACCCTAAATATTCAATGGTTCTTCCAAAATGGCAAGCGCGGTGGGCTCCAATGTTTGCTCTTTTTGACAGCTGTCGTTGAGAGATAACGTCTCTCCACACAGGGGCTACCTAAGCGCCAGACCCCTGAAGACCCCGCACTAAGCCTGTTCGGGCAAAGATTTTGGCTGTTGTTGTTGTGAGGGGAGTAAGCTTCGCAACCCCGCCAGGGTCGTCCTCCTTGCCCAGCTTCACCCAATTCACCACAACATTCCTGTCCGTCGAGATTGGGACATTTTGTCTTGTACCACAGCTGTGAAGGCCATCTTTTCTTACTTGTTAACTTCCAACAGTAAGTTTGCCCAGTTGCTCAAGCCCCCCCCCATTTTTGCCTCTTATCTCCATGTCTCTTTGCCCCGCATTGAATCCTACTGACCGCCTCCTCCAACAGGCTGCAAACTCGATCGCAAGATGGCGGACAAGAAGGTCTACCGCGCCAGCACCACGGCGCCCGTCAACATCGCTGTTGTCAAGTACGCTCTTCTCAATACCTCCCGCCATTGAGGTTGTATCGCTGACGATCATAGGTATTGGGGCAAGCGCGACCCGAAGCTCAACCTCCCCACCAACAGCTCCCTCTCCGTCACCCTCTCCCAGGCCGACCTCCGAACCCTGACGACTGCTTCCTGCTCGGCATCCTACTCTGAAGGCGACGGCCTCATCCTAAATGGCGAAGCCTCTGATATCTCGGGAGCCCGCACGCAAGCATGCTTCCGCGAGTTGCGCACCCGCCGTGCCGCCCTCGAGGAGAAGGACTCCTCCCTGCCGAAGCTGTCCGCGATGCCCCTCAAGATCGTCACCGAGAACAACTTCCCCACCGCTGCGGGCCTCGCCTCCTCTGCGGCTGGATTTGCCGCCCTTGTGCGTGCCATTGCCGACCTCTACGAGCTCCCCGACTCGCCGTCTGAGCTGTCCCTTATCGCGAGGCAGGGCTCGGGCTCGGCGTGCCGCAGCTTGTTTGGTGGTTATGTTGCGTGGAGGATGGGTGACAAAGCCGACGGCACGGACTCCAAGGCCGACCTCGTCGCTGAGGCGTCGCACTGGCCCAACATGCGTGCCCTGATTCTGGTCGTCAGCGCGGCTAAGAAGGGCGTCTCGTCAACGTCGGGCATGCAGCAGACGGTCGCAACGTCAGGTCTGTTCAAGCAGCGCGTCGCCGAGGTGGTGCCGAAGCACATGGCCGAAATGGAGGACGCCATCGCCAAGCGCGACTTTGCGCAGTTCGCCGAGGTCACGATGAAGGATTCCAACTCGTTCCACTCTTCGTGCTCTGACACGTACCCTCCCATCTTCTACATGAACGATGTCTCGCGGGCCGCCATCCGCGCCGTGGAGCAGATCAATGCCGCTGCCGGCAAGATTGTAGCTGCCTACACGTTCGACGCTGGCCCGAACGCCGTCATCTACTACCTCGAGGAGGACACCGCCACTGTTGTTGGTGCCTTCTCTCCTATTCTTGCCTCTGTGAGCGGTTGGCAGGAGGGCGTCGAGAACCTCAAGTCTTCCGTCGCGCTCGACGAGACCGTGGCAGGGATTCTCAAGAGCGGCGTCAGCCGTGTTATCCAGACCGGTGTTGGCGAGGGCCCGATCAAATCGGATGTCTACCTTGTCGGAGAGAATGGCGAGACGGTCAAGCAATAAGCCACCTAATGTCACCTGTAGAGTGCACTTTCAAACTAGAGAGATGACCAGAGTTCCTCAAAAGCCCCCACTGTACAGACAGAAGCTCCTGAGGGGGTTTTTTTTTTTTTTTTCCATTTCCAAAAAAATACATACATATATATATATATATATATAGAATAAACTCGTGTATTTGGGATTCCAAGAGTCAAGCTGGTGTAACTGAGTCTTGACTGCGATCAATTCTAGTGAGAGGGGATCTGGACCAGAGGGGGGACTTTCGCTTCCAGGCCAAATCCATGTCTACAGTAGCATGCCTCTTTCGTTATCAGGAGCACGCCGCGAAAGGAACCTTGAGCGCAGACAAAAAGGATGCCAAAGGATGTTATGTAGGCAAGTCTAAATCAAGAACTATAGATCAGATTAGTTAAGTACGGTTACCAGCAGATGTAGTAATAAAGATTCATTGCTGACTGACTTTCTAATGGACCCACTTTTATGTCGTGAATACCTACCTACCGACCTTCTTCCACTATCCTGCAACATCACTGTTGTCCCTTCCCACCCTTCTCTACTTCTCAGGAGACAGCAATACTAAGAATGGAAAGAACAAACAATGGGGACCTTCTGATTGAAGAAAGAGATGGAACCGGAAGAGTCATACGCCAGTGGCTGCACAAACTTGGATCTCAAAAAATCGCCCAAGTTTACACGCCTCACCCCCGCCCCCTCCCTCATATCACCAACATCCCAAGCACTGCCGCAGACCTCCTCACAAAAATGCGTCAAATTCTCTACGACGCGTTCCTGCCAATCGGCTACCCGGAATCAGTAACCCCAGATTATCTGGGCTACCAGACTTTCGACTCGCTCCAGGCCTTCTTCTCTACCATCACTGGCCTCCTCTCCAATCGTGCCATCCTGCAGGGTCTCGGCGTCGGCGACCCAAACTCGTCCGCCACATACGCCCTCCTCCTGACAATCCTCAAGGATGGCATCTCCCGCGTCGCCACTATAGTCTTCGCCTACCGCTTCGGCCTGGTCATCGAGCCCGAGTGCAAGAAATACCGCTTTCTCGCTGATATCTTCAACGACAGCGCCTTCTTCCTCAACCTCTTCAGCCCTTACTTTGACCCCTGGACCAAGGTCGGCGCCTTAGTTCTCGCCGAAGCCTTGGGTGCCATGTGCGGCGTTGCCGCTGGCGCAAGCAAGGCCGCCCTCTCGAAGCACTTTGCCCGCCGCAACAACCTCAGCGAGCTCAACGCCAAGGAGGCGTCCCAGGAGACGGCTGTCGGCCTCGTCGGCCTGCTCGTTGGGTCCGTCGTGGTGCGTTTCGTTGAGGGCCGCGAGGCTGTCTTCGCCCTCATGACATTCCTCGTCTTCGTCCACCTCGGCATGAACTACCTCGGCGTCCGCTGCGTCCAGCTCGCCACCCTCAACCAGCAGCGCGCCACCATCCTGTTCGAGCACTATGCGCGGACGAAGCAGATGCTGACCCCTGCGCAGGTCGCCAGTCGCGAGAACATCCTCTTTTGGTCGCCCGTCATCAAGAATCACCGCGGGGAGGTTGTCGCGAATATCAGATTCGCCAAGAGCTATGCCGATGCCATGGCTGCCGACGTCAAGAGCGCCGGCATCCGCTACATCACACTCAAGTGCGAGGGCCAGTCGGAGAAGGAGGCAAAGACTGCTGCGGCGGGCTTCGTGCTCTGCCTCTGTGAGCAGCGTAAGGTCACCACTGTCAAGATCCTGTTGCTCAGCGACCCCCCACACGACGATGCGGATGACCTCAACACCATCGAGGCGTGGTTTTACGCTACCTTGCTCGCACGGGATGGCCAGCTGGGCACGAAGACAAGCACGCTCAAGCTGCTTGGGGCTATCCCCGTGGATGAGATTGAGATTGACGATGAGGATCAGAAGCTGAACTTCGCGGCGCTTCAGGAAGCTGGCTGGGACGTCAGTGAGGCCAACTTGGACGCCTTTGCCCCACGCATCAGCATGGGATACACAACCAAGAAGGAGCTGTAGGCGGGATGATGAAAAGACTGCACTGAATGCACACGGCGTTCGGGACGGAAGACACTCATGATGTACAATTTTCTAATGATACCAATGGCCCCTTCTGCATTCGAGGTCTCGCTCTCACCCTTGCACCAGTGAACGGTGACTGACCTGTCTTGCCGAAATCTCGAAGCCACGCTTTGCCACGTGATGACTGGGAGCGATACTCCTTGGGGGGGGGGGGGGATATTACCTACCAGAGCCCATGCTGGGTCGAACGCCAAATGTTAAACCGCTAGTAAATGGGTTCTTGCAGTCTTCGATCTTCCACGTCTGGTTGGGTGAAGAAAAGGAGCATGGCAGGTGGGGCCAAAGCAGACTACAGCATGTTGTTGAATACCCTGCAACGACCAACGAACCATGGGAAACTAGAGAACCGCAACGGCAAGGGCGTCGTAAGACCCGATGACCCTCTCCCGTCCCAAACGAGTGACGTGGTGACAGCGGTCATGAGCCGTGCCGTTGGCTTCCACGACCGGGTATGAATCTCCAAACAGGACAGACCGCACATGCCAGCGCGTCAGACAGCAAGGTATCTTCACCTCAAAATGGTTCCCCGTCCGACCCGCGTCACTGCCCGCCGTTACCATCTTCTTATCTCGTCGGTCCGCGAAGCGGCCTTCCAGGTGATGGGTCTTTTCTTGCGTCCCGAGCCAGCTTGTAGATCGTGTGGGAACGAGACAACCCCACTGACCAGAGCCCTCTTCCCCCCGCCTCGCGCGTGGAGGAGGAGGAGCTCCCATCTCCCTTCGAGGTGTGGAAAATTTGCTGCAGCCGCGCGAATTGTGGGTGCGTGCCCGCCGGCTCCTCCACAAAGCCAGATCACGCGGTGCCGTTATCGGAGCAGGCTTATAGTACCTCCATCCTAAGATGTACTCTTGACCTCTATGGTCAATCTAAAATTCTGACAGTCACCTGCGAGATCAGTCAATAGGGTGGATACTCGGATATCTCCATGGTGCTTCTTCTAAAATTTTCTATTGTGTTGAGTACTGGGCATGATAATTTTACTGTATTTCTATGACTGTGTATGGCTAATAGTGCTTCTGTGCGATTCTTAGAGGGGAAGAACGCCTTGTATCTGTACCTGGTTATTGGAGCAGGCAACCGCGCCGCACCGCTTCCCATCGCCTGGTCCAAATCCCCACCTGCTTACACCAGGGAGGGCCGGGACCAGACGCTGCTTCCTCCTCAGTAGCAATCGGCGCGAATCGCGGTCCCGTCGACCGGGCCGGTCGGTTCCTGTAGATGAGGGCAACGTGTTGCCTCTGTCGTGAACGGAGAACAAGTGTGTGTGGGGTGGAGGATGCGTCTGGTGGTAGCCATGTCACGATTCCACCTGGATCTCAAATCTCAATTTTTTTTTCCCCTTCTTCCTTTTGTGCGAAAGGTTTGAAAGTACGGTACAGTTCGGATCCGAGGGACCCCCCAAAAGCGAAACCCCATTCCAGGGCAATTTGAATCGAAGGGCGGGAACTACAACAAATGTGCCCGACGGCTTGCTGTCTTACCCGGTCCGGTACACTGCCTAAGCGGCCATGCCCAACCAGACAAGACAATCCCACCCGAGGGCCACGAAGGAGTGGGCGCTAAGCTACTCACGCACGCGCAAGGCCATCTGATGCAATGCAATGCAAGACCGGGGGCCAGGTCCCTCTTGCCCCCGCCGCCGCCGCCGCCGCCGTCTGTGCCGTGGGGGTTTCAGCAGCAGGGCGGGAAACCGACTCGGTCCCAGCGGTTAACCGCACGCCGTTTAGTCCCCGGATCACTGTCACTTTCACTGTCACTGCTGTGCCATGAATGTAATTGCCCTGGCTGGCAGCGCGGTGCTCCGGACCCAGCCCCGTGCCAGCTCTATTCGTGCTGACTGAGGCAGGAACTCACGTTCTGTGTTCTGCAATGGGCTGCCTTGAGTGAACTAGGTATAGGCCTTGAAGGAGGGGAGGATGCATTGTGCTGCAGAAGACCGGGAAGGTCATTAACGAGGACACCCTCACGCGAGCCGGCTCGCGTGCCCCAATCTCGGCTTGTCCAGTCGCAGGATGAGCGAACCCAATGGGCGGGCTTGCTCGTCCGGCTGCCCGCATAATCGTTCGATGCAGGCGTACGTCTCGGTGGAGGTTATCCTGTGCCTTTGGGGTCCTAGTTTTTGTTTGTGTGTGTCTGTGTGTGTGTGTGTGTGTGTGTGCTGTTGGTGTGGACGGAACCGGGGACGGATCTGTTACGCGGAGGGGCCTAGAGATGTCTGTAGATGATCAGGAAAGCAAGAAATGCCCATTGGGTGCTTGTTGCGAGTGTGTCTTCGGGGGCGCAACGTTGGTCCGCCACTCGTGAACCACTCTCGAAGCCGCCATTGATTGATAATCCTTCAGATGATGCCATGATGCTGACTTTCGAAGCGGAGGCAAAGTCCTTCCCACCTTCCTCCCTCCTTCCTCCACGCGTAAAATTGCCGAACGCCGACCAGTAACCGGCGGCGCCTTGTCATGTCAATTACGGGTGCCCTGGGAATGGCTAAGTTGGCGTGACATTTTGAGAGTCCGGGGAACAAGGGTGGGAGGTCACTGGAGAGCTGCTGCGCGGGGTTTCGCAAGCGCAAAAGGTCGGACGAGATGTCTTGGCGCAGAGCTTGTTGTCCCAAAATTGCATCCGAATCCTCGCCCACCATCCGACCAGAGACCGGGTTGAGGATGCTTGTGCACTACCTGCTGGCACTCACACACGTAGTATTACGACAAAATCTGTTGGAAAAAGCGGGGTAGCTGGAGAGTTGAACCGGGTTAGAAGCGACTGAGCTGTACGCAGTTAATAAAGACCTAATAAAAACCTGACAATTTTGGCCTAACATGTAGAGTAGTAGGTGCGGTGTCCCTTGAAACGCGCCCTCAAGAATAGCCCGCCGGTTTTACCACCTCGTATCTTGTCTACCGGCGGACTGTTCTTGAGGGTGCGTGCCTGATTCAAAAGCCATCCGGCTGCTGTTTAGTGTGGGTGGTCCTCCTGCGTCTCCGTCTCTGTCCGATGGAGATACTCGTATGGAGATGGAGTACAGGATATTGGGGATGGTACGATGTCACGCCATGACGTGGGAAATCAGAGATAAGGCGGAATTCACGTGTAAAATCGATTTGTCCCGCTGTTCCGTCAATGGCTCTCGCGAAGACTGCGTTGTGGTCCCATCCAAGGGCGGAGAACGCTAGAGAGACGGCGGCGGGAGAGCGGAGGACGGACGGGCAAGGAAGGGGAAGAGAGGGGTCGTTTGTTACCATTTTGGTAGGTGCCCATGAATAATGAATAATATGATTGCTGTGGCCCGAACGCGTGGGATCCAAACGTTCTTGGAGGGGCTGAATTGTAAACCATTAGGGCTGTGGGCTTCCCTGTTCATGTCTGTCGGTCCATAGCGATGCGTGTGCAGGTCGCCTGCCTGTTTCTGGGAATGGCGTGGTCGGTCGAGCGTTGGGGGCGTTTGGGGTGGTGGAGACCCCTGAAACCGAGAGGGAAGAGTTCTCAACTTCGGACTTTAGAAGGGATGAGAATAACAGCAAATGGAGAGGAGAGGATCGGACTTGAGACGGCGGGCTTGCCTTTGTTGGATGGGGTTGGCGTCGGTTGACAGAGACATTGGCAACTGCTAGAGAGTCTGGCTGTCTTGGACCTGGGGAGCGGCTTCGGTTCTCTGCTTCCATGCCTATGTGGTGAGTTGCTCGGGGCTTCAACTGACTTGTGAGTATTGTCTTCGGAGACAGCTTGACGGCCCAAAACTTTTCTCTCCAGCGGCTTCGGGTCGGCCTCGGGGCTGGCGCGCTAAGACAGTGATTGGCATACCTCGCAGCGCACATCAACCTTGTCTCGTTCCCTGTCCCCCGTCGGCCGTTCCCCCTCCTTGTCCTCGTGCTTCTCCACCATCGACCACTAGCTGCCATGCCATCCCCTGCCACCCTGCGGGTTCCCTGTTGCGTCCTGGTCCTGGTCTTGCCCGGAGTTTGCCTGCAGAGCGCGAGAGAGTCAACGATAGTGTACGTATCCGTATAGGCGCCAGCAAAACAGCTAGTGACACCCAACCCAGCGAACCCACCACAAAAAAGGATGCGCCATCAAGAAATCCAACCCCAACCGAGCGTTACGCACACTGCGGCACAGCGCACTTTAGGACAGGGGGGTTAGAGGAGAAGTGGTGGTGGTGGTGCAAAACCGACCGCTGAGAAAATGGGGCACGGCCGGCGGCGCGCGGTGTCTCGGCTTGTGAAGAGAATTCCCCGTTCCTTCCCAGCCTTGATGAATATTAAGAACGTGCCTTCCTTTTTCTCCCGCCTAAGCTCCGCCTTGACTTTCCTCTCTCTTCCCAACTTCTTCCCTCCTTCAAACCACCAAACATAAACCTTGGACACGCTCTCCTCCCTGCTGCTAAAAGCTGCCTCTTGCATCGATATAACCAAAATACAAAAAGATATATTCAATTAAGCCCATCGGACTATACGGTGTTCCCTGCCGTAGCACCTAGATAGATACCCGCCGCCGACGCAAACTCAAATCTCAGCTTTAATCTCCCAGGCACGGAGGAGAGTCGACCACAGCCAAAGTTTCTCTCTTCTCTTCTACACGCATTTTCTTCTCCATATACCCGTTAGAACGAGCTTCGTCCACTTTCAGTTCCCCTACGCTTCTTCGAATTTTCTTCAACTCGTAAATACCATTACAATGTTCGCGACCAGAATCCTCCGCCAGGCCGCTGCCCACGCCGAGCGTACCCCAAGCATCAAGTTCCTTGGCCGCCGCACCATTCCTTGTACGTCCTCTTCCTCAGGCCTTGTTCTCCTGTTAGTCCTTAATACTCATTGTCACTCTGGCAGCTTCCATTGACCATACCCCCGCTCCTCACCCCGCCTCGCCCACCGGCAAGCTGCCCGCGAACTTCGGCAACGGCTCTGCCACCCCCAAGCACACCAACTTCAGCTCCTACCGCGACCACGCCCAGCAACACGGTCCTCTCCAGCGCTCCATCAGCGCCGGCATTGGCGGCACCTCCGGCCACAACATGGGCCCAGTCGTACCCCCCTCGGGAGTCTATTTCGATCGCTCGGAGCTGCCCGCCCGCTTCCGCCGCCAGCCCCTTGACCTGGACGAGATCGAGGCTGTCGAGTCTGGCGGTGCTGCCCACTTCGGTTGAGTTCAGTTGCCTTGGTGCAACAGAACAGCCACCACGGAACATGTCTTGACCTCTATGAATGATTGAAAAGATGGACATGACCATGATAAGAATCCGCGGGCAGGAAATGAAACGAGAGACGAAGAAGGGGCACGTATGTATGAGGACGAGAGGCTGCGGTGGACAGAGACCCCCGTCCATCACCAAATAGCCCCGGCATTGGGGCTTTCGGCAGGATATGGAAAATTCGGCGACATCAACCATGTCACAGACTCGTAACCAAAAGGCAGGTAAAAGTTACAGCAGAGAAGAGCAGGACCGGCCGCTTGGTGCCCTTTTACGGCATGCTAAAAGCGTTTGCTAGAGGGTACCCAGATCGACCCCGGAAGCTTCGCTGGTCCCGCGGGAGTTTGCAAGGCTGTTCAACGTTTAAACAACGCAGAGGCACAAGCTGTCGGTCGGCCTAGCCCTGGCTTCTTGGTGTTCATTTTCCTTTATCCTCACATCGACTGTTCTCGATGATTTATCCTGTACCGCTAGTCTAGGCTCGTCACACAGACCAATCTCAGTGCATGCACATATATTCCAGACAAAACCCGAGTACCCGTACGCATCGCTTGGAACATCGTTGACATGTGCCTGCAGTTCCATTTTGACATCATGTGGAGCTCTCTGCATGCCTCTGAATTCTATGGTGACCATCTTACGGGACTGCGAACCAATGCTAGCGGAAGCTAGGCGACGCATGTGATAGCGTCTTGCAGCTTGTCGAACCGCCTGCGTCCGTAGCTCCGGGACGTTGGGAAAACCGTGCTCTTAGCCATTCAGAGAAGCATTGACGTTTCCCTAACCCAAGCTCTCATCCATCCATCCGATTGTTTCCATGCCCCGTTTCCCGCTTCCGTCATTTCCCGAAGCGGTCGGCTCGATGTCAGCTAGCAGAACCCGAGAGAGCCTCAGCCACAGAACTGGCCCCAAAGCGGGTGACCGCTCAAGCCACACGCACCAGCTGATCGCCGGCATATGCTGTATATTTTGGCTGCTGACACATCACCAAACTCAAAGCATTCTAACCTTCATCCTACACAATTGTCCCGCCGTCATCGGAACCATCCGACGTCGACCTCAAAAAAGCGCCACCCAATCAAACAGCTTCAATCACATCATTCAAAAATAAAACTCCCTGAGCAACGGCCGCGTCTCCACTTAAAAAGTTGTTACATCGAGGGAATCCCATTTCAAACGGTTCGTCACCCTGCCAAGCTGCCCCAGCGCCAGAGATCCAATGCAATTGCTGTCGCATATCCCTACGACATACGAATACTAGGGATTGATTAAGCCAAACAAACAAAAAAAGAAACATCATTGCACCCCTATTCCCCAGAGACTGGTCTCCCGGTAGACCCCCCCGCTCCGCAGATCTACTTCATCCAGTCCACAGTCCATCGAGGGGTGTAGATAAATTCCCAACATCTGCAAGACCACCCGCATCTCCGGTCCTCAACTGGTATGAACATTACGCCCCTGCTCACACCTACGATCACTCCAAAATGAACGCCGACCTCGTGGACCTCATCTTCCTAACCCGCTTGCAACCTCCAGCTCCGACCTCATCCTCCTGCTTGTATCCGTCATCTTCCTCCGCCATCGAGTACGAGAACCACATAATGACGGATCCCAAGAACGACTCCGCGCCCGAGGTGTGCCCCGTTGACCACAAGGCCCGCGAGGCCTGGCTGCAGCACGCCCGCGCTGCGAACCCGAGCGACGCGCACCCTCACCCACCGCAACCCGTTGTCACGCCGGCCGACGTCCCACCCCCGCAATCACAGTCGCAGTCCTGGACGCAGTCTCTACTGTCCCTGACGCCTTTCTCGTCATCCTCCTCTTCCTCGAACGGCACCGCGACGTCGCCTTCTGTCTCTTCCGCCAATGCTGAGGCCTGCCCCGTAGACCACAAGTCCCGCGAAGCATGGCTCGCCCAAGCCCGCGCCGCGAACGCCGCAGCGAACCCTCACAGCTCCCTCGCGTCAAAACAAGACTCCCACCGGCCCCTTGACCAGGCCCCACCACAGTCTTCGCGATCCTGGACGCAATCACTCAAATCGTACATCCCCTTCACTTCTTCCTCCCCAACAGCAGGAGACGCGCCAAACCCCTCGCGCCCGGCGAACGTAAAACCGAGTCTGGACACTGATCGCGAGGTCTCGACGATTCCCCGGACAGCAACTTCAGCGTATCCGGGCAACAGCCGGCCCTCGAACCATGAGCAAGAGACGGGCGCGGACGAGGCGACCGGGAACTGGATCTACCCCTCCCAGAAGATGTTCTTCGACGCCATGAAGCGCAAGGGCCACGACGCCCGCGCCGCGGACATGGCAACTGTGGTGCCGATCCACAACGCTGTCAACGAGAGGGCATGGAAAGAAATCAAAGAGTGGGAGAAGCCGTATCTTGAAGGCTCAGCGTAAGCGTCTACCTATCCCCCATCCCCGGATTCTCTGACTCTATTCAGCCGAGGAGATGCTAGGATCTAAAGAGACAGACCGCTGACGAGCCAAACAGTTGTGAAGGTCCCAAACTCCACTCCTTCCTTGGCCTCAGCACAAATATGTCACCCAAGGCGCGCATCAACACCCTGCTAGGCTACACCCCACCCTTTGACCGGCACGACTGGATCATCGACCGCTGCGGCGTGCAGGTTGAATACGTCATTGACTTCTACGCCGGCCGTCCCGACGCCAATGGCAAGCCCAGCTTCTATCTCGACGTTCGGCCGAAGCTAAATAGCTGGGAGGGCGTCAAGATGCGCGCGCTGAGGGGCGTCGGGCTAGGTTGAGCGAGTATTGTTGGGCCGAACCCACATAAACGCAAAATACTGTCACATAAGCTGCTACAGGGCAGGAATGTACAAAATGTATAGGTGTCATACTATGTAAATACTAGCAGCATTAGGGCCAGCGCAGATATCCCGCGGGAGGGATATCTTTGGAGGGAGCTAGTCCTTGCTTATCCCGACGGGCTGTAGTGGTCTTAGCATCAGGGACGAACCGCATCCCACCCAATCCAACATTTTGAGAATCTCTACACATGTCAAGCCTGTGCTCTTTTCCAGCTTTTCGAATTACATTTTGGACATGAGGACTAGCAGACCATGAAATCCTAAGTCTCAAGAGTGCTGACCAAAGCAGTCTTCCTAGCTCCCTACTCATCCTACCCATATCTTTAAGTCCAATGTACCAATACTTTATTTAAGTCATATTTGGACTCAACTACTGTCATACTAAAAACGACGCCGTTAGTGGCAGAGCAGCAACTAACGCCTTATATAGGACCTATAAGGTCACGACACACCCCCCCAGACTAAGCAGAGATGCTTAATCTGGTTGACACCCCTAATCTAAGCAGAGCATTATACTTAGTCAGAGTTGACAAGGGGGAGCGACACCCTTTGGCCTACCAGCCTGTAATAGGAATCGAACCCTAGGTATTAAAATACTGCCAGACCAGGCTACACGTGGGAATCGAACCCACAAGGTCTATGACGCTCAGACGCTAGACTCTGGGGCTGTACCATACTGGCACCAGAGCGAACTGGGCTCATAACTGTGATGAACTGCAGCGTCCTGACATTTATGAAGAGAAGTAGTTGATTTTCCTAAGTCTAAGTACGAGAGAAAACTCGCCTAGAAATACTCTTCCTAATGTGGGTCTTATCGGTTGGAGGCGCCACTCCGTGGCGTCTCTGACTGGAACTAGCCACACGAAGCTGTCCCAGCTTCACGACAACTACACATTGGTGGAACTCCAATCAACCATTCAGCGGCTGGACGCATGCCAACTGTCTCGGCATCCAAGCATAAGCGCTTGACTTGCAGATCTGACGTGGTTTTCTTCGCTGCGATCAGCTCAAAGAAACACTAAAGGAGAAATATCAGGTGTTGTGGTAAGCTGATGGCCGCGCATCGCGTAGTTACACTGCATTTCCATAAACTGTATCATCACATGCAGATCATTGGGCATGTGTGTGTAAAACCACCGCTTGTTATGCTGCAGCTTACTCTCCCATGAGTCTCTTATGCGAAATATGAGGGGCTAGGTGTCGTCTGGTATCCGAACAAGTCTATTATTCCTGCCCTTGTTCGACGTAAGCTGCCCGGTTGCTTCACCCGATATGTGCAATGAATGATATATGATTGGCCATTGGCAGAAGGGGGTACATGCCTAGCGCAAGTGATGAATTGAGAAGGAGGTCATTGTGTAAGGGCGGCCGCTCGGTGGCTATTGGCTGAAGGTAAGTTTATAACGGTTGTCTGCCCCTACACCTGTTGACCAAGTTCTATGTGCTAGCCCTGCCCGTCGCTTGGTATCTTACAGCATTCACGGACATTTTGATTCGAATCCGCTCACAATATGGAATACACATTTCTTATCCCGCTGGCGGTTGTTGCCATAGCTGTTCTTCAGCTACAAAACGTTGGCAGACGCCCCAAGGGGTATCCTCCGGGCCCTCCTACACTGCCTTTGATCGGTAATCTTCACCAGATCCCGTTTACAAAGCCGCATATACAGTTCAAGAAGTGGGCAAAGGAGTATGGGTATGTAGCGCAAGACAGCGACCCATAGAATGGTAAGGATGAGCAGCGTGTTGACGTTGACGTTGTCTACAGCCCCGTGTACTCCCTGATTTTTGGCACCAAAGTCGTGATTATACTTTCATCAGATCGGGCAGTGAAGGACCTCATGGACAAACGGAGCGCCATTTACTCATCACGCGCCGATATATACCTTGGAAACGTAGCCAGTGGAAACCTTCGCGTTGTGATCATGGTACGTCTCCTGGCAGCTAATGCCGAGCAGCGCGTGTTCCTTGATGAGACTCGCGGCGCTGAAATAGAGTACAGAAATATGGTGAAACATGGCGAATGATCCGAAAGGTTTTCCACCAGGCCCTGCACATTAATGCGGCCAGGGCCTATGTCCCGTACCAGGACCTCGAGAGCAAACAGATGCTGACCGGGTTCCTGGACGAGCCGCACCACTTTGCCGATCACATCCGCCGCTACACCAACTCGCTCACGACACAGATTGTGTTCGGATTCCGTATTGCGGGCATTCACGATGAGAGGTTGAAGAAGCTGTACCACTGTGTCGAGGCATGGAGCGAGGTCATGGGGTCCTCCGCGGCGGCGCTCCTAGACGCGTATCCGGTGCTCAGAAAACTCGGCCCCCTGTCGCCTGGAAAACGGTATGCTGAAAGGGTACAAAAGGAGACGAACACTCTTTATGTCGGACATTGGATGGATGCGAAGAAGCGCGTTGTGGAGGGCACATTAAAGGCAGGTTACCTAATATCCGCCTTAGCTGAGTGAACGTCGGAAGGCTGACCGAGACTAGCCATGTTTCTGCACAAGTATTGTTGAAAACCAGAAGGCGTCCGGATTCTCTGATGATCTGGCCGGATACATCTCTGGATCTGCCCTCGAAGCCGGCTCGGACACGACCGCAAATACACTACACAGCTTCGTCCAAGCCATGCTTCTGTATCCCTCCGTACAGAAGCAAGCCAGGGAAGAATTGGATCGTGTCTGCGGTACAGAAAGACTACCAAACATGGATGACTGGGACTCCATGCCCTACATACGGGCATGCGTCAAGGAAACCCTGCGGTGGCTGCCAACCGCAATCCTCGGAATGCCGCACGCCGTAACCCAGGATGACGAGTACATGGGCTACAAAATCCCCAAAGGGGCCGGCGTCATACTTAACGTTTGGGCCATCAGCATGGACGAGGACCGGTGGGAGGACCCCCGGGCCTTCGACCCGTCCCGCTACGCGGGCGACGACCAGAACTCGTTCGAGTCGGCGTCAAACGCGGACCCCTCCAAGAGGGACCACTACGGATTCGGCGCCGGTCGGCGTCTTTGCCAGGGCACGCACGTCGCCGAACGGTCCCTCTTTCTGGGCATCGCGCGGCTGCTGTGGGCGTTCCGTTTCGAGCGCGCCATCGACAGCCGCGGGGCAGAGATCGTTCCGGATGCGGACGACATCACGAACGGGATCTTGGTGCAGCCGCGGCCGTTTCTGGCGAAGATCACGGCGAGGAGCGAAGCTCACGCGCGGATCATCCGCAAGGAATGGGAGGCGAGCCAGGAGCTTCTGGACAAAGACGACCAGTGGAAGGAGGTTCCGCGCGGAATGGTGTTCGAGTCTCTGGTGTCGTCGGATGGAAAGGATTGAGTCATTCGGGGCTAGAAGGAGTGCTCGCACGTAGCTTGGTTGAAGATACATGAGGGGGGCTATGATATTTCCCCCTGTGATGGCGCTGGAAGATGCATACATATCAGGCAGAGTTATTGTTGGGAATCTGTGATGCACGATCCTCACGTAACCAGAGACTCATAGATTTATTTTCAAAACTGACACTTCTCTTTATTACTAACGCCTTTTCTCAAAATGGTTCAAATAATAATATCATACTAAGTCCGAAGGTCTCTTTAGTCAAAGTCCAACAGCAGCGGCAACGTGTTAGCTTTCAACAGATGCTACCACCATGAAATCACATCGGCGAAGTGCTTTGCGGTCCTTTGAGTTGGCGTAACTTCACTTTGAGGTTCTAAAGGGCTTGTCACAAACAGAAGACGGAACTCTCCAGCTCCTCGTAAACGATGCTCTGGTAGCAGCCTTGCGTCGCGGCGGGTTCCACGTCCTAGTAAGACATGTCTTAAGGATGGCATGATCCTGAGACCGCGGGTGGCCTCCGGCGAACGTTCTTGTCGACCGTAGTGGCAGTCTGCAGATTTGACAATATCCTGGCATGAAACTTTGCGTGGGCGTTGCTCAATTGGAGAGGGACCATTCAAACCACTCATTTTGAAAAACTTTATTGAAGTTCTGGTGTTTTCAGGGCTAATCTAAAACCCATGACGTCCCCAATAAGCTGCGTTTCCCACAAAGGTGGAATGATGGGCCGATAAATGCTGGTATATAATGAAACATTACTTGACATGGCTCACGCTTTGAACTTTTCAGGAGCCCTTTCTTCGCTCGCATCCTGAGGAGCAGCCTTTGCTTTCCCTCGTCCAGGCGCCGCCTCGAATTTCTCGGCCCACTTGCCCTCTTGCTTGAACATGGAGAGACACTTGATCGCTGAGGGTGTGCCGTACTCTGGGTCAGCACCGCCTTCCAAGAGAACCTATCCAAGCCGGTTAGCAACGAGATCTGGATTTTGGTATTGGCGTACAGCTAAGCAGCCTGCCAGACAAACGATGGCGTATTGTTGACTTGCCTCAATCACAGAATCCAAACCCTTAAAGACAGCACCTGCAAGAGGGCTCTGGCGCTTATCATTCAGTCTGTTGGGGTCTGCTCCATGTTCTATGAGGAGCTTGACAAGGTCCGCGTGACCGTAGTAAGCCGCCAACATCAGCTGTTTTGAATGTTAGCTACAATGGAAATGAGGACCGATAACTCGACCAGCAGATTGAGACCAGTCGAGAAAAGCCTCATCCACGAGCGTTGCCACTCACCAATGTGTCGCCCTTTTCATTCGTTAAATTCGGTGGTAGCCCATCGAGGAGAGCCTCCTTAAGGACAGTCTTATTGCCTTCGCGGGCTGCATTGTACATGCTGGCCGCCAGCTTGATGGCTTCCAATGACGGCGAAAACGCCGTAGCGGAAGTCAGGCTTGACCCACTCATGATGTTCGAAGAGAGAATGTGTGTAATTGGTTTCGTATAAGCTAGTGAGGTTACTTAGTAATGCCAGCAATGATTGTGGTTGCTCGCGGCGGGAGACAAGATGAAATTGGTGTTGGGAGCGGGGTCATAAGTAACCTATGCCAGGTAGCCAGTGCTCGCGCCCCGTACCCGCTGAGTTAGGGATGCGGGCGGGCGAGGTCTCCGGAATCCTAAGTCACGAGTGCGGAGCACGAGTAAAAAGTTGGGGGAATATTCGAGAAATCATTACTAAGCTAAGACATCATTGGCTCGTACTAGTTGACGGTCTGCTTAAAGGTGAAGCTGAGACAAATAATAAAACCAATAAGCTGAAGCGTTATAAACTCGCAATTACACATAACCTACAGAGCTCTTGGACGGGTGGCTATCAATATCTAGGCGAGTCCGAAGGCTCGGGAAGCAGGTACACAGGACTTCTGGCATGGCATGTCGCTTGAGTTCTCAACCACGAAAACATTTCAGGTTTAGCAACGCAGCAGAAGTTCCACCTATGCGGGATGAATAAAGATGCCAAGATGCAATGTCTCAATCAACTCTTGCTGAAGCTTCGGGAGAGAAAAGTATCAATGAGCGTGAATATGGCAACTGATAAGCGACCTGTGTTCAGCCCACTGAAGGAATTTGGCGTCAAAAGTTATATTGAGGGCTGAAAAGGGGTTTGCACACGGAACAGTTGAGTATGGATGTTTAGCCCACTATGCGCGCAAATGCTGCATGGTCCGCAAAGCTAGGTTTCGCTTACTATTGGCAGGGTCGTACGCGAATCTCATACCTGCGGATCTCGCATTGAGGCATTTGGCATTCCGCCACTCCTGTAGAGTGTCGTCATGGAGAACGCGGACTTGTCCTGGTTTCGCTGTAGTTAGCAAAGTTTAGATATTTAGGTAAAAGTCCGTAACTCGGTTGAAAATCGCAACAGGCGTGGTGGACGTCGAGGAGATGTCTGCCCTTCAATACACAACCGACAATCTCGAGAGGCTGTTCATATCGACATTCCGAGAACGACGTGCACAATGCGGCGCCAAGTTTTGTGTATAAACAATGCAGACATGCAGATGGTGGAAGTGTGATACGGAGCCAAGGGACAAAAGCTGTCCAATCTAAGAATAGCAATGATGCAACTGGACAACAAACGGACACCGACCTAGAAGTGTAAGCCATACGTGGCTCTAGGGCCGCCACATGGCTTGTGCGCCGCATTTTCGGGAGCTCCAAGTCCCCGACTCGGCGAACTGGGGCGACCGCCCAAACTCCGCCGGACCGCCATCCATGTCCGCTCATGGTAGTGGAAATACGTGCTGTCAGCATGCAACTCTTGCACGACGGAAAGAGGTTCATGTTGCAAGTTGACATGATATCGTTCTCATTAGTCTGAGGCTGGGGAATTCGCCCAGATCACAAATTACAGAGTGACCTCATTGTCTCTGGTCGGCCGGTAGGCGGGAGCTCCGCAAACTCGGCGAATATTCAAGCTGGTTCGGCCGTCTCAACACTCGCACACACAACAGAACATGGACCTAATACCTTGGCCAATATCCCAATAGCTTGGTCATGTCTGCAAGCATACACGCCTGATCCGCTCTTATTGTTGCTATTTCATATAATATATTCTGCCAAAGACCTTCAGCATTCTTCTTATGCTCTTAGTATCCCTTGAAGAGTAGAATCTGTGAATGCCTTATTAATTGCATATAGACTGACTGTCTATCTAACTTTGCTTCCATAATTCAACTACTAATTGGATCTTCTTTGTAACTTGCACCATCACCGGCTCAATCGAACTGAGCTCATGGATAGCACACACCAACCCATGGAAGACGGAACAGCAGCCAGAGGCAGCCACCGCACCTCAACTACAATAATCACAACAATATCATCGCTCACCATAAGTGGGGAACAGAGGTTCTTATCATAGAATGGAACGTACGCGCACACCGGAAGCATCTCGCCAATTAACGCGGGGAAGAATGGCGAGTCGTCAGGGGAGGAATTTGAGGCCGAAGCTATGGCTAACCCAGCGAGGGATGCCCAAGGTGATGCAATGATGATCGATGAGGAGGATAGAAGAGAACTGCAAAGGATCGCAACAACACTTTCAAGGCACCAAAGAGTAGCTGCACAAGTTGTTATGGCAGTTTGCGGTCTTAGCCATACTTTCAACACTAAGGTCGGTAACGACTTCGTCCGCGGCGTCTCTGGTGGTGAGAGAAAGCGTGTGAGCATCGCCGAGATGATGCTTTCTGGCTCGTCGATATGCGCATGGGACAACAGCACCCGCGGTCTGGACTCTGCGACTACTGTTGAAGACGTCATTGACATGCTCAACATGCGTGATTTTGTGGATGCCATTGTCGGTATCTCCGGCGAGGGTCTCAATGTCGAGCAGCGCAAGCTACTCACCATTGGCGTCGAGCTTGCCGCTAAACCTAAGCTTCTTCTGTTCCTCGACGAGCCCACAAGTTGTCTTGACTCCCAAAGCTCGTGGGCCATTTGCGCCTTCCTCCGCAAGCTCGCTGGTTCAGGCCAAACTGTTCTCTGCACCGCCCATCAGCCCAGTGCTATCCTGCTCCAGCAGTTCGACCGCCTTCTCTTCCTCGCTCGCGGAGGTAAAACCGTCTACTTTGGTTATATTGGCGAGGACTCTCGCACCCTTCTAAACTACTTTGAGTCACACGGTGTTCGGAGATGCGGCCATGAGGAGGACCCTGCCGAGTACATGCTCGAGATCGTCAACGACGGCCCCAACTCCAAAGGCGAAGATTGGCACACTGTTTGGAAGTCGAGCAATCAAAGGCATGGTTTCGAGGCGGAGATCGAGCGTAGCTATCTAGAGAAGGAGCACGAGGAGGTCGCAGGCAGCGACGACGCCGGTGCCCGCTCGGATTTCGCCATGCCCTTCACCGTACAACTCATGAAGGTCACTACAAGAATCTTTCAGCAATACTGGCGTACGCCCAGCTATATTTTTGCTAAGTGCTTCCTCGGTATCGCCGCGGGTCTCTTCATTGGGTTCTCCTTCTGGGAGGCGGGCGGAACTCTGGCTGGTATGCAAAATGTCATATTCGGCGTCTTCTGTCACGATATATAAGCTACTATTACTGCCCACGTAACTAACGGCGTCGTTCTTGCTTGACATCTTCATGATCATCACCATCTTCAGTACGATTGTACAACAAGCCCAGTCGGTTTTCGTCACCCAGCGAGCTCTTTAAGAGGTCTGCGAGCGCCCAAGTAAGGTCTACTCGTGGAAGACTTTCATGTTCGCCAGCATTATGGTCGAAATTCCTTACCAGATCATCACAGGTATCCTCATCTGGGCTTGCTTCTACTACCCCGTCGTTGGTGTCCAAACCCCTGTCAGACAGGTCTTGGTCCTCCTATACTCAGTTCAACTCTTAATCTACGCCAGCTCGTTCGCCCACATGACCATTGCTGCCCTCCCAGACGCCCAGACAGCCTCCGGGTTAGTCACCCTCTTGGTACTTATGAGCTTGACCTTCTGCGGTGCATTACAACCTCCATCGGCACTCCCCGGTTTCTGGATATTCAAGTACCGCGTCACTCCTTTTACCTACTGGGTAGCCGGCATCGTCAGTACCCAACTGCACGGCCGGCCCATTACTTGCTCAGCTTCCGAAACATCCACTGTCAACCCGTCTATGAATCAGACATGCGGCGAATATCTCCCAGATTATCTCCGAGATGCCCCTGGTCAGCTACGGAACCCGGATGCTACTGAACAGTGCAGATACTGCTCGCTAAGTAATGCAGACCAGTACATGGCCGGCACTAACATCTCCTATGATGAGGAATGGCGTAATTATGGAATTATATGGGCTTTCATTTTCTTCAATATATTTATCGCTGTTATTTCTTATTACCTGGTACGTGTCAAGAAATGGAACACTGGCGCATCAAAGAAGGCTAAGAGGGAGTCAAAGGGAAAGAGACTGAGTGCCCAGTAGATCTGCCTGTGGTATAGATACCTTTTCAAAGAACGTAGTAATAGTCATATCTCAAATAGATAGCGTTTTTTTCATAGATGAGGAGAATCTCAGTGTTTTGGACGTGTGAATGATAAACCGCTGGCGCGGAAGCTGCAAAATCCAATTGCTTAGACGTAACGTCCGAGACATGAATTTGACTGGTTACGTGGGAACAGCACTCAACTTGAGGGCAAGCCGTCCAGTTAGCGACAGAAAAAAGAAACAAAAAACCACATGGAACTCCCCAGTATATTACCCTGGTGCTGGGGATTTCCATCATATTGGCCCTAGAGGTATTCACTAAGTCATCGTGATTGATCTCTCCCTTAACGCCCTAATTGGGGATTTCCCCGAAGAAATTTTTCAGTAGCGAAAAGCCTTCTCTTTACCTTACGCTGGAGAAGAAGTTCTACAACTGCCAGCTTGGGGGCGTCGGGGATGGGGAAGAGCTCCTCCTGTCGGAGCAGACTACGATGCAGGAGGCTTTTGATGAAGCCGCTCCGGAATTGACCGAAGAGAATACATGCACCGTCAAGAAGCTGATTCGATAAATTCTGCGTTATGATACCAAGGAGAGACATTCACCGATGGGGTTTCTGCTCGATCCTTGGTTCCAAGGTATCGAAGATTAAGTTGGGTGGTTTCGTAACGCATAGTAGCAGTGGGATACAGTTGCACTAAATCTCTCCCTTTCACCCTTCCCCCTTTCCCCATAACAGGTTTTGTGATAAGAAGGTTTTCCTTCCGTGGCTATGAGTGTTTGATGCCCTAAGTGATCGCCAAGACTGTAAAGATGCGGCCCAGTGAGATCATGGAACCATTGCCGAAGCAGGAAATTGCTATAATTATGCAACTCGTCTCACATGGAGTGTATAATGTTCAACTGGAAAACCTGGAAACGTTCTGTTCTGGTCTAATATTGGGTGGTCTTGTGTTTAGAACAACCCTGCCACCCCCTGACAGGTATATCATTCAGCAATATTGTGGCTTAGATGATAATCAATGAGTAAGAGTACAATTGACAATCTGCTTCTCAAAGAAGGGTGGACACCACGGTTACCATGTCCGCTCTCGTCTTGTTGAAGCAGAAATACCACTCGGAGAGACAATGGTCTTTTGAACATTCACGGAAGGATTGACACCAGTCACCAGTCCTAAGTCAAGGAGAGAGTTGGTGAAGTTTAATACAAGCCCAGAACCCTAAAATATTCATAAGATATAAACGATAAAATATGTGCTAAGGAGTCTAGTAACCGGACGGTATTAGAACTTCATGTTCAACGTAGAGTTGATCTCTCCGTAACGGATGTTTCTAAAAGTCACCTCAGGGTTAGACACAATTTTACTAGCCACCGCTGGGTTACCCTCAGTAGCATTGCAGGGTCCGTTGTTTCCCACATCGAGCCACTGCATGAACGTGACCTTATCCCACCATACACTCAGTACCAAAACCATGCCGCGGGTCATAGCATCGCCCATGACTTCCATACCACCTAGGCGAGAGAATTCTGAAGCGCCAGTAGCTTGGCAATAATCGTCATTCATGAAGTTGATCTTCGGAGGCCCCTCGATGTTGACCACATTGTTCTGGATGACCTTTCCATCCTGGACATACATGCGGCGGAGCTCCTTGAGCTTACCGTTCTCGGAGGGAAATTGTGTGACGACAGTGAAGTTTCGGGTCGTGTCTACCTTGAAGTTGTCGCCTGTGCCGTAGTAGTCGGTGGCGTTTACGACGTTCGGGTTCCAAGAGCAACCGGCCTTGTCACACACGCCTGCCTTTTCGCATTCCTCGCCGACGCACTTGTAGAGCCCTGGCTGGCTGCAAGGATGAGGTGCAATGTGTGTCGCACGGGCGTTGGCTTCCCATATGTCGAGTTCGTTGCAGCAAGAGCCCTTTCCATCAAAGTTACCCTTGAAACAACGTTAGATTCTGCTAGGTATGCCATGGTTGGTATCATGTTGACTTACGACTCCGTTAATGAATGAGGTCTTGAAACACTGTGCATCACAGTAACCTGTACCCCAGGCTGGGCCAAGCTTGTTGAGACTGCTACTGTTTTTTCCGCCATCGGACTGCATCTCAGACAGGTAGAGCGCAGCATTCAAACCGCAGGGCAGCTTTGTCATGTCGACATCGAAAGTAAATTCGGAGCCGGTCAGAGAGATCATCTCGTACCGCTCCTTGCTTTCTTCCAACAGGTAGACTCGCGGCCTAATCTCTGTGCCACTATCGTTGAATATCTTCATACGGATGTCGGTGCCGCTTGTAGTGACGCCAAGGGCGTTGTAGTCGGAGATCTCATTGATAACACAGTTGCTTGCACAATCTTCCGGAGTTGTGCATGCGGTGGAGTTAGGCGGGTTGTCACCGGTAATAGCACATCTCACTCCGCTGGGCGTTTTGATTTCATGCTGGCTTGAGTCAGCTACGATGTAGTTGGTCTTCTTCTGACACCCATTGTCGACGGTGCATCTAAAGGTCTCAAGCTTGGGGTGATTGTCTAGCCCCTTACCAGGTGTCTGGCCTGAGACGAAGTTGCAGAGGAGAAGAGAAATAGAAATGATGGAGAGTGACATGCTAGCAAGTTGTGAATATCGGTTTGTTCGACGAAATGCTGACGAGGCAAACGAAGGACAAGTACGATCATTATCTACCCAGAAGCATCCGATTCTTGGCAGAAGTTAGGCAGAGCTAAATAGTTTTGACGAACGACATGGCCATCCTGTTCGAAACCGCATAAGCTTCCATGGTTAAACTGTTTCAATGACTGATACATCAGGCGTTGTCTATGACACGGCGTTCACCCTCATTGGCCAACGGTCTTGGGAAGAGAAGGATCCCCCGGCTACTTGCAACAGACCACCGGTTTGACGGCATGAAAGCAAAAGATCGTTTCTTTATCAAATTTGGATCAGATTTCGTCTTACGGGGGAACGGAATAAGAAATATTCATAGAGCAAAAATACCGTGGCAGATCCTGAGGGTTTTTATCAAGTCTGGAACGATAAAGTGGAAATTGATTGGGGGCCATGACACTTGAATGATTGCCAAGGAGCACCCTGCTTGCACTTCGGGTAATCGGGATGTGAACCCATCCGTTTCATGAGACCCCGAGGGCAATGTAAGTTGGTTGTGCCAAGGACTTGTTTCTCTCCCGCGGTTCTCTTTGAATCGTGGGTCAAAGTTCTTACAAGGTGGTTCCAAAAGTTTATCACCAACGAAACACTGGAACCAGGGTCCTTAGGTTTTTTAGACAAAACAAATCAGGCCGGAGATAACCGTAGATAAACAGTCAAAAGCATTGGCCTCCAAGCTTTTCATGACCTTGACAAGCGCACATTCAGGGTTACTCAATTTTCGTTTCATGTCGCAAAATGACAAATCACCCGCGTAGGAGACAGCCACTGCCTCACTTATTTGAAGGGTCGCTCGCCGCGGAATAAATTGAATGATATGGGCCGTTTGCCAAAACCTTCACCCAGGCTTTTCGGTATAAATGTAAAACCTTTGCTGATGGTGTGCTATGACATGAGACGAAATAGGTTAAAGGATATGTAGACGTTACTTGAAAATCAGGGATCTCGTTGACTGGACCAAATTTATGTTTATCTTGTGATAAGCCGAAATGCTGAATTTGCGCTTGCCGACTCTTAGTCTCATATTCAGCCTGACTATCCGGATTCAGTCCGTAGATTGGCAAGAGCTTCGGCAGGAGATTCTCTGTTTGCGTTTTTACAGCATGAATCATGGCCAAGAACGAAGCCTGGGTATTATTAAACCGAAGCAGACCTGGTTGCTGATCAGTCGAGTCAGTCCCCAACCATACCAAAGCCGCTGCTGGAGTACTTTAACCTAGAATTGAAATATTTGTGACTCGATCGAATAGCAGTGTGAGTCAAAGGGGTGCCTGATAGCAATTTCACTTTCTGACTAATTAATATACACTGTCATTCGTTGAATTGAACCCTGTATTCATGCGTCATCCTTGGGCTGAGATGCTGATTGCCAGCTTGTAAGTCAACACGCGATGTCAAGTATATCTCTCTTAGTGAAATCATCCAGGAGTATGAATGTTATTCTTCGTGTTCTTCTATAGACCACCGCAGACTTTGAGTTAGACGACTTTGGGCTTTTCTCGAACACCAAAGTTAGGTATCGTCAGTTACCAGATCAGATAGATTTAATGAGCATTTGAAAGTATGATCGAGCGTAAAGTTCGAGTATACTATATGCAAGTGTAGAGATTTAATGAGTGTATTTCCAACTGCGGTAACGATCATTCAAACATCAGGCGATCACAGTCCAGAGGATCGACCGTAAATTGCATAGTACTTTGCTTTCCTGCTGCATATGTAAGGGGCCTTTCCAAATTCATTATATGTTTCTCAAGCGTATCACCTAGCGGAAGGAGGCTAAATATATAAAGCCATGTTTTCTTTTATAAGAGAGCTTTACTGGGACTCATGGCTGTCGAAGCAGCCATGTGGTAACAACCACGGGGTCACAAACACCGTTGAGCGGGGTAAGCAGGATGGCATGATTAATATTCGTTAATAATTGCCTATTCAGCTAGCCTGGTGCCATACAGGTATGCACATAGGCAGGTCCTGTATTCACACGAGCAAATAAGAATTCCGGGCTTAGTAATGCCAAACCCGGCTGCGGTTATGTCTTTCAGCTTACAACATATCTCATAAAAGATTGGATTGCCCATGAAAACGGCTCAAACCACTGCTAAGATCATCGTTAGCGACGCGCATGTCATTTTCATACCAACCATCATCGGATCATGGGGGAGTCCAATTTTCAAACAACATTCAAATACACTCGTCTGCCCACAGACACTCACATACGCCTCCTGGAGATTTCGAGACGAAGCGGGGAAAATGGTACACAGGAGTCGGTATATCGAATTGTCACCAAGGATATTGCGGCCGAAAATGACAACCCATTTGAATTCGAAGCCGTGTCTTATACTTGGGGAAACCCAACTCTCGTTTCCTCTATCCCCATCGAAGGCTGTTGCGGCACCGTTGGCCTCACAGAGAGCCTTACACAAGCGCTGCCGCACCTAGAAAAACACTCCATGACCGATCACCTCTGGATTGACCAGCTCTGCATCGACCAAAGCAGCGGTAGTGATAAGGCACACCAAATTGGACGCATGGCCCAGATATATAGTGCGGCAAAACGAGTCATTGCATGGCTCGGTCCTGAGGACGATCACAGTCGTGTCTGTAAAGAATGGCTGGGCGAGGTAGATAAGATGTTGCGAAGTCAGCCGTACTCCCATGTTGTACTCCCTGATTCTCCCACCTTCAATCAAGACATCAGGTTCCTTATAGTACGTAGCACATTCAACAAAACGGACACCGATACCACGTACGTCCCTTCGATTTGGCAGTTCTGGGAACGTCCCTGGTTCAAGAGAGGGTGGATTGTTCAAGAGGTCCTACGTGCGGCAGAGATCTTGTTCCTCACCAGCGGGGCAACATACAACATGCAGGACTTTGCTGATCTTCAGTCTATCCCGAGCGAGAAACCTCTCGCGTACGATGGTGACAAAAACATAGCCTACGACATCCTTTTGGATCTTAAGGCTGCTCCATATACTGAAGAGCAGCCTATTCGGTTCCTGCGTCTTATAGCTCGAGTAGCTGGGGTGTTTATCACGTCGGAGGTGGCAGATAGGTTGTACGCTTTTCTGGGCATGATCGACGGGTCTGGGTTTACGCCTGACTACGGAGTCTCTATCAAGCAGAACTTCACTGCTTTTGCTGTGGCGCTGGCTCGGAACTTTGGCTCCTTGGACTTTCTGTCGCTATGGTCCGCGAACCTTGATGCACTGCTACCAAATACCCCAGAGGAGCTGAAAAACTTCCCGTCATGGGTTCCATCATACTCTGGTATCCCTCTCACAGCTCCATACCGACTCGCCTCGGGTGGCATAGGGACCTCCCGCACCACTGTCAGCTGGAATGCAGCTAATGGAAGACGACACGTATATGGTCAATCTGAAGACGCCATCACCACTGGCCGCCTCCGAGTTCAGGGTAGAACCATCGACCATATCCACACTATGAGCACTACGAAAACAGCAAGTTACTGGGTAATGGATAGGCCCTATCTCGACTCCCTCGTACATCAAATACGCAAGGACCTCCCCAACTCGCCATTCCAGGATTGGACTCTGATCTCTCTCGTGTCCTTTCTGGGCACCATTGCTGCAAACGGAAACACCCCCGCAGAAACCCCTGAAGTAGTGCTGGGTTTGCAACCTAGGGGGTTTGCAAAAGAGCTTGCAGACATGAATGGGGACAACAGCAGTCTTGCCCCGCGTTTAGCTATGGCCAGAGGGAGAAAGTTTGCCACCACAGAAAGAGGGAGGATTGGGATGGTGCCATGGATCGGAAGCAAGGAGAAGAGTAATGAGCAGAAGGGGAGTATGATTGTGGTGCTACATGGGTGTTGCGTGCCAATCGTGTTGGATCATATTGGCGGGAATGAGTACAAAGCTGTTGGTGAATGCTATATAGAGGGCGTAATGCATGGGGAGGCGGTAGATTGGGAGGAAGGGGAAGCTGAAACTTTTGTTCTTATTTGAAGATGGCGGTCTTATATTGCAATAGGGATTGTTGAAGCATGTTGAGATTAAGCATTTGGGTGAGGGCTTCTGAAGTTCTGATGCAAAGCTGCGTAACCCCCACGCTATCATCTCGGGGGTAACTTATGATGCAACAGTGTAAGTAGTCCCATCACGCGGGGTCCGCCACGTGCTCTTCCAGGCCTTCACCACATGCCAAACTTTAAAATGCTGATGACGGATGATAATGACAACGCAAATAGTTGGATGAATGCATAATCCCGGCTCGTCGTTTACGGGCAGTACAGAGGGCTCGACCATGTTCGGCATGGTTTGCTTATTGTCTTCACAGAATATGGCAGCAGAAGGATTTGCCGTTGGGTTCGAGACGAAACATAAGTCGAGTATGTCATGGCTGTCATGTCTGTCTACCCGGAGGGGGTGTATGAGGGCAGTAGTTCCGGTTCTTCCGGTCTTTTTCTGCATTGGGAGACCCTTGCTCTCACAGAGCCTTTCGAGGCGTTATAAAGCTACCCAGAGCTCCGACATGGACCAGGAGGAAGGACGGGCTTCCGCGGTCAAAGTGAGCGACCAAACCTGAAGCGGGGAGATTCGTTCATATTTGCGTTTTGTCTTTGGGAGGACGGGGGAAAGTAACTGGGCCGAGAGATCATGATGGTTGTTGATTTGGCCTGAGTTCCCACGCAAATTTCGACCCATCACGGGGCCTCTTCTACCCATGATAGTACATAATAGTGGTGGTGAAAATCGAGACTGTGAAGTAGTCTAATGTGTTTGGATAAGATAGAACTGGGAACTGATGCTGTAGCGATTGACCTACCTCGCTACTTCCCAATATCAGGCGAGGCTTCTGGGAATGGTACCTGGCTGCCAAACAGTGCCTCTCCTGCTTATCGTGTCCATCTCTGCAAACGTTTACCTCCACGTCCCTTCCGGTACTCATGCGGTACACTACAAGACGGACGAGAAGAGTAGTCCAGATTAAAAAAAAAACCCCGGACATCAATAGCAGATCCAAACGGAGTGACTCTAAGCATGCGATCCCAGCAAACGTATCATTTCAGCGATGGTACTTACTCATGACCACAACCCCCCTTGCCTCCCCCTGGATATCCATGCCGCTGTCTCGGAGAATAGTACACGGGAGGAAATCCCAGCCTGGTAAGCCGCCAGCACTAGCACGCACAGAGGTGACCCGGGGGCTCAGAAACAAACATCTTCCACCCCCCCTACCCCCTCTCCACCGGGAAAGACTCCGAGGGCCCGGCCCGGGCCAAGGGACCCAGGCTTATTCCCGCATTCCCGCACTCCCGTGCGCACCTCAGACCCTTCGTTCTGCCGCGCTACCCGTTAGCTCGGAGGCCAGCGTGTTCCCCTCTAATGGTCAGGGTCGTCCCGATCGAGATTCCCTGCCCCCCCCCGGCTTAAGGCTGGCCTCGAGCATGCACCAACCTATCTGTCCGGGGAAGGGCCGCGTCGACGGGCTACGGGGCGGCTCGGATCCAAAGTGGCGTTCTGCAGACTCGAGACCGTCACATCCAGGGAGTAGGGATTGAGATACTGGGGTACAAGCTCTGGAAGCTCGCCAATGGCAGGGGGGGTTCATCTCTGGGAGAATCGGAAAGACAATGACGTCTCGTCTGGAGCATCACGAAAAGTGCCCCCCTCCCTCAGAACCCAAAGGGACCAGCAATCGGCTGCCTGACCACCTCTATATCCATCATTCACATGCAAGAGCCTCCTGAGACACGCGATAAAAGGCCGAGTTTTGGAAAGGTGGAAGAGAAATTGGACTTTTGTCTAATCTATTAAAATCACAACGCCGAAACAATGCACTCATATATGCTCTCTTCTAATGCAGAGCGCTCTCGCCAGTCTCGGCCATGTACTTCTGGCAGCCGAGCAGGGTGCGGAGCTGGTCGCTGACCTCCTCGAGGCGGCCAATGACCTTCTTGTTTCCGTTGACGAAACCCAGGATGGAGTAGGGGATCTCGGTGTCCCGGCAAAAGTCCTTGACAAAGACCTGGGCCTTCCGGAGGTTGTGACGGGGGAGGCGGGGAAAGAGGTGGTGGACGGCCTGGAACTGGAGGCCACCGTGGATGAAGTCGAGCCAGGCGGGGCAGTCGACGTCCATAGTGGTGCGGAGCTGGCGCTGGGGGAAGGATTCGGACTCTCCGAGGTCTGAGGTCGACATGCCCCAGTGGGACAGGGTAATCTGAACGTGCAGCGGCATGGTGATGATGTGCGAGACGAGGACAAAGGCGACGCGGATGGTCCACGTGGGCAGGGTGCACAGGACCAGGCGGTAGCCGAAGATGTACCAGAAGCAGGCCATGAAGGCGATCTCAGTCGGGCGAATCCACCACGCCTTGGAGCTGCCAAGCTGGGAGGACCTGCGCGAAAGGACGTGCAGCCACGAGAGGAGGTACAGGTTGAAGCGGGCAATGCCCATGACAGGGTAGTAGGTATACGCCTGGTACTTGGCGAGGACATCGGCGGCAGCGTCCCAGACGAAGACGAAGCCATCGTAGTAGGTGGACTTGATGGACTTGAAGAACGAAGGGCAGGTTGCGAAGAGAGGGACGTTCTGGATATCGGGGTCGTGTTCCTTAAACTTTGTTAGTCAAGGTTGGGTTGACTCGACAAGGAGTTGAGCTTACAGGCATGTTGGTGATAAGGTGGTGAACGTTGTGACTGCTCTTCCACCATCCCATGGACAAGCCGCAGCAGAAGTCGGCAATGAAGAGGCCAATGAGGGTGTCAAAGGTAAAGTTGTGGGTGATGGCACCGTGACCGGCGTCGTGGGCGGAGAACATGATCTGATGCCAGAAAAGACCCAAGAAGCAGGCCGAGGTCATGTACCACTCGTGGCGCAGCGCGAAGAGGAAGCTGGCGAAAAGGATTGAGTAGCGGCAAATCTCCTTGCCGTAGTCGAGGTAGGGGCAATCGTAAAGCCCGGCCTCCTTGACGCGTTCGTGGAGAAGACGGTACTTCATTTGGATGTCAAGCTGGACGGCAGGGTCGAGCGAAGGGTACTCGTCGATATCCTTGTTGACATTCTGCTGGATGGCCCAGTCAGTATATTGCTCGGCCGTCATACGGCTTCGGCCGGATAGGATGGCATCATCTTCGGTCCGGTTGGTGGGGGCAGCGATGCGTCTGCGAATGCCTGTCTCGGTCGGGGCGGCGAGCTTCGTCTTCTCGATCTCGGCCTCAGCGCTGCTGCACTCGGATGTCAGGGACGTGCGGGAGCTCCTGGCGGAGGCCTCGGAGACGGCATCGTCGGCAGACTCGTCTTCATCGAGATCGGACAAGGGGCATTCTACGGCAGCGTCCGTGACATCTGGGGTAGTAGATCTCGATGCAGGCGCAGATGCAGATGCAGATGCGGATGCGGCTGCGGATTTGGTGTAGACGCCGCCCCTAATTGGCGGTGTCATGTTGACCCAAGGACCCGCAGGTTTCCGACCGATCCGAAAAGCCTTCATAGTGTTGAGGGTAGCAGCCGAATGATAGCTAACAAGGGCGATATGTCAGCACACCAATTCCACTAAACGACAGGCGTGAGAGCCGGAATTATTAATTGGCCTTCCCTCCCTTCCTCGATTTGAGAAACAAGCTTAATCAGACTTCTGATCATTCTCGCCGCTCGGCTTTCACCTGACACATTCGGTCTCGCATTTCTCCCCGATACGCGCTGCGATTTTGATTTCACCCCCCCTTCTTTCCGACCTTGGGAAAAGTGAGGACCGAGATCGTAGGGGTCCAGCATGGGGGCCCGTGAAGGGAGGGAAATGCGGCAGGAAGAAGCTGATTGAACACGAACGGGCAAGTCGAGGCTTCTCTTACACTTTGATTTCGTCGGTCGCATCCCTTCCAATCATATGCATGATGGCCAACTTTCCGCCAGGGTGTTTGTCGAGCCAGCCATCGAGGCGCAGCACCATGTCGTCGAGGATGACGACGGTGCGTCCGTCGGCAATCATGCCTTCCACCTCGCGGGGAGTGATGATTCTGGTATCGCGGTCCATGTTTGCGGCAAGTCCAATATTTGTTTGTATCGGGGAAGCAGAATGCCGGGCCAAACAAAGTCGCCGAGAGGGAAGAGAAGCGTCGACGAGGTGGTGATGCGAGTTTGACTCGGCGATGGGTGGGAGGGTAGTCTCAAGTTGAAAAGGCAGACTCAGTTGTGTGGGATTGGAAGGTGCAGTCGAAGAACAACTGAACAGCAAAGACTAAGTCTGATCAAACCGACGGGTCAATGGAGTGGCAGCAGGTCGACCTGGCCGAACAACAATCAACGACGACAGCAACAAACAGCAACGGACCAACAGTCGAAAGTCTTGGATGGGGTGTGAAAAGGTGATAACGCCAAGGGAAGACAGGGCTGGAGGATGGATGGGCACTGCGGTATTTACGTGTCGACAACCTTGGGGAGCTTCTGCTGGATGGATCCGAGGTGACGGCGAAAGCTCGAGAAACCCCTGTCCAAGAGCTGCGGAATGGCAAAAAGGGAGAAGAAAGCTAGCGTGAGCAACAGAGCGATGTTTACGGCAAAGATGAAGAAGCAGTCGAGCGTCGTGCCATTTTCAGACGAGAACAGACGACCATGACCCGGGGAGCGGAACGAGGAACGAGGCAGGATAAAGGGAAAGGCAGACGAGACGGGATACCCGTCGGGGAGGGACGGACGGCGAGAGCAAGATCCCAGGACAGGCCAGGACAAGACAGAACGATACCCCGTGGCTCATCCCGGTCTCCGTACGAGGAAGAGGAGGATGCCGGGAGGGTGACTGGAGGAGAGGTGAAGAACAAAAGATTTGTGGATCATACTTTTCCATCCGCCCACACCCCCGGACACGCAGCACAAGGGACTTGGAGACATGGAGGAGCAAGGACAAGTTGTCATCAAGTTAGGCAGGTCAGAAGAGGGCGAGAGATACTGGGAAAGGCGACAGAGACTGAAAGAGAGAGAGAGAGAGTACCTATGTGTGGGTGTGAATGTGAATGTGAGTGGAGTGTGGATGGACTGGGGCGTCACAAGTGGAACAGGGGGGGGGGGGGGGGGGAGCGTAGTCCAAATGGGCAAATCTCTCTGACCCGCGCTTTCAATCTCTTCGCTACTCCCACTCCGCCAAGCCAAAAGGAACTGACAATGCTTGCAAGGAAACAGGAAGGCCAGATAGGTTGTAAAGGCCAAGAGGAAGAACCCAGGCAGGTGCGTGCGTATATGTGTGCGCGTGTATGTGTGTGGGTGGGTGGATAGATAGGGGAGAGAGAGAGAGGACAAGCGAGGGTACCCCCTCCCTTGGGGGGATGCTAATCTTGTTTCCCCTGGTCCGACGCAGGTATTTGATCATTGACGCACTTTGCTGGTTTTGTGGGGGTTGAAGGGTTGTCGCCTTGCTGATTGCTGCGACGGCTGCAGAATTTTCCCCTCTAGGTCCTTCGCCTCTTTGGGGAATAAGACGTGGAAGGGAATGAGAGGAAGTGTGAGGGCGAAGTGAAAACCGGCGAGTTGCAGAATCAAGCGAAGCGAGTTAGTCACCAGTCTCGGAGAGGTCCCATTTACCAAATGGGAGAAGAGTGATCAGCTAAGAAGTTACAAGGGCAAATGAAGAAAGGCAAACGACGGGGGAAGGGGGGGATACAGTGCTGGAGCTTATCTGATTGCACTACTAGGTAGAGAAGGATTTTCGAGTGGCCTTGTCCTTGACAGGACCCTGAAAATGCTGAAACCATGAATTTCGGGGTTCTTCGATTCATGTAGTACGCGGACTGTGATGCCGCGGGTTGCAGTGCGCGGATGCCAGGTGCCAGGGTTTAGAGGTATTGGTCTTGATTTTTATTATTTTTACTACTCCGTATTATCCCTATCATTATCTAATGAAAACGTGTGGGCAGGTACTCTCGACTGACGCTATCCGTATTTCATATCTACTCTACATCCTTGCTTTCCTCCTTCTTTCCTCCGCCTGTTTCTCGGCTCCCACTCCGGGCCAATGGGAAGGAAGGTGGAAGGCGTCGTTTGATTCGCCAACTGCCCTCCCTGCCACCTGCCTTCCCAATCAAGTGGTCGATATATTTATCGTGATTGCGCCAGCGGAAGTGTCCCAACCGGTGTGGTTCGGTCGTACATAACCCGTTTTCCAAATCCGTTTTCTTTCTTCTTGGGTGACTCAAGGTTGGCAGGTTTGCAGGCTTGCAGAGGAAGGTCCCGGTCTGAGCCAGGACATGGCTGTCCAAGAAGCTGGCAAGAGTCAAGACCCGTGTCAGACAGATGTGACGAAAAGATTGGGGAACCGGCGGGACGTGGGACGCAGGACCCCTGAAACTCGTTTTTTTCAGCGGTGCGCTCGCTCACTGGGCGAACAGAGTCCCGTCGCAGCGGTATACCTGCGCATGCCACAGGTTTCCAAACTAGCCCGAACCCGAATGACTGATGGAATATCTTGCGCGGGTCGATTCAACCCAAGTCAGCCAGACTCAAAGAGCATCGGCCGGTAACCCCGTTTGGCAGGAATGGAAGAATGTTTCTGGAAATGGGCTCAAGCTCTTCGGAGGAGGGGGGCGCGGGGACCTAAACCACACAGACCTACATAGTAAACAGCTGGGCCATGGATGGAGCCAAGACACTGGCATCTCTAACCTCAGGTGGGGCTCTTCAGGCCGTTTGCTGCCGGCGCGTGATTCGTGCTGGATTGCAGAATCGCAATTGATTTGATCGGGTTAGCGCTCAACTGGGTTTCCCAGCGACTCGCATTCATGCATGCATTACACTGAGTTACATGGCATTCGACGGCTACCCTACCTCCCCCATCCAGGGATCTCGCCGACAAGCTTCATTTAGCGAGCCGAGCTGTTGGAGCACCCGACGAAATTGATCCGAGGTTGGTAGTACCAGGGCTTCTGTCAGAGGGCGTGAAAGACGGGCGACGGAGCGACAATGGTTTTCATTCCAAAGATGTTTCTAGCCACGACGCGGAAACTAGGATAGAACCAATCACCTGTTACCTGCGAGCAGTTTGGAAAGTGAGCTTCCCTCGTTCGCTCCTGCCTCCTCTTCTTGGCTTTTTGATCCAACGGAGCAGGCGCTCTTGGCGTCCCGACTGCGCCTCAGAGGGTCTCCACAATATCACACCCTTTGGGAGGAAGGAAGGCAAGATAGGCAAGAGCTGCCGTCTGTCTGTCTGTTTGGAACCGTCTCATGGACCTCACCGTTGGAGGCTGCGGTGGGACTTGACACAGTACAGGAAAGCCAGCGCGTTCGCTCCTTGTGACAGGCCATGCAATAAATGATAGCTTCGTTGACCGGGGGCGTTTGCTATTGCCGTTGCCGTTGCCCCAACGCCGTTGGTCTCGCACATGCGCGGGCTAGTGGGCGACGTTGCTCGTCACGGATTAAACTTTTTTCTTTCTTCGTTTTTTTCTTCTTCCTGCCCTGGCTGTCTTCTTTCTTCCAAGACAAATTGAGACGAGGTACGATATACTCACACAATCACACCACACACACCAAACACATAGTAATTGCAGCCGCTTCCCACCCCCTTTGTTTGATTCTAGAGTCCCAACTTTGCAAAAACATCCGCCTTACTCTCTCTTTCTCATCAGCTTTGGCCAACGCCTGCTGAGTTGTCGTGCTGAACCCGGCTTCCACCAGCCGCTGACGCCATGCTGCAGCAAACGATGCAAGAGAAGGGCCAGGTTGGAACAGCTGTCATGCTTGTCGTCCCAGAAACTTGCACATCTTGACTATGGAACCCCACTTAAACAGCCGCAATTAAGGACCAGGGGGTATTTTCCAGGTCAAGTGAAAGGGGGGTAACGGTACAGAGTGCGCACTCTCGCGTGCCACACCTCTCCCTCCGTCGCCACTTAGATGTAGGTACCCGCATCCAGACCGCGTACGTAATATCCCGTATCCATGTTCGAGACCGTTGAGTGGCACCGTGCCACGGTTATAACGCTGGGGCGACGCTGGAGGCGGCCTATGGGAAAAACTGATGGGAAAGGGGGACAAGATATCAGTGGGCGGCTGTGTCTCCAACATCCAGTTCTCCCAAGAATAGTAGCACATTATAGTCTGAGAAAAGTGGTTCGTAATGACGATCTTTCGCCCTCTTTCTCTCTCTCTCTCTCTCTCTTTCTCTCTTTCTCTCTTTCGCTCTTTCGCTCTCTCGTTGCATCCCGTCGACCAAACTGCCATGGTGCTGTTCTGCGCTCGGCTCAACACAGCTGTGAAGAATTAAAGGGGCCACGGCGTTGCTTCCACTTGCCGATTGTCCAGTGCTCGAACCCCTAAAGCACCTTGAACAACTGAAAGTGGATCATAATCGTAGCATTGCAAGACAATCCAAATGGGCGGTTTGCAGATGCTGCCAATGCACGTGTCCAATGCGCGTATTACTGGACGTCGTAGAAGGGTGTCGATACGTAATGGCGGAGACTGGCGGAAAGGGGTGTGGCTGCTTTTCCTGGCAGCTCTGACTGAGATCATCTCCCCTGGCGGCGAGTCTCCTCACAGGTCTCCTCGTCGCCAAAGTTGATCCTATTCCTGCCGCGTCATATCCAATTCGGTTCGGGGGACGATGGCCAAGTCCAATAGTGCGCTTGCACCGCCCCGGGGTTTAGAATTGGCATGCGCGATACGACGCAGAACATTTCCGCTGGATCTGGGCCCATTCGATTGAGATTCGACACAGATCAAGGACCCACCCTGCTGCTCCGGCATGGGGGATCATTTGATTGGCTAACGGTAAGGGCACCGAGCTTCTTTCATGGCCAATCGGATGATCAGATTATCCGGACTACACACTTGGATCAGCCCCTGCCTATCGTCGCTATTCGTACAAGCGTCCTGACTCTCGATTCGCTGACTAAGGTTTCACACTGTTTCGGTCGCCACCCAATCGCTTTTTCCTCACACAGATACAGTATATCGCTACGCATTGTCTGCTCTTGGCAGCAAGAAGCGCAAAGCAGGAGATGTTCCCGAATCAGTCCCAAAGGCTTCCAAAACTAACCTGATTCATCTGCTCATCATGCAGTCGTGAAAATATGTATCGAAATGCGGAAAACGAGGCGTGCCATGAAACTCAAACGCTGACTCGGCCTGGCCTAGGTAGAAGCATCAATCTTCGTCCGAGTCACGTGAGGTCAGACTCTTGTCATGTCCGTCCCGCGACATTGGACGAAGGGTCCAAGTCAGATCCAGCTTCGGATCGTCCAGACACAACGCTGGTTTTGTTTTGCCTCAAATTATCTTGGCTCACGTCTCGTCGAAACGGGCTTTACGCGGTCACATCGGCAAACTTTGATCTGGCATTACAGAGGGTGACAAACCCCATTCAGGCAGGTTCGCCGCCCCCTTGGATCTAGATAGTTGGCTCCGAGTCCCGACTCGCTCCCTCCTGCCATGTCCGCGTATTCACCTCGTCACGGATACGAGCCGCTATTGTCCCAGGATGCCTTTAGGCTGCTCCTCCTCGACCCCTCCAACTCCCGTGCCGCTGAGCTCAGGGGATCCCTACTCAACACTACCCTCGCAGACTGTGATTACGACCTGATCGACCCCTACACAGCCCTGTCATACGTATGGGGGGCTCCCGAAAAGCCATGTCATATCTACCTCGACGGCCATGATGACAATTCGTTTGCCACTACCAGGTCTCTTGATGACGCGCTCCGGGACCTGCGCGACGCCACCCGTGTCCGGAGGCTATGGGCCGATGCTCTATGCATCGACCAGTTAAATGTTGCGGAGCGCAACGCGCAGGTAAGCTTGATGGGGCGCATTTACTCGGCAGCCCACAGCACCGTCATCCATCTCGGCGATCTGACCCCCGACGTTTCTGGTGTTTTCGCTACCCCTCGTGCTTCGACACCCGGCGCCTCGGTTGGCAACTCTGGTGGAATCGCCGTCGAAAATAAGCGGAGTATTCTTGCCAAGTCGTGGTTCAGGCGCGTCTGGGTGCTCCAGGAGCTCGTCCTTTCGAAAGACCCTTGGGTGCAATGTGGCAACCAACGGATACGCTGGGACGCCTTCTGCCGTTACTTTCTCGGCACTGGAGCGAGTAAATCACAACATCTTCACGACGGTGATGCGGCGTTACGCGTTTTGTCAGACATGAACTTCAGCCGGACTAACAACGCTCGCCTCCCTCTCCATCGCGCCATCCAAGTACGCCGAGGTCTAGGAGCCACGGACCCGCGCGATTTTGTTTACGCCAGCCTCGGCATCATTAGTGATCTCCATGTTGTCAACCGGTATCTTCAAGTTGACTATTCAATGTCGCTGGCCGAGACGTTTGGTAAAGTTGCCCGATACATGTTTGACCAGCTTGGCGTCGAAAAAGCAATAGCGCTTACTGACCTCGAGTCCACCCATCCCATTGCGCCCTTGGAAGACCGTAGACGTTTGGCAAGAGACAGACCCCCATCATGGGCACCGGACTGGACTCGCGATGCTTCGTATACGATCCCCATGTACAAAGACAACCACCTAACCCACATGAGACTGAAGGGTATGCACCATGTCTTCACGGATGGCGAACTTCCGCTCGTGCTAGGCCATATTGGATACGAGGTTGACACGATCGAGAGCCTGCATAGCATGCCTTCCGGCGACAGGTCTTCATACCTCACCATAGAGTATGAGCAGGCTAAAATAGACCTTCGCAACCTGTACAAGAACACCCACGCGTCCGGAGACAAGTTTGGCTCTTACCGGCATGTGCCGCTCAAAGATAGAGAGGCGCAGCATGAGACGCTCTGCAACATCATCAGTAGTACCTGGACCCGGTTCTTCGAGGACAACATTGAGACAGCTGAACATCTTGGTTTTGTTGAATCGTTTGCTCAATGGACATCGGCCCAGGCGACGAGTAAGCGCGAGTTCGTTGGTTCGGGCACCAGAGGCCTCATCGAACTCCTGTTCAAGTATTTTGAGGTGCCAAAGGGCCGATCCGCGCTTGACGGCAGGTGCCTTGTCTTCACTCGAAGGGGGAACCTGGGCGTCGCGCCTTGGTCGGCGAAACCGGGTGACCACGTCGTGTATCTGGCCGGTAGCGAGACGGCTGTTGTCTTGCGCCCGAGGAGCGGCTTAGGAATGGGAAACATTGAGCGTGCTCTGTTGCAGAAAGTACGGCAGCCCGGATACGGAGCGGTTTCCGTGGCGGATCAAACCGGCGAACACGAGCTTTGGAGAGTACCTGAGCAAGGAGACGTACCAATCTCACATTTCGACGTCGTCGGCGAGGGTTACCTTGACGACTACACGGGCTGGTCTCTGAAGTATCCGCCCAAGGCTTCAAAGATGCGATTGTTCGCATTGCATTGAATGTCACAAGTGTGAGTACTGAGAAGCTTGGTAGCACAGAAGTTGATGACTAGTTAAGAGCTTTCTTGTTTGTTTCATGGAACATAGTCTCTCTAGATCCCCGTACGCGGTCTAGTGCAGTTCACCCGGTACACGTATATCACGATACGCAAACCAATAATCTTGTGTTGGGTATTGGGCATTATACTTATACTGTTTTTTGTGACTGTGTCGCTATCATTGTCTACTTGTGCGACTTTACCAAGGACCGGCTTGAAAACATACTTCCCTAATAAACACCCAATACGCAGCACATCTAATCTGTGTCATCTTCATCACTTGATACGGTACAGATACCTGATAACGCAGAGCAACTGCCGAACGAGACTTCACTTCAACCATAGCGCAAACGACTCCAACGAAGTCATCTAACGAAATTTATGTTTGCTGGCGAACTGAAAAGCGGAAGTGAGAGTCGGCTTTGGTAGAAGCTTTAAAACACGATACAAGGTAGTAGGCGTCTTCTTCCTTGTCAATATTCTCGATATGACGTTTTATACCCTCAGCTGCCTTGCTTTAACTCACGACTAAAATCCAACAAGGGTATCTATATATCTAACCGTTTCCCGCCCATCTTGGCGGCTGACGTCAGTATCGTTCTCATATTTGCACAATTCTGAAGTAACCACTCAGATAAAACTGTGCTCCCAGTGTAGGCTTCATTAGAGACCCGGACAGCACTCCGGCCATCGGGACGGTGATCAACAACCCGAAATAATTCCACGCCATCAATCCTCTGTTTGATGCATCTCTAATCCCCGTTCGCCGCCGATGTCACGAGGATCTGCAGCGAGCTGTACATGTACTCGGGGCGGTTGTCGTAGTGCGGCGCGCTGGCGTACGTGTCGGCGATGCCCCAGAACAGCACAGCGTTGCGCCACTGGAGGGTGATGGCGTCCTACTCGACGCCGCAGAGGAGAGCGCGGTTGAGACGCTAGCTGAGGACAGGGAGGCCGGCTCAGGATCTCGCGGAGAGGGCTTGGACGAGGTCCGACGAGGAGCGGCGCGAGTCGGACACGGCAGACGCTACCAGGGCGTCCGGGAGGGACAGGGTCGGCGGACAGTTGAGCAGCCAGGGGCCCCTACACATCATGGTCCACTCCAGCTCCTAGTCCTCGTCGATGATTTTCCGCCAGAGGTACGGCAGGAGGAAGAAGGCTTGGAGGAGCGTCGCGCCAGTGGCGATACAGAGGACGGCGATGAGAACCTGCGCAGGAGTGAACTTGACCCGCAACTGGACGCCCTTTCGCACCACAAGCACTGCAAACGGTGGTGTCGGCAGGAGGTCTGTCCATGGCTACTGGGAACTGTCGAAACCTCGCTCGGCTGGGCGTCGTAGAGGTGCGGATCGATGATGTTGTTGCGAAGGGTGTCGGTGACGGAGCCGGAGAACTCGGTAACGGCGGCGATGGCCATAGCCCGCCTCATGGTGCGGGAGGATACAGACGTCGATAACGAGTTTGCAATGTTGTTGGCGTCTGGACCGTCTGTGATCTTTCAGCTGCGGCCTTGTGGCGGGGGATCCACTCTGACCCGTCTCCTCGAGCGGCAGAGGGACGGAGAGAGGCAGAGGAGTGATGCTTACCGATGCTCCACGCATCGAGGAAGGAGAAGATGGTGTGGATGGCGAAGATGTAGTCATATTGGTTCAAAACGGCTACCGTCGTGGGTCAACAGCCCCAACTGTGCAAAATGGAGGGGGGTTACGGAGTACGATCGGCTTTTCTCAATGATTCGGTCTCGGGTCATCGTCGCTAACGGGGCCGGGATTTCCGGCGGCGGAGATCAGTCCCACGGACATGTCGCTTGGGGGAAAGGGGGTCAGTTCGCCCTCATGTTGCGGATGGCGGGCAGGGGTCTTTTTGGGTTCTCACACGAGTGATGTTGTATCGATATATGATTTCGAAGGGGGTTCACACTTGCGACGCACGAGTGACATCGATACATGGAGTATATGGCGATTCGTATCCATTTCGATGGCGTGCTGCCTCTTTCATCTGAATCTCCTTGGGTACATACGTTGCATTGTCACTTACATTCCAATCGACACCGGTGAGTCGTGACTACCACCACAACCTCAAAACCCCGGTAAGAAGGGTTAGAGTTGTAACGCCATCGTCACTTACCACTTATTAAGTTATGGATCTCGTAGGCCAAGAGATTATCTCTGATCCGAGGCCTATATTTGGCTTTTACTTTGTTCGAGATACATTTCAACTGTACATGCTTTTACCTAATTTCGGTCCCATTCCAGGCTTATCTCAATTCTATATGTTCAACACAGGCACTCACACATGAACATGATAGGCACTTTTATAGAACCATCCTACACGATAACTTCTCATCAAGACGTGTTGGTAATGTTTAAATCAAAATTCAGTCGTTCGTGCTATCTTAAGCAACTTGACGGAATATCGCAAAGATGTTTCTTTTCCTTCCATGTGTCTTTCCGTGCATCAAAAAGGGAAAGACGTGTTGATGGTTCCTTGTGTCTTTCCTATCAGTTCGTCTTTGTCTGTTCGATCTCGCAGACATCGTGATCCATGCTCTTTGTGTTTTCTGTCTCCAGATGAGAGGTATGCGCAAGACGATTGCCGTCGTAGCCGCTACGCCAGAGTATTAGTGCACTTGAACCGTGATGAGTACAGATGCAATATGAGCAGAACATACAAAAGAATGTCCATCTGATCAATCGTGAGACCCTTCGTCTCTGGCAGGAAAAAGTAAGCCCAGACACTGGCTGTCAGCATCCAGCCAGCAAAGAAGAACCAGACACCATAGTTAAGACCGCTGAAAATATACGGCAGTGCCTTTGTGATGATGAATTGAATCATCCATTGAGTAAAAGCTGCGAATGTTCCAGTCAAATTGCGAAGGGCACCAGGGAATATCTCGGCAGAGACGATCCAAGGAATACCGTTGAGACCGAATGACCAACTACGTTACTCAGTACCATCTCCACCCCACCATTAGAAGCAGACTCCTAGAAGCTAAACTTACAAGACAGAGTATATCATTATGGCGGCGGTGGCCACCCGCCCTCCAGCTTTCGTTGAAGCGGAGGGCTTTCCTCCAGCTGCGATGATCGGTGCCGGATTCGCCACCTTGACATAAGCACCAACATACCATAAACAGAGGCAGCAGGCTACGGACGAGATGATGGTAGGTCTGCGACGGCCCCAGATGTCGATTAGCGCACCGTAGAAGATAATGGATGCAACGGCCTTCACAAGGCCGTAGATTCCGGTATACAAGGCCACGTCAGTGATACCGATGGAGCCGAAGAGCATGGGAGAGTAATAGTTGATGGCTATCAATACAGGGGGATTAGTGGTCTGGTTCCGTCGAAAAACGAAAGTGTGAAAGAATACTTACCAGCGGCACCTGACATGTTCTGGAGAGCGAATGCAAAGAACACGAGAAGCAGCCGATTCCGCATCCCCTTTCGTGATAGTTCATGTAACGATCCTCGGATGTAGGCATAGAACCCACGGCCGTACATTGCCGCGACGGCCGCTTCTTCCGTCAGCCGGGCCCGGATCATCTCGACTTCCTCCTGCATGTATTGATGATCCATCGGTAGTTGTCGTATCGAGACAAGAGTTTTCTGTGCCTCCTCCTCTCGACCTTTCCGGTAGAGCCAAAGAGGAGACTCATGCAGCAAGAACCCACCGACTAGCAAGGCTCCTGACGGAATCAGCTGGATGGCCATTGGTAGGCGCCAGGACGTAGAACTCGAGGGGTTCATGTTTTGGTTGATGCCGTAGTTGATCCAGAAGCCTATCAGTGAACCTACTTGGTACGTGACTTCAAAGAGACCAGTAAGAATACCCCGGATAGAGGGAATGGACAGCTCAGCGATGTAGGAAGGCACGGTTGCTGTGATGACACCGCAACCCCAACCTGTCAGGGCTCGACCAACGTACATGGATGTAAGGTCATTCGAAGCGGCTGTCATTGGAATGGCCCCAGCGAGGAAAACGAGATTGCTGATTATGAGCGCCCACTTGCGACCGACACGCTCGGTAACTAGGAGGACGCTTGTGTCAATCCCGAAATCGGAATCTGGGATAGAAAGGAAGACCAACTCAAAAAGCACATGAACGCGCCGCCCACAGCGCCGGCCTGAAAAGCCGAGGTAATATTGGAAGAGATCTCCTTCGACGTATCTGGAGTGATGCCGAAGTCGTTTACGAAACTGTTGCGCGCAATCGTCGTTCCGATAAAGGCCGAATCATATCCGAAGCTGTCGTGGGATGATCAGTACGCGCAAACCAGATCAACGACCGCGTCAATCTCCGGCATAAGGCCTGGGCGAGAGCGATCTGACCCACAGTAGTGATCCCATGGCAATGATGGAGGACTCGATATAGAGGCGCACGTTGTAGACCTCCTTCGGCGTGGACCGGTCCTCGACAGCACGGATCCCTCCCATCTTTTCCCACTCACGGACCTCCGTAGTTCACAGACGTAGTCGAAAGAAGGTTACGCGGAGTAAGAGGCTTACAAGTGGGATGGAAAGGGGTGTCCGGAGGTCCAAATAAGCTTGTCAAGAGCCGCGATGTTGGCTTCGTGGTCCAAGAGCGAGTTGCGAGCAATGTATCAGAATCAAGAGAGCACATGTTTCTGACCGGAAATGAAGTCTTCTCTTCCCTCGGTTTCCGCTTCCCTCCCCGCAAATATCGTCTGCTCCTCCGCATTGTAACCATGGGTGCGGGGATGGAGTCCGGAGAAGAATGCCGACGCAGGATATTCAGATGGCTGGGGTAGCAGCCCCCAGACTTAACCCCTAGCCTCTTTTAACCCGATGACCCTACAGGTCTACGAGGCAGAGATGCACCAATTAGACCAGCTGGGAGTCGAGAACTCCGAGCAGCTCCGAAAGACGCAGGGGAATTGTAAGGAACCAGCACGGCAATTGGAACACATGGGCAAGCGATAGTGGGGTTATTAAAGATCAGCAGTATCAGAATTAGACAACGAGAACCCCTTTCATTTTCAATTTTCCGAGACAAGGGCTCGGGGATGTTTTGTATCTGGATTCAAGTTGCCGACCAACTAAGGGATTGATGTTATTGTCGGGGCATCAAGTTGGATGCATCACCTAAAGCACACTGCGCCCTTTGTCCTTTACAGGAACGGCCCGGCGTTAAATATAACAACAACAACCTAAAGCACAGCGTATCGAAGGTGCAGGTGTCGCACATCCACGACCTGTGGGAGCGTGGTGGGCCCAGAATTCCTATATAAATGAAATAAAGAGCAATATCTAACAATAGCTTTTCTACAATTGATTAGACTGAACAAATGAAAAAAAGTCGCCGTCGTCTGATGAGCAAGCACTTTTGGCTTATAAAGTGAGCTTCAAGCACAAGCTCCGAAACAGCTCGTGCAAATTGCCTCTTTGATTATCACTAGTCAGATGTCAGACAGACCGAGACAACAACCCTTTATGCGATCCGTTGCTGAGGTGTGGCACACCGGGAATGTCCTGGCTACTTGCCAACTACTTCTCGAGTTTGATGGATGGCTTCATGATCAAGGGTCTCACAATATAACAGGAAGGCTGAGTCAGAATACTCGAAAGGTTATTATTGTATGACTGAAAGTATGCTATCAAAGTGAGCTATATCATTGATGATTTGCAGACCCTACTGCTGGCTCGCTTGTTCACTCCTTTTGAAAGCAAAGAACATCTCCTATCGCGACCTTGGACACTGGCTGTCCCAGTCATTACTTTGTATAACTCTCCTCTAGACTTGCCAATCAATGTTGCTCGCGTGCATGTGTCAAAGTCCTGCTATATATCGAATCAGAATTGATCAATCATTGGTTTGTGTGGCAACCCTCGCCAAGCATTATGGATAGGAATTCGGACTTGTGCGCAAGTTCAGTCGGACAAACTGAAACCTAGCGCTCCTTTGAATGAAGTTATGATACCGAATTGCAAACGTGTCAAGCCTCGATACGTGGGCCATGGTTAAAGAACTTACACAAAGACAGCTCTGAATCAAGCTTCTTGCGAATAGGTCTCTACTGTTCTCTCTATAACCTTGTTAGGTTGCTTGGAAATTGTATCCATACTGAGTTCATGCTGGCATCCTTGGAGGTGTTGGCTATGATCTAATATGCTTATCGATAGGCTTTTGTTTTTCACATGGCTATTTCTATATAATAGCTGCGCGTAGATAGATCTCTTTGCTCTTGTAGCAGTGGCTTCCGAAGGGGTCCCCCCCAAAATGCTCCGCATTTGAATGAAGTCCAATTGCTCTCCCAGCAGCGTCTAATGCTCGATGCAAGCGAGTGTCTTCTATGTATGTGATGTCCTGCTGGTGTTAAAACCACCACTCGAACCCACTCGAACCCACTTGCAAGTGGTAGGAGAGAGAGTTTCGTCGCAAATTGTAGGCACGGACGAACCTGAACTGTCGTTCCCGACTTCATTTAGCTTCGTACTCACACTCGTCGCTTTTCTCGCTGGTGGGTCTTTGCTGAAAGTAGGTTACGATGGTGCCTGTTTCACATATGGGGCCGCATGGTGATCTCCGGTCCATCAACTCAGATACAATAATAATGCATGGATGGCCACCCACTATAATTAAGGTGTAGCGTTCGGGGTTGGCGAAAGAATGTCGTACCCATTGATTGCCAGCAGGGAAGTCTGGAGAACAAACCACTATGTATATATAGTATGATAGACTAGAGACTGATAATGTGATATTCCCAGTTTGTAAAGGGGAGATAATAGGAGTAGCAAGAGCTGTAAACATTCGCTCCTGATCAAGTGACGATGCCATCATTTAGTCAATGATTGATGGTATCCACATCGTAGCCGTTTGTATGGTCTCATGATCTTAGCGACTCTTCGTTTAAGCGAGAATAGGAAGGCGAATGGCCTCTTGGAGGTCTAGAATACTCTGGATTACCACGCTAACTTTGACGCTGTTATGACCCCAACTGGGGTTGTCATGTTCCACTTAGCTTCCCCGACCGCCTCTGCCATTTCACATCCTCCGCAAAACGGCCGCAGGGCCTCCGTATGTATTCGTCGAAGTCGTCTGAACACAGGAAGCCGTGGCTAGACAACCATCCAAACGGCCAAAGGGCGGAGTAAACAGCGAGGAGATGGGGTCTCTAGGAGGATCCACGCACGGCCAAGCCCCGAAATGAGACCACCAATTGACCATTGCTGGACCATTACTGGACCATTACTGGACCCAGCTCTCCAGATCAGGGTAGCAGTTAACAGGCAGACACTTTGCGGGTCAAACCTTAGCATCTCAGACTATCTCAAAGTACTGA